ATCGCCACGCTTCTCCACTCCGGAATATATTCCGAGTGCGCCGCCGGATTGAGCGGCGACAACGGCGCCGCATGGGCGACTGGAGGGATCTGAGGTGCCATTGATGATGATGCGACATCTGGAGCAGCGCGTTGTTGCGTGGCATGCAGATGGGAATTGCTCGAGCTAGCGGCGTTGGCATTTGCTTGTGGGGCGGCTTCTTCAGGACGCGGTTTCGACCCGAGCATCAGGCCCCACGACGATCGCCGATCAGCCTTGCCTTTGGCCTTGGACTTGGACTTGGTCCGGGCCTGGTCAGCTTCGGACTCGGAGAGATATTCGTCCTAATCAGCAAGAAGAAACATTAACGACTGGTCTTTGAAATGGCATTATAAATTTGTGAAGTGACTAATATATGCTCTGAGCTTGGGAAATTAAGAGTAACAGAGTAAAAAAATAAAAAAAATAAAAAATAGATAAATAAATAAATAAATAAGAGAGCAAGTCAAGGGGAAACGTGCGGCGTGTCATTCCTATCTCATGCAATCCATCTCTTCATTCAAAACGTCGGCAATAATATCAGACCGACTCATAACAATTTGCCCGCTTCGCAGTACAGATTAGATTACCAGAAAGCCCAGAACCCAATCTACTGCCCCGTCCACATAATAATAAAATTGAGAATCAAGTGCAATGTAACGAATGAAAGTGCCGCCCGTGTAAACACCGTTGGTCGAGAAAAGAAGGGGAAAATGCAATTAGTGAAATACCTTGTCCCCAGTCCCACGCAATTTGCTCCGCCCCTTGCTAAGCAACCCTTTGCCCATCTTTCCTGCCGAATGCATGAATTCTTTGCTTTTGGTTCCGATCTGGTTGCTAGAATGGCCAAACGTGCTGCCAGATACTTGCGACGGTATGGGCAGCCCGCCTAGGCGAGACCTGTTAGGGGGAGAGCCAGAGGCGGTCGGTGAGCTGGCATTGAGATATTGTTGGTAATATGGTTGTTGGGCTGGGTTGGGTTGTGTTCCTGCCACGGGATTCGCCGCACTTGCTCCTTGGGAGACTTGCCGAGGGCCCTGGGCACCAAACAAGGGGCCAGAGGATGAGATGTCCGGATGCTGAGATTTGAGGTAAATGAGCCAAGTTGCGAGCCCAGAATCGGTTGATGAAAATATCTCTCGTGTTTCGTTGTACTTGGCAATGCGTTCGATGGAGCTGTTCAGGCTCATGATTTCTCGGAAACTCATGGTTTGTGGCTGTGCCTGTTGTGACACCGGAGAAACTGGAGGCGGCGTGGCTGAAGGAGATGTCTGGAGGGCAAGAACAGGCTGGTCGTCAGCTGTCGTTACAGCCGACACAAGACTTGAGGCAGGTTTCTCAAATGCCTGCGAAAGCCCGTTATTAGCATGAGCTCCAGCGGCGGCGTTATCGCTGACTGGAGAAAGAGGACAAGATTCATCAACAGCGGCCTGTTGGCCAAGAGGTGAATGGCCGCTACTGCCGCTAGATACTTGAGGTGAAACGTGGGCGGCATCGGACGGTCTGTGCTTAAATTGCTTGTTGTCTACCTCAGGTTTCACATCACCTGCCGACTGCTCAACGACTATCCCGCGTGTTTGAGTCGCAGACAATTGCGAATCGGTGGGGCTTTGTTGCGTGGGTGCTAGGCTTGTGTTCTCTGCTTCCCAAGAGAATCGACGGCGGAGTTCCGGAGACTGAGGTGACACTACTGACTCGCTTGCTTTGTCCGCAGAACTGGCGGTAGATCGGCTAGCGGGCTCATTCTGGGCATCAGGAAGTTCGGGGATTGTGGGGAAAGACGCAGAAGACTCAAGAGATTTGGCCTTGTCTTCGGTGGCCGCCCAATAGCTGCGGTAGTCCCGAAGGGTGTAGCTGCTGTCCCTACCGGCTGGAATGCTCGACGATTGAGAGCTATGGCTAGGAGCTCGGTTGAATTCCTGGGCAGAGCCGCCGACGGGGTTCAAAGACTTTAAAATCTCATCACTCAGCACATCGTTATCCTTGATAGGGGAGGAGGCCGCCGTGCTGAAAGTGGTCTCGCGCTGGATGTGGTTGGGTTCGAAGTTTACCTCGGAGCCATGGTCTGTTGGCTTGATGGCTGCTGCTAAAGGAGCGCCGGCAGCATCCGGGGGAGTCTCCGGGGTTTCTGGGGCTGGCAGCGCTGGACCGCGTGGACTTGGAGTCCGCAGTGGAGCAATTATATCCATATCCGAGCTCGGATGCAATACAGGGATGCTGTCCTTGGAAAGCTTACGGGGAGCAGCATTTGCTGTAGGCGACGCAGGCGTTTTGATTTCAGCCGCTTCTGAATCATCTGTATTTGCGTATACAGGTGAGGCAATGGTTGGGAGCGATTCAACTTGATGTAGTTCGCCGTTGGCCGTCTTCTTGTCCTCATATTCTTGTGTAGGAGTTTCAACAATAGCCGTCTTCTCCTTGGCCCGAACTTCCACCGCTGGTTGAGACGCCTGCTGGACTACTTCTGCCTTGGTAGTTGAGGGATTTGAGAGAGAACCAGACTCAGTGTCATGTGTAGAAGCCGGCTCATCTTTGGATGAATCAACACTGCCGGCGGAGAAGAAATCCGTGCCAAAGGCCGACAATCTGGCCAAATCAGGCAACTTTGGGCTGAGAGCAGCCCGGCGACCGTCATAATCAGCGTTCCGACCAGACATCTCAGTCCTGTTTCCAAGATGAAAAGTCTCGTCTCTGCCAATGGAGTCAGGTCGAGCATCAGCCGAGCTGGGTGACCTTCGCTCCTTTTCATTTGCTTCCCCAAGGCGACCGTAGATGTCTGAAGATGGAACAAAAGACGGCGGATTGACCTGCTCGGAACCTACCAAGTCAGGCGCCTGATCATCATTTGTCTTCTCCGAGTGGTTGACACGGTTTCTAACATCATGTACAGTGCTGACAACACGTGGGGGCACCATTACTTCGGCCTTGGTGTGAGGAAAGCCAGAGTCTGAGGGCCCGGATACGACAGGCGAGGTCAAAGTTGTCGATTTTGGTTGTGATGTGGACGTCCAATTTTCAGAAGATTGCTGCGTCTGCAGCGATGGAAGTGTTGCTTCCCTCGTCCCAGCAGCGCGTGCGGATGTTTTGGGCCAGGGCTGCGGGACATCTTCCTCAGATTCTTCATCGTCATATTCGTCAGCGCCCCAATCGTCGCCATCGTAGCTTTGTACCTTGGCCTCGACCCATTTTTTCGTCTTGGTTCGGTTCACATTTACCTGGTAGGCACTGCTACCAGTTGGCGTTTGAGGGGACCTAAATGACGAGGCGGCAAATGTCAGTTATGATTCAAAGTGGACGAGACGGAAACGAAGAGGGCGCGACGGCGCGAAGGCGCCACGTACATTGAAGCTTGGCCGCGCCCGAGCCGCCTAGTTGAACGACCCGCACACTATGGTTCACTGGGTGCGAACTATGAATAGTCAAGCTTCTCGACCACGCATTCTAAAATATCCGATTGCAGTGAGGCCAAATCGCGGTCGTGACGTCGTAAATCCTAGCCCAGCTCTGTAGCCTGACCAGCGAGCGATGAGTGCGCTTTCCGGCGGTGTACAGGGAATGACGGCTGTCGGAGAATTAGTGCTGATACAAGAAAGCAATGCGAAAAGAGAATAAACGATCCGAACCCCGACAAAAAGCAAGCTACGGTTGGTGATGAAAGAGCATGAAGTACGGAGTAGGCGTGGCCAGTTTCTGGAGATTACGTTGAGATGGGAGCTCGTGGGAAGCAGACCAGGGGCGCAAAAGCCATTACTAACAGTGGGTTCGATGAAGAAAGTATTCCCGGCTGGAATCTTCAGCAAAGAGTACATTTTGCGGAACGAAGGATATTAGATGTGGGGATATTACGTTCAATGGCTGAAGCATATTGGCCCACACATGATGGCAAGGGCGCCTCGCCAGCTGATGTCGCAGTATTTTTGGCTCATTTCTGGGTGGGGCCCGTCGACGGACTCTGGCACCTGAAGCAGCCGGGGCAGTTGGGTTCAGCCATTCAGCAAACCAATGTCCGGCCGAGGCCCATTGATTCTCGTAAGACGGCACGAACATTGAACTGATTGTTTGGTCTGGAATGCAACATGGTAAGGATTGGCGTAGCAACGTGTGGGAGGCACAAATTATTTGACCTGGTCAGGTACCTGGCTATTACGCTTTTTATTATAACATTATAGTATTAGCATACTTCTGGGTGGGTAAATACATTCATTCCGCCACAAGCTGTACAATGTACATGTGATGGCGGACAAGGGACTTGTTCCTGTACTCCATTAATTTTGGATGCAAAGCGACGTTTGGCGATCCCCCCTTTTTTTCACCGTTTATTCACCGAGTGCTAACAGCAGCGATGTTTGCCTAACTACCATCTATTTCTGGTTGCACCTCCATGTGGCGAAGTTCGAGCGTGGCGAAGCTACAGTGCCACAGTCTGTGTGGCGCCGTCTGCTGCTCAAGCCTCAAAGGCTTTAACAAGAATGACAGCACCAGCCCCTTTCCGCCTGCAGCCTGCTTAAGCCAGCCAACCAAACCGGGCCTGGACGGCCAAGCCAAATTCAACCACGTGTGTCGTAATTCGTTCAACCCGACAGGAGATGCCACTTCGCCTGTTGCCGAACCCCAAACTCCGATGCGCATCGACACCGTTTCTCTTCCTCAGATTCTCTGGACACCCCGCAGCTTGGTAGAATTGCATGTTGTCTCCTGCGCACCTAGTCTATTGTTTTAATTCTCTCGACTTGTTTCAACCCCGGTTGCTTACCTCCTACCACGCCGCTCGAACCCACTCCTAAGGAATTTAATCGCGACGGAAACGAACAAAAGACGTTTCCGATCGACCTTGAAGAATCCGGACCAGCTAGTTACGAACGTACTTACAGTTCCTCGACTGCTGTGCTTCATTCCCCTCGGTATCGGGCATCATCTCGGTCGCGAAGCCGCGCTGGTCGCAGTCCTCCCGCGATTTTTGCCCACCATAGAACGTGGCCAAGATGGCTGTCGCGTCCATTCAGGATCGAACCTCCGAGTTCAAGTCGGTTCTGGCACAAGCTCAGAAACGCCAGAATGCGAACAAAGTCGGATCGCAGCGGCGGTCGCTTCTGACTGATGCTCAGAAAGCCGCCGCAGATGGATCCGCACAACCGAAGAGATCAGATTTTGCGAGGAAGGCTGCCGAAATTGGCCGAGGCATCTCTGCGACTATGGGGAAGCTCGAGAAGCTAGCACAACGTGGGCTCACCTGAATCGGCGTCCAACGAGCTGTGACACTGCTGACATTCTACTTAGTGGCCAAGCGACGGACCATGTTCGACGACCGACCCGTTGAAATCAACGAACTTACTTTTGTCATCAAGCAAGATCTTTCTGCCCTCAATCAGCAGATCGGAGGCCTGCAAAGTCTTTCAAAGCAGCAACATCCCAAAGCTGACCAAGAAGGCGAGCACAACAAGAACGTCGTGTACTTGTTGCAAGGCAAGCTCACCGACGTCTCGGCCAATTTCAAGGACGTGTTGGAGGAGCGGACCAAGAACATTCAAGCGTCAAGGTCGCGAACCGAAAACTTCATCTCATCCGTGTCGCAGCATGCACAGCCATCCATTCAGAAGTCGGCCTCACCCCTATACGGCACGCCCAATCGATCCTCACCGGCCCCCGCATCCGACACGCTCTCGCTCAACCCGATCGGCGACCAGCAACTGTTGATGATGGAAGAAGCCCAGCCTACAAACGTTTACATTCAACAAAGAGGAGAGGCCATCGAGGCCATCGAGTCAACGATTAACGAACTGGGCAGTATCTTTGGACAGTTGGCAACCATGGTCTCAGAACAGAGCGAGATGATTGAGCGAATCGACGCCAACACAGACGACGTCGTGGACAATGTCGAGGGCGCTCAGAGGGAGCTTTTGAAGTACTGGTCTCGAGTATCGAGCAACCGGTGGTTAATAGCCAAGATGTTTGGCGTGTTGATGATTTTCTTCCTGTAAGTGGCCCGCTCACATTGACGTTTGATTGACACAGTTTGTATTAACATGAATGCAGTCTCTGGGTGTTGGTTTCCGGCTAGGCGAGCCCAGTGCTTCAGAGAAGGGGGGGGACGGATGATGTGTTGCCGCGCAATACTTTGTATGGATACCACTGTGGACGAAAGACGCCAGCCCAGTCTCTTTTGTATGCCTACATGTCTGAGGAGTTTTTTACTGTTTTCTTGTTTCCAAGGCGTCAAGAGTAGTGGGTTAGATAGGATGCATTAATACCAAACCGCAGCCAGGCTGCGCACTCGACTAGCACATGTATACGGGAAATGGCCGCTGATGACAGAAAATCGTTGTTGTCTCACGCTAACGCTTACTTGCTAGTCTTGGCCGTGGCAGCTCCCTCGGGATCGTGAGCCGAGACCTCAATTTCCACCCTCATGTCGTCCTCGGCCAGTCGGGCCACGCCAATACACGTCCACAGGGGCTGGTGATTGGGCATCCACTTCTTCAGGTTGCGCACCATGGCCTCTTCGGCCTCCCGGTTGAGAGGGAGGTGGTAGGAATTAATTCGAAACACTTGCTCCCAGCCCTTGCCCCCGGCGTCCTTCAGGGCTAGGTCGACGTTGCTAAAGGCCAGATCAATCTGGGCGTTGATTTCCTTTTCGAAAACCCCGGTGTCGGGATCCCAGCCACCTGGGCAGGAAACCGCATTAGAAAGATGGGTTTGCAATTGCCATATTTAAAAAAAAAAAAAGAAAAAAAAGAAAAGAAAAGACACAGAGAGAGAGAGAGAGTCGGTACATACCTTGTCCCGCGACCTCGATCCGATCCCCAACGCGCACAGCCTGGCTGTAGCCCACCACCTCCCGCTGGCGGACTCCAAACTTCTCGTAGGCGTAGTACTGGAGGTGAGACATTCTGTGGGTTAGGCGTGCGCAAGTACGTTTGTGTGTGTGCGTCGACTTGGTTTGAACAAGAGTCTGGTGGGTTGCGGGGGAGTATTATAACCACGACCCACGACCCAGAGGGACCAGACTGACCATTGTATTCAGCTAGACGCTCAATGTGACACGACGGGCCTGGCCCCAGACATACAGGCACAGTGGGATAAGCCGACAAGGCCACACGCAGGCCTGGCTTGGCAATAATGCACAAAGCGGGATGTAACGGCGTGGCTGCATCTCTCCTCCGGAAGACCTAGTCGGGCATGCGGGGGCGGGCGCAAGGCGCCGCATGACGTTCATGCACGGAATTCAGCCCGGAACCTTGCCGGAACCTTACCGGAACCTCTGCCCACCGCTCGCCTGTCGCACCATGCGGCGATGCCTTCTCATCTGCATTTCGTGTTATCGGGGCTGCACGTGGCGATGCGAGCGGGGGAGAGTGTTGGTGACGGGCAAGAATCGTCTTTTGTAGTATTTGAATGCGCATGCTCGGGAGGCTAGAGCGGCCCAAGGATGCCGAGGCCGACGAGGAGTCGCCCGGACGGGCGGTCTATTCCGCAGTGCCAAATCGGCCATCTCTTGGACATGTGAGTGCAACACAAAGTGAATGCCATGGAACTAAAACAAGGACTATATTCAGCTAATACCGACGATGTTATCTGTTGCGTTCGTCTCGGCTTGAGCTAGCTGCTCCGTACTTGTAGTCGCAGGCAATATGTATTTACGCAACCCAACGTCACCTTGCGCCACCAGGTGCGCAAATCCTACCGCCTCTGTATGTAACTGCATATCAAGACGTTTCTCCCCACAGCACACTCTTGTCTTCATGCTGCCTCGTCGGGGTTTTCAGAAAAGCCAGCAGCTCCCCGTTGACTGCACACGACTCTTCCCGTCTGGCCGCTCATATTGCAGGCTCCGCCCGTTTTTCACTGCACAAGCACTTCATCTGGTCAGCCCGTTGCAATTCCCTTTTTCTAGACTTGGATCTTGAAGTGACTCGGATGGTTGGGGGCGTCACACTTGGCCTCCCCGTGGCTCACACGTGGCGACCGTCTTCCCATCACCCCAGCATCGTGTTGGTTAAGTCAGCACCTGTCGGTAGCTTTATCACAAACCTGTGCGCATAGCTATCGGCAACTTGTCCCAGGAACATGCGGATGTGAGTGATGGGAGGCTTTCGGAAGAGTCGGGGGAGGCGTGAGCATGCCGTGGACTGGGAATGGGTCTGCGCGACGGTGTTGGCAAGGCTAGTTGCAAGTAGAGCAGAAGGTCTTTCATTTTTACAAAAACAGATACATGTATCCTGTTAGCAATGACCGGCGGTGTATCTGTACAAGGGTAAAATGTTGACGGGATTTCGTTGGGCGAACGGTCATGGCGAGATACCTGTAGTTGTTGACGCTAGGTGCGGGAATTGTGTGAGGTGGACTCTGTCGGGTTGCGAATACTATTACGAGTATTAGGAGTCAGTCTATTGTGGTTGCTGTAAGACGAGCTTGTACATTAGGATTACTCAAGGCAACCGAGTCATAGCCGCCAGTGCTGTCAAGCTCCTAACCTTGTCCCTTTTTTGGATCAATCGCGCAACAGGCAATTAAAGAGTGATCTGGAAGGAAATGGCTTTACTGACACGTATAGTAGGAGGCAAAAAGGCGTTCAACCACATCTGTTACTTGGCTATCGCGCTCCATATATAGTATATCAGTGTGTACTTGCCGATGGATAAGCATATCCTGCCACCTCCATAGTGTCGTAGCACTTGCGGAAAACGGTTCTTACTGCATGGGCTCGACGGGTATCAACTCAGTCGTCTGTCAGAAACAAATTTCAAAGGGCAACTACTTCTTCTTCCAGCCACGTGGTTTGGTCACGCCCAACAGCTCAGACCTCTCTTGATAACGGCTGGTATTTCGAAGACTTGGCCAGCTGTACTCTGCATACGGGATTGTTTTCATTAAGCTAGACTGTCACAACAGTTATTGGGCTTGACAATTGCACCCCTGGAGCTGAAAAATCCCTGGTACTTCCTAATAAATCTCCGGCCAGCGGACTACATGCCCTTGTCACTGCCGCAAGCAAGGCTGTGGACCAGGGTATGAATCAGAAACATGCAAACGTGCCGACATCGGTTTCTAACCAATTGCAACAAGTTGAGGCCTTCTGAACCAATGATATCCTTGAGATTTTTGATGTCTGGCATCGGGCTTATGGCTGTTATGACAGGGGCTGAGATGGCAAGGCTTGGAACAAAAATCTCATTCATGCTCATAATCTGCTTTGAACTGTCAGAAGCCCTTGGTTTCTCTCAGGGATTTGGTCTTGGGAAGCTTTATTTATGCAAGTCGGTGCGGGTGCAAGGCCCCGGGCTTCCGGGCTGATCGCGTGATGCTCTGTGTAACGTGTTGGCCCTCTGTCGCGGCCTAGCCGTGTGACAAAGCTTCACCACTCTGTCAAGAAACAAAGAAGGCTTCGTCTCGGTATTTGCTGCGTTTCGCACATCTGTGAGAGCACAAAACGCCTTTGTATCCTTTTACAGTCATGGCTCTCAGGTTTGTAGATAAGCCATGGCCTTTTTGTTCGTTGGCATCCGAGTCACATCCGGATTCTGGAGTGTGCCTTTTTGGCCTTGAGGGCTGCAGTAGACTACCCAAAGTAGCAGGGACATCTGGAAGAACCCAGGGCCTTCATTTCCGGCAGTCGCAGGTGTTACCTCTCTTTGCGTGTGGCAGGTTGGCCTTCCTAGTAGCTTCAAATGTCAATTCGAAAATTTGAACTTGAGACTTCCCGGCAGCCCGGCCTTCTGCGGAACATGACAGATGCAGTCCGCAGCAGAATAGATTTGCCCACCAAGTAGTTAGTATTCACCAACATACTATAATATATTCAGGTACCTGATACTTGATGTTTGTTATGCAACGTTTTGCCTCTCACTCGACCACTGTACGCGTCCAACAGACGGAGCACGTCCCTGCTGCCCAAGTCATGATTGCAGCCGCATTGGGCACAAAACCAATCACAGGAAATGCAATTCCGGCGCTTAAAAACAAATCCACGGTAACACAATCACACAGCTCAAGTTGTACCTCCGCCAATAATAGCCTACCTCAGAGGCGGGGTTGCAGAATCATCATGCCTCGTTAAAACCACGTTTCCCACCCGTGTCAGAGGCAGACCCTTCTTCTCCCTTCTCTACATGACGATATGAACCATTTCATTGCCTCCACTGACCGTCTCAAGCAGTGAACATGGCAAGCCAGCATGCCAATATGACGTTGCGCCATCTTCTCTGTCAGGAGAAGCCAACCATACGTCGAGAAACACGGCTCACTAAAAACACGACCGGCGAATGGCCAAGAGTAAAGGGCATCACCGTCTGGCATGAATTCACTTTGGAAAGTCTCAACGAAGCCTACGGTCACGTCCTCGACACCGACGTATCCCAACTCGGCCTAGCCACGCCCCAGCCCAAGGAGCTTGAAGGGCTTGTGACCGAAAGAGACAAAGACATCGGACACCTGATCGGCTGGAATGACGAGATGTTGCAGCAGACTGCCCGTTATGCCAAAAGACAACTTGAATTATGCCAATCCAGCAACCTCACATTCAGTTATTCGACGCCCGATGACTCATTTATTGCGAGGCTACCTACTGTGTCGACGCCCATCCTTGTTGACCACGTCATCGGCATCGACGACCCCTTCCAGCCCGTTCTCGTTGTTGGCTTTGGGAGAACAAGCAAGAAATGGAGCTGTACGAAACTCCTGACGCAGCTCCAGAGGCCCAGCCAGCAGCTCAGCTGGCCAATACGACAGCTGGCAAATATTTGCCAGAATGCCGGGACCCGATATGGATACATTCAGACAGAAGACGAGCTAGTTGCATGCTGCTTCAGCATAGCGGACGGTTGCTCGTTCAAGGCGGAAATCATGCCCGTCCCATGGACGAAGCACGGCATCCATACGCTCACGACGGATCTTGCTCTGTGGTGGCTCTGCATGCTAGCCATGGCCCCCGACCAGAGCCGCAACATTGTACGCGAGCGAGATGTGGTTAGAATCAACCAATGGAGAGAGGTTCAGGGGTGGCAAGGAACTCTATATCGCCATCAATATTCGAACTTTGAGAAGCCAAAGGGCACTCCTGACCCCCCTCTCTCGCCGCGTACCTTTAATGCTTTGCTTGAAGATGTGGCATCTTTCGCAAATCTGGGGCCTGACTTCAATAGCCTAGGCTCGTCTGGTTTCGGTCATCCGGGCCAGCAGTCTGAGCAGCCTGACTGGAGCAACTTGGCCAGTATCAGCGAGCTTACGCATTTAGATTCCTTCAATGACCATGTTGCCAAGTAGCCGCATTGCCTTTCTTGATTTGACTTTGATCTCCGCTCTATTTTTCTGCTTCTTCTTCTCTTTCGTCCCTTTTTTTTTTCTTTTTTTTTTTCCTGCGTTTTTCCTTTCAAGTCTACCGGCTGTCTCAGTAACCTACCATCGTTAGTTATATCTAAATATACTGAGAAATATTGAAATACCTCTCAAAGCATCAAGGATCCATTCAAAGACTCAAATCCCTGGTGAAATTACTCGGCGTCCGCCGCTATATATGTTGGAAAATCTACAGCAATTCACACAGCGAAAAGGAACTTGTGTGGGAAGCTTTTGGCGGCCTCCATTGGCTGATTTGACGACGTTTTCATCATGTACTCAATTCTATCTTCAACTTGCTGAAGGCCCGGGAAATTTGACTCGTTTTATACCCTCCACCGAGGCCTTGATTCAGATCCTAGAATATGTTTTGAAACAACCATCGTGACCAATAGCCTCTGAATACCACTTTGTTAACGCATCCATCTAGACAATTTTTCTCGCATACGTGGATAGATAAGACCATTCTTGGCATGCCATTGGACAGGGTGAATACACTCCGTCTCCTCTTTTAAACCGGCCGCCAGCCGTGGATCACAATCAAGGTACCACCTAGGCGGCCGTTTATCAAGGCGTGGTCGAGTTTTCGACACGCCTCGTGTAGAGGTCGCCTGAGCGCGACTTTTTGTTCTCTGTCTTGTTTGCGGACCATGCCGTGTTCTTGCTGCGTCTGGGGCCGGAGTACCGGTACATGCCTTCCAATCGTACTTCCTTGGGTCGACGAAAGTATAGACGCGGGCCCGAGATGGTGTATTTCGCAGGTTGTAGTCGAACCGGCAGCCATATCCGCTGGGGTAGGCACGAGCTGATATTTCAGTTTTCTGGTCCTCGTGCTCCTCATTCCATAGCCGGACCATGTCGTCAAATGTCCAATAATCATTCATACAAAGGAGAAAGGTCCCGAGTTGCAAGACATGCAATGACTCACTCTCAAGATAAAGATGTGGGTTTAGCTCCGGGGTTGTGACGGGGTGCGGCACGGTGATGGCTGTGCTGAAGTCGCAAATCTTGCCACCAATAAGCTGTCGGTCCCCGACGTCGAGGTTGATGATGCCAAGCTGCTGGAGCTGCGTCATGGTTCGAAAAAGTCTCTTCATATCCCTCGTTTTCAATTCCTCTACACCAAGACCAAATTCTTTGACAATGCCTCGGATTGGTGGCGGCCTACCGCTTCTGCCTGGAAAGCTCCCCCGTACGTCTTCATATCCAGGGCATTCACTATTACCATCAAACTCGAGTCGCACGTGTCGCATGTTGCTAAATTTGGCCCTCATGGCACGCTCGTGTTCTTGGTCGAGGAGTAAGTAGCCAAAGCATTGAACAGCGAGCTCCTCGTAGCCCGCTTCTTGAAGGCGGCCAAAACTTCGGCATTCACGATTAAAGGGCTCCGAATAATTGTAAATCGTAGTCAGTGCAGTGATGTCGCTTCTATCAAAGTCGTTTGGAATGCCGTCCCACCCCCATACGTACTCAAACCTGAACTAGGTAGAAAGTCAACATGCTATTATATCGTGTGCCTGTTCAGACAGAACTCGTTACTCACAAGTTTTAAAGCGTAGATACGGCCTAGGATTTCCACCTTGAATACAAATGAATGCAGACCCTCTCCCAAGAATTCAAGAAAGTCGATACTTTGCGGGCCCTGAAAGTCAAAGGGCCTCAGTTTAGGTCCAAAGCATTGTGGCAGTGGCACCAAATCCGCAGCAGAGCTTGGCCAGTCTGGATACATGGAATTCAATAGCTGACAAGATCGATTTGCCAATCGCTATTTCATCCGCTACCGGATACTGTAGTATAGCGCGATAGCCAGATGCCGTATAGGGTTAGGGTTAGATGGAGATGCGAGGATAGAATTGTGGTTTGGGGTTCAACACGAGCCGCAAGTCGAGGGCGCAGGATATACTAGATATTAAAAGAACCTATTTAAATGCAATGCAGAGATGTGACCCTTCCTGCATGGCAAGTAAAGAAGTATTAAATAGTCTGAAGAGGGTTCAAATCGGGTGCGGGTGGTTAGTCAGCAAGTAACCCTCCTATGCCCATTGTCTAAAGGAGTCCTTAACAAGCAACGTATGGTACTACGTCTGCCACCAGACGTTATTACAATGACCAATGTCATGTTCAAAGCGAGGTCAAAGTCGATTTGGCACATGGTGCGTTGGGAGGCCCCCTCGCTGCCATCATCGACAATTGATCATCCATGACGGTTCCGAAGTCGACAAAGTCGCAAATTTAGAGTAGATGATCATGACCAATTACCGCCAAGGGCCAACACTTCTTTCTTCTGCCCACGGCTTTGTCCTCGTCTTGCACATGCTGTTCCTCGGACCTACCTGGACCTTTGATCCACTAACCTGGTCGGCGCCTTTCCTTGTCTCCTTTGTCTCTACGTCGCAGTCTCTGGTGCTCATGGGCGGTTTCTTTATTTTATTTGACCATGTCAATGAAACTCTTTCAATCCGAGGGGAACAAAAACGACGGCTACTCGGGCCGATAATTCAGTCATTACCCTGCAATCTTCTCCAAGGGGGTTCCGAGAACTTCAGAGGGGTCACACGCATGGCCATGACTGACCTCATTTATCACGGCAAATCTTTATGGCTCCCCTTTTGCCGGTGAGTCTACTAAAAATGGACAAGGAAATTCGCGTCGACCGTCTCGCTTCCGTACAATACCCTCACCTTTGCGCGAACACGGAATAGCTCATCTTGTAACACTTTCCGAGCAACTCTGCGTATAACCCTAACCCCGGGACATAAAATACCCACAGACCGCAGAATTACAGTGCTGCCAGGCGAAGGCCCAACAGCTAGTTTCACGATTCTCCAAAACAAAGGAGGAACTCTGCTCCTTAAGCCCGGCAACACGTCTGGTAGCTTAGAAAGACACTTCACGGCACCTTCACTTTGAGAAACGGAGACTCGCCCGAACCGACCCCGATGCTCGTCTCCAACGCAACAAGACCACGCCAGGAACCAGAAAAAGGAATCCCGCTTGAGCAGCAGAATGACCCCGCAGGCCCACAAAAAACCCTGGCGGTCTTTTTTCTCCGTGGCTACAACCAGACTCCAGTCGATATTTCTCCACGCTCTCCACGCGCCATCCCCGACTTGAGCTTCTCCCGCCGACGGCAACCAATTGCAGTAGTTGCCATCGGTTACTGATATCCCGGGGACAGCAAATGCAACGTCCGCGCCAGAGATGATGTCAAGGCCAAAAAAGAGTGCCGCGAATATAATGGCCCTGATCCCACTCTGCGCAGCTCTCCCTGCCTCCCAAATCTACTCCTCCCGTTTCTGAGCATCTGCAAAATGTCCGACCTCAAGTTCAAGCTCAACACCGGCGCCGAGATTCCCGCCGTGGGCCTGGGTGCGTATACTCTATCCGCGATGCCAACCCGTGAGCCACGCTAACAAGGCTGGTCTTTTTTTTTGTTAAGGAACCTGGCAATCCAAGCCTGGAGAGGTCCAGGCCGCCGTCTCGTACGCCCTCCAGAACGGGTACAAGCTCGTCGACGGCGCGTACTGCTACGGCAATGAAGGCGAAGTCGGGCAGGGGCTCAAGGAGGCCTTTGCCGCGGGCGTGAAGCGCGAGGACGTGTTTGTGGTGACCAAGGTGTGGGCGACGTACAACACCCGTGTGGCCGAGGGCCTGGAGAAGAGCTTGCAGAGCCTGGGGCTGGAATACGTCGACCTGCTCCTGATTGTGAGTGCGCTTGTGCGATGGGAAGGAGAATTGCCTGCGGAGCGTTTTGCTAATCGCCTGGCAGCACTGGCCTGTTTTGCTCAACCCCAAAGGTGGGCAAACAAACCTCGAAGCTGGACTGTCGGGTTGCATCATGCTAAATCGGATCCAGGCAACGACGACAAGTTTCCCACCCTGCCCGACGGCTCGCGCGACATTATCCGCGACTGGAACCACGTCGAGGCCTGGAAGCAGATGGAGCAGGTGTTTGCGAGCGGCAAAGCCAAGGCCATTGGCGTCTGCAACGTGCGTCCAAAAACTACCGCGTGTCGTTCCGTCGCTGACGCCAGTCTAGTACAGCAAAAAGTACCTCGAGGAGCTTCTGCCGCATGCCAAGGTCGTCCCCGCCGTGAACCAGATCGAAAACCACCCCAGCCTGCCGCAGCAGGAGATAGTCGACCTGTGTAACGAAAAGGGCATTCACGTCATGGCTTACAGCCCGCTCGGAAGCACTGGTGGGCCGATGATGAGCGCCGCGCCCGTTGTCAAGCTTGCTGAGAAGAAGGGTGTCAATCCTTCCACTATTCTGCTCAGCTACCACGGTACGTAATCAGCAATCATTGTTGGGATGACGCATTGTATCCCTTGGCTTAACCAAAGAGTGTAGTTGCCCGCGGCAGCACTGTCCTGCCCAAGTCTGTCACGCCTGCTCGGATCAAGGCCAATCTGGAGATTGTCAAGCTGGACGCCGACGACATGAAGGTTTTGACAGACTACTCCGACGACCTGACTAAGAAGGGTGAATTGAAGCGTTATGTGTATCCGCCATTCGGGATCAACTTTGGCTTCCCAGATAAACAGTAAATTACATAGATAGCCACGATCATGGAGAAGAGTTAAAAATGACTAAAGACTGCAACAGTTCTGCTAGACTCCTACTTTGTATGTTTCCCTATTTTTATAGTGATACTAAACTACACGACTGCAATGACTCCCCCTACTCCTGCTTCATGTCCACTACAACCTTGAGAACCAGACGCCCATCATCGTCCTTGACTCTGCCCGCCATCGCGAATGCATCGCCAATGTGCTCCATGCCCTTGAATCGGTGGGTGACAAGCGAAGACAAGTCCGGCATATTACGAGGACGATTTGAAAGGAGCTCGATCGCTCTCTCATAGACATTGGCGTATCGAAAAACGCCCACAAGATCGACTTCGCGCAGTGCGGCTGCCGACATGGGCAGCGTGAGAATCGGGTTTCCCATGCCAATAATCATGACCTTGCCGCCGGGTTTGGTTGCCTATGCCGTGCGGTTAGCTTCATTGGCGCAAAGAGCAAAGATCGCTCGACATACGTAGATGGACGTCTGCGTGCAGGTCTCAACGCCGGTGCACTCATAGACGGCAGAGACTTCGCCAACAGCCTTGCCATGGACTTGGGTCTCTTTGATCTGGCTAGCGACGTCTTGCGCATACGCCAATTTCTCTTCAATCGACTGCGGGCGGGCCATTGGCACAACGAATCCCGCGTCCGCATAGCCATTCGCGACGGCAAAGTCCACGCGGTCCTTTTGGATATCTGCGATGATGACGGCAGCGGCGTCGTCGGCCTTGCTGACTGCCGCAGCGAGGAGACCGACCGCGCCGGCGCCAAAGACGAGCACTGTTGAGCCGGCGGGCAGGTTGGCACGGTTCCGCGCGTGCATAGCAACCGAGAGTGGCTCAATGATTGCGCCTAGATCTAGAGAGAGCCGGGACGGGAGTCTGTGTGAATCAGCACGTGTTTTTGGAGGATGGTGCGGGGGACTCTCACTTGTGACACCAACGAGCAGGGTGGTTGATCTTTTCTTGCAGCGTGCCCTGCGCGTGGGGGTTGGCTTTGGCCGAGCTTCTAAACTTCATTCCGCGGCAGATGTTGTATCGGCCTTGTTTGCAGTATTCGCATGTCTCGCAGGGCAGACCGACTTCGAGAGCGACTCGGTCTCCGGGCGCCAGGCTCTTGACGTCGGAGCCGACTGCCACCACGGTGCCGCTCGACTCGTGGCCGAGCGTCAAGGGCTCGCGGACAATAATGTCTCCATTTCGGTAATGGTTGAAGTAGTGCAGGTCTGAGCCGCAGAGGCCGGTGGACTGGATGGCAATCTGTACTTCGTCGGCTGCAGGAGCTGGCAGATCACGGGTTTCCTGGGCATGTCAATTAGTATGCGCAATGCTGGAGATGAAAGGCTGGGCAGGGTTTTGTACAATGCGCAGGTCCTTGGCTCCGTGTAGAACGGATGCGTTGACGCTCTGTGAAGCCATTGTGATGCTTGTCCAAAATAACCAAATCCAACTTGGTTTCCAATGCTTTGGGGTGAGTATATTGCGTGCAGCAAGCAGGCGGCGAGCGAGCAAGAGATCCAAAATCGCGGTGGAAACGAAAATCCAGGTGGTCAGAGTTCCAGAATCACAGCATCCAGAGCACAGATCGTGGCAATTAAATCCCCGCCAAGAGTCCGGTCAAGGGTCTGGTCCGACTTCGCGGGCTGGAATGCCGCAGTGATTCAGTGTCGGGTTTGCTACATGTCAATCATTCGCCGACGTCGTCTTGACTAGTGCTGCGTTCAATAGCCGGAGCCTGAGCCGAAGTGGGGGCGGGGTAGCGGCATCTGACACTTGATCCCTCTTGCCCTCGCCGGAGAGAGTTGCCTTAAGGAGCAACACGCCCAGCTCGCGGACGGGGCGGTTCAAAAGGCGTGGTAGGCAATAAAATTTAACCAGGCCAAGTACCTGTCCATCGCGCTTTATAGTATAGTACATTAATGTATACTAGTATATACTTCTTTGTGGGTAAATGTATTCTGCCACAGACTGTAGGGTGAGCAGTCCCCATCTCTTTTGCTTGCGAAATTAAACTCCCAAGACACAAAATCTACAACCTTGTCCCTCATAAACCCATCAATCGCTGATGTTGCCTCTGTTGGCCGTTTGGCGCTACCTTTCCTCTTCATCCTCTTCTGTCCACGGACTGATCGTCATTCAGCCAGCCGCAAGCCGGTCAGGCCAATCAAGCCAAAGATATGATATTGCAAATCCCGGTTAGAATGGCGAAACACGATTCACCTTGGTTTCGCGACAAACTTCACTGCCCGCCGTCAATTATCACCATCCAGTGCGACAATGAGCCTCATGTCGCCAGCATGTCGCCCTCCGGGCCGGAGGCTGAAAAACCCACCCCTGCTGACAGGAGGATCACATTCAGGACAATCGAGAACAGTGCTGTTGGTTGGGGACTTCCTGTCTTCCCCACCTCCACACTTTCGAATTTAAGCCTCATCATCACGGGCAACGATAGATCGCGTCCACGAAGCAAAGAAGAGAAAAACTCTACAGTCTGAGAGCCCACGGAGTCCTGCCGCAGGGATTCGTTGCTCTGGGTCACCATATCTGACTTTGATTGTTGGCCGTCCAGAGGCTCCTCAACCGGACCACGTGGCTCGCGCGGCCTGCCTGTTGGTTCACATAACTCTTTTTTTTTGACGCTCTTCCTTCTGTCAAGTCTGTCTTGGTATTCGTGAACAGATGTTCGGCATCAAGAGCGCAGGGCGGTTGGCTCCATTTACTTCATAGCAGAGACTCGTCGTCTTTTCCTTCACTCCCATACGGAGTACCGTCTCTCAACTTAGGAGGGAAGCGCCGTCGCTCTCAAGACCAAAGGCGAATCAGCGCCAAAAACACAGAAATCGCCTCTCGAACACCAGATTGTGCTCGATCATTCAGCAATCTTCATTTCTCTGGCACCCAAGGGTGTCCACTGTCGACCGATATGTCACGGCAGCAACGCGCACATGGGGCCACCTTGGCAAATACTGCCATCTCGCCGGTTCCTGGTACGACTGTAACCACCTACACAGGTTCCACTGTCTCACTGCCCGTCGCACGGCGGAAACAGAACATCGCGGCGGGGTTGGTGCCATGTCCAATACGGCATCAAGGATGGGTCACAGTAAGGGAAGGCAGCTTTATCACAGCCTGGAAGGACAGATACTTGGTCCTCAGCAGAGAGTGGCTCGACTTTTGCAAGACAGAAGGAGGCAAGTCGGTGTACACACTCTTTTTGAACGATGTTGTCGGCGTTGGTCGCGTCGAAACTGGTACCCCGATTCTGGAAATTAAGAGGAAAGCCGATGGAACTTCATCTAGCCCTGGCGAGAAGGAGGGTGGCATGCGCATCTTGCACGTCAAGACCAAAACGGAGGATGAATTATACGGCTGGATTGACTTTATATATACGGCATGTCCGGGATTAGGGGGGGTGAGCAATCCCACCAACTTTTCGCATGCAGTACACGTTGGGTTCAATCCAACTAGTAAAGAATTCGTCGGCCTGCCCCACGAATGGGCTCAGTTGTTAAGTGCGTCGACAATAACGAAAGAGGATTACGCACGAAATCCACAAGCCGTTATCGAAGCTGTCGATTTTTATTCCGATCTGACAAAAAAGTCTAACAATCCCGAACAGTATTTGGCACTGTCACCAACCCGAGCAACCCGATTGCTCGAGGAGCTGAACGAGGCTTCTGGCAAGGATCCAACTATTCCAGCTCAAACTAATGAATCTCCTCGTCCTCTGGAGAATGCATATACTGCATATGGCGGCCACGTGAAACTCACATTCCAACAGCACGAACAGAGGAGAGAACGAAGCCAGGAGAGACGGCCCAACATACCTTTCAAGCATATAGCCGTATCTCCTCCTCGAACCCCCGGGAAAGCTACACGAAAGGCTACACAGGACACCCAGCTGTTACACCCAGCACCATTGGCTCCGAAGTTGCGACGGGTACCTGCTCAGCCGGTTCGGCCTATCGCCCAGCAGCCAGATGCGGATACAGCTACAGCAAACCCGGCGCTCGTCCCGCCTGAGGTCTGTCCTAAACATGATTTGCAGCCAGCCCAAGACCCCGGGTTAACGCCTATTCCTGTTCCGTCAATGCTAAGACAGACTATTCGACATCAAACTACGTCAGAGGCTGAGCTCATTTCCAAGTTACAGACAGTTGTGTCTTCAGGAAATCCAGATGACTCATATGCTAGACAGAAGAAGATTGGGCAGGGTGCTTCCGGCTCCGTATATGTTGCCAAGATCAAGGCCACGGCTGTTGGGACTGCTCGCGACATTATTCTCGATCGAGGCTTGAATACTCGGGTTGCAATTAAAGAAATGGTTCTTGCACGTCAAGCTCGCAAGGAACTTCTTGTGGATGAGATTATGATTATGAGGGAGAACCGACATGAGAACATTATCAACTTCCTCGAGGCATTCCTCGTCAACGAGAACAGACAACTATGGGTTGTGATTGACTATATGGATGGTGGTGCATTGAACGATATTATAGACAATAACTCAACAATTTCCGAAAGACATATGGCAACCATTTGCAGAGAGGTACGTGGGGCTGGACTAGGACGTTCTGTCGAGGCGTACTAACAGCTTCAGACTTGTAAAGGGCTACAGCATCTTCACGCGAGATGTGTCATTCATCGAGATATCAAGAGCGACAATGTTCTCATGGACAGCCGAGGAAACATCAAGATCAGTATGTCGGCGTCCTAAATCGCATACCTAAATAGAGCACCTACTAATTCAGAATAAGCCGACTTTGGATTCTGTGCCAAACTCAACGAACGAAGATCTAAGCGTGCCACCATGGTCGGCACCACATATTGGATGGCCCCCGAAGTGGTTCGACAAAAGAAGTACAGTTACAAGATTGACGTATGGTCCTTGGGGATCATGGCTATTGAGATGGCAGAAATGGAGCCGCCATATATGGACGAGCAGCCTTTACGGGCACTGTATCTCATTGCCACGTCCGGGACACCGCCATTGCGCCATCCGGACAAACACAGCCCGCTGCTCAAGTCATTCTTGGCGAGATGTCTAAGGGTCGATGCTGAGCAGCGTGCCTCGGCGGATGCATTGCTGGAGCATGAATTTTTAAAGTCTAGGGGTAATGTGAGCGAACTGGTAGAGCTGTTGGCGTATAAAAGTGAGACTTAAGGCCGGTGCGCCGGTGTTTTTTTGGCATAATCTTGGGCTGGGAAATACGGGCATCCTGAAAATTGACCTTTCTCATACACATATTGGTTAGATTTATGGTATCATTTCAATAAACACGAACTAAATCTCCGAAATCGACTGTCAATAGATTGTAGAAATATGGCAAGAAGCTAGAGATCAACAACACTCTACGGAGCATTGAAGTTCGGTTGTGGCTCTTCCCCTCCCCACCATCATCTACCCCAACTTTCTCTTCGCAAATGCGGCCATGATCGATCCACTTCTACCTTTGACACAGCTTGTTCAAACGGACGTTGCCAACCGCGTTTGACCGCCGGGGAGGAAAAGACATGAGTACTACTTGGCGAGTAGGACAATTTCAACGACACATACAGAAAGGGGAACTCAAAACGGTTCCATCTCATCTTTGTCGGCCCTCCACAAATTAGCGTCAAAGCCAGAAATGGCTCCGCCCAACGAGGTGCGATTTCAACCTTGACACCACAAACAACCCACCAGTTCTCGTCACCAAAGCAGTCGCTAACCCCCAAACCCACAGCATGATTCCGGCGAGGCCGAAGTCCCCCATGTCCGCACGTACTTCTACGCCGGGGGCGAGTACGCCGAGGACGGAAAAGGCGGCCACCTCCTCCACAACCAAATGTACGTCGAGAAGCTGGTGCCCGCGCCGGGCGTCACGCAGAAGTGGCCGATAGTGCTGATGCACGGGAACTGCATGACCGGGACAGTACGGCCGTCCCCCCCTACGCCGCAGCTCCCTCTGCACTACGCATCCGCGGCTAACCCATCCCCCTAGAACTTCCTCAACAAGCCCGACGGCGGCCGAGGCTGGGCATCCGACTTCCTCCGCCAAGGCTACGAAGTCTACGTCGTGGACCAGCCGCTGCGCGCCCGCTCGGCATGGCACCCCGGCGACGGGGCGCCCTCCCTGTCCGCATATCCCGCCGAGCTCCTGCGGGACCGGTTCACGGCGCCCCGGCCCTCGAGGCAGTGGCCCCAAGCGGCCATGCACACGCAGTGGCCGGGGACAGGAGCCATGGGCGACCCGGTGTTTGACGCCTTCTACGCCTCCACGGTGCCCTTTGTCAACAACGAGGCGTACCAGCAGCTGGCGGCGCAGAAGGCCGGCGCGGCGCTCCTGGACAGGATCGGCAAGCCTGTCGTTCTGCTCGGGCACAGCCAGGCGGGCGCCTATCCGCCGCTGATTACCGACGTCCGGGCCCATCTCGTCCGGGCCATGGTCCTCGTGGAGCCCAAGGGGCCGCCGTTCCAGGAGGCCGTGTTTAGTGGGAGGAAGTCGAAGCCTTGGGGGATTTTCGACGCGCCCATTACGTATGAGCCTCTGGTGACGGATCCGGAGAGGGACCTTGTCAAGGTGACGTACCCGCCTGCTGGGCCGGGTTTGGCGGAGTGTGTGCTGCAGGCAAGTGATCCGCCGCCGAGGAGGCTGAAGAACCTGGTGGGTAAGCCGATGCTGGTCGTGACGGGGGAGGCGTCGTACCATGCTGTGTATGACCATTGCACGGTCGAGTTTCTACGGCAGGCGGGGTGTGACAAGGTTGAGCATTTGGAGCTGGCCAAGGTTGGGATACATGGGAACGGGCACATGATGTTTCTGGAGAAGAATAGCGGCGAGATTCAGGGGGTGGTTGAGCGGTGGATTCGAAAGGCTGTGAGTGATGGGCTTTCGTGCTCGTAGTGCCCGGCGTGGAGGGGGTGAGCCATCGACATGCTCGGGTTGAGGTCGGGGCACAACGGCTACTTGATGGGCCGGCGTTGGATATGCTTGACTGTGTGTGATACAATGAACCAAGACTACCTAGGTATATCAAGCCATGACTTTTTTTCGGCTGTAGTGCCAGAAATCTTGCTTGAATGACTGAGATAGCTAGGCATCGTTTACTTGGTGATATGTATACTTATAAGAAGTATAATATCTTATACTACTACCAGATATTTTCCTAAAATATACGAGAAAATAATATTACAATAACATTTTTCGTTCAATCCGCCGTGGTGGCTCCTTGTTAAAAGCCCAGAGTATTGGCCCGGCGGGTATATCACTTGGATGGAAGCATACAAACCTATTGGACACCTTTCTGGATGCTTTGGAACACGAGGAGAAGATGCGAGGTCCCCTACCTGGCGCACTACTTGGGTGTTCTGGTGGCATTTCTCTGTCGCGGACGAAGGTGGGAGGATCAATCATGGTTGATCAACTACGCATCAAGAAACAGCCGGGTCTTCGCTTCACATTCATTGACACTAGCAGCTACGGGACCAATGACGATGGTGACCATCGCGCCAGGCCCTGCAGTAAGTCGAACATCACAGTCATAGTGGCCGGCGAGCGGCATCTATGTGAAATCAGTCGAAGAGAAGGGAAGACAGTCGTTCCCTCGCTTCCACAGCATCCCACTCAACCAGTACTCGTTGCTGCATCTCCGCCATCTTCACTTGCACGAGCGCCTCCATCCCCGCTTGTTCCTCTTGATCCAGAAGCTTTACCCTCGTCTTCCACAATTGCTCCGTGGAAATATCTTTGTCCCGGTGACCGAAAAACCTCTCATCCAAGTACTTCCAGTATACAGCATCAAAGGCCCAGCTCTTTCTCGCGGCATAATTGAGCCAGAAGCGGCCTGTCCTCCAGCTCTCGCGCATGTATTCCGAGAGCCGTGAAGAACCGGCTTGCACATCTTTCTCAGCCTCTTCCAGGGCTGAAAGCCAGGTCTGCAGCCGGCTTTCGTAGACGGAAGTCCAGTCATCAATGCCATCATCCCACATCTCTGGCACGTCGAGAAGTAACCACCAGGGCGGGTCAAGGACGAATTGCGTTGGCCCGACGTATGCGTATTCCCAGTCAATGGCCGCGAGAACATGGTCATTCTCATCGACGAGCACATTGGCAGGTCTGAAGTCATCGGACCACAGGCGAAAAGAGCCCGAGCCGTCTGGCGCGGACAATGTTGCGGGGGCGTCCTTGCAGCAGGACGACCAGTTATCCTCAGCGAATCCGAAAATTGATAGTCGCCCTTGCTTGGCTAATCTGCGGAACAGCTGCCGAGCGACATATTTGGTCCTGCAATCGTCCTCTGACGAAATCATGTCGTTGCGCTGGAAGACGAGGGTTGCGATTTGCATTTCAGCCAAGACGGTATACCACTCATCAGCGCTGCGGTACGTGGTGCCTTTGGGAGGAAAGATGCATGTTGGAACATTGGAAAGCTGAACCATGTTGCGCATGTTGAGAGTGATGGGGCGTCCCATTACGCGGTACGACTTGTTGCTTGCCTCGACGAGGCTTCCGATACATGGAAAGGTAGCTTGTGCAAGCTGTAGCACACACCGTGCCATTTTAAAATACTGGCACTTGAGCTTGTCCTCGGGAATGTCCGGTTGCAAGACGGGCGTGTCATTAGGATCATCTCGGGGAGCTTCCAGGACCTGGCCCATGCCCCGTCGAGATCCAACGTCTTCGATAATCATGAACGGCCCAATATCGGCATCAATGCCGTGACTGAAAAGTTTCGGGATCGGAACAAGAGTACGTTGGCTAACGCATGCCGCGGTCGCGGCTTCTGCAAGTGTCTTCTCTTCAGGAAACAGCGCTTGGTTGGGGCAGGGCAGACGAACGAGAACGTTGGTGGCAAGACCCTCGATGCGTATGGGATAGAGCACATTGAAGCCGTCAATGATCAAGGGGGTGACCAAAGTCGCGGGTTTTGTAAACATCTTCTCGGCAAAAGATACGACTTTGCGACAGGCTGAGGCAGATCGGACTTGCTTCATGGCCTCCTCCCAGAGCTTGTCGCTTCGGTCCCATGCAACATTGTCAGAGTCCTGTCGTGCTGCCATCCTGGATAGGATATGGTAAGGCTGATTTGAAGGGTCTGGTCGTGTTAATCGTGCTACCAATTGGCTCTATCTATTCGTGCTATTACCGCTTGATTTGACCTAGTGACTACATGTCAATGCTAACTGCAATTCACGTGGGGACCCTGAAGCAATATTACCAAATCGAGCATTTAGCGCCGAGCCCCCACTAGAACCCCCGCGGGGGAGGCAGCAGCCGTCGGCTTTTGCTTTTGTGTCGACTTTGCCGAAAAGATATCACCTCATGTCCTCGCCCTCTCCGCGCTGCTTCGCCCCAGCATCAAAAACACACGGAAACAAGTCGATATGAGCGCGCCGATATTCTCACTCCAGGGCCAGACAGCCGTGGTCACAGGCTGCACCCGTGGCATCGGCCAGGCTGTGGCTATTGGCCTCGCCGAAGCAGGCGCTGATGTCATTCTCGTACAGGTATTTCGAAAACAACCAAGCATGAAGGGTCATTAGCGAAGAGCCATGCTGATTCCTACAAAACAGCGAGATACCAGTGTCACTTCCACCAAGGAAGCGATTGAAAAGTTGGGCCGCAAGGCATGGATCTACACGGCCGACATGGCGGACCAGCAGTCCGTCAAGGCGCTGACTCCCAAGATTCTAGCCGACGGACACGAGCTTCGGATTCTGGTGACGTGTGCCGGCATCCAGAGGCGGCATCCGTGCGAGGAGTTTCCCGACAGCGATTTCAACGAGGTTCCTGCCTACCTACCCCCTGATGTGAAACGCAGCGTCGCGGTGCTAACAGCCCTGCGCAGGTCATGCAGGTCAACCTCAATGCCGTATTCACGCTCTGCCGAGACGTGGGCGCACACATGCTGCATCTCGAGCCGTCGCCCACCACCGGCCGCCGCGGCAGCATCATCAACTTTGCCTCGCTGCTCACCTTCCAGGGCGGCTTCACGGTCCCGGCGTACGCGGCGTCCAAGGGCGCAGTGGGCCAGGTCACCAAGAGCTTCGCAAACGAATGGACGTCCAAGGGCATCACGGTCAACGCCATCGCCCCCGGATACATCGAGACGGACATGAACACGGCGCTGCTGAACAACCCCGAGCGCCTGGCGAGCATCAGCGCCCGCATCCCCGCGGGACGATGGGGCAGCCCAGACGACTTCAAGGGCACGACGGTCTATCTGGCGAGCCGGGCGAGCGGCTACGTCAGCGGCCACACGCTGGTCGTCGACGGCGGTTGGATGGGCCGGTAGATGAGAAGAGGAAAGCGAGACGGGGTTTGCAACGGTGTAGTAGAGAGGTATCATTAGCGCTACTAGAAAATCCGACGCTGTTCAAAAACTCCCCAGACCAACGAATTCCATCCCCCTGAAGCCAATGAATCGACAGCAAATCTCGTTGACTCTGCGTTTCCCCCCTCTATCCCATCCCACTTGACGTCTTGGACAAAGAATCGTTTTCAGGATGTGCTCGAGGTAGAGTTTGAGCGCGCCCTAACAACCCTCTTCTTGCCCAGCTTCCACGCCCCCGAGGGGTCCTTCACAACAGTGACCTTGCTGCGCTGAAAGCGCACAAAGCCATTTGCCTGCGTGTTCCGCGACAGTACTCTAGCACAGCCTCGTCAGCACACATTTCCCGAGACCAAAGGCAGAGCCGCAGGGGGTGCGGGGGTAAGACATACTCTGACTGAAGCGCAGCGATGCGCATGCGCGCAAGGACAGGGTGAAACTCGTCCATTTTCAACTCCCAAATAACCCTTAAGACTCGAGGTGAAAAGAAAATACCCAACGCAAGTTGTAGTTTAAAAAACACCACGGCTGCAAAGATGTCTAGTCTAGGGAAAAGACGAGCGGTCTGCAACAAGGTCCAACCTCAAGCAGAAGGGGAGACTGAGGAGGCCAAGGGGAATCATTGGACCAAGCCAGGGTATTTAAAACTCGAGCAGATCCCCGCCTGGGACGGGAGGAAGAAACGAGCCATGTCAAAACAGACTCTCTAGCCCTCCCGCGCACTTCCTGGGGTGCAGGGCGCCACGACGGGCTCGGAGGAGGAGAGAGGTGGGCTGGCTGCTGCATCTGGAGACTGGTCGTCTGATCGATCACATGCTTGCTGCTAGCTAGTGTGTCGAGTCTGGTGTCTCAGGACGAACTGGCCGAGTTGCGTGGTGGAGCACATGCAAGCGCATTGGGTTTTGGGGGGGCGGGGGAGTGCGCCTGGGGACGAGGCAATACGCTGTGAATAGTGACGGAATAGGTGCCGTGGCTGGCGAGTGACGAAATTGCGGCTGGACCTAGTCGTGAGACCGGGCGTCTGGGGAACGCTGGGAGGGTTGGAGGGTTCAATGTTTGAGGGTTTCCGTCGTGAGGCGCCGGATGTGGTTTGGTGCGGACGGGATGCGGCCGGCGACCAGACGTTTCGAACGTCTTTATTTACCGTCGGGCGGGATACAGTGGGAGGCGAAAAGTATATGTATTCAACTGGGTTGGGTACCGGGCTATCACGCTATAGACTGTAATATGTTGTGGTATCAATATTAGTGTATACTTCTTCATGTGTAAATATATTCTGTCGTATATGCACTGTGAAATATTACTCGCGGTCAGGTTGTGGAGAGTGTGTAGAACCGAGAAGTACAGTGCTGTTGTACGTACCAGACGTAGTCTCGCATGCAGATGGAGAATAGAACGTCGTCCTGCAGATGCATCGCTTAGGGGAGCAGTCATCTGCTTCTATCGTATTGCGGACTGGAGCACGTCTGATGCCGCCTGTCGAGAGAGGCTAGGCCAAAGCCGCTCGCTTGCCGGGCTGAAATCCACTCGCCTTGGGCATTTGGAATGTTTGCACGCCAAGGGCGCCTTCGCACCAACTTGGACCTCTATTGCAATTTGGAGCATGGCAAAATGACAGAGCAGTGAAGACATACTCACCATGTTGCAATGCCCTGGGCGGGGCGCGACATGACTCGACAGCCTTGGTTACGATACTCATTCACAATGGGCGGATAAATACCCATTCGCCCGTGTCACGCATAGCACAATCCAAGCTCGAATCGATCCCTGCATTAATGCGGCACCGAGTACGTCTGACGTCTATACATTCCATGCCGTCTACCCATCAATCAATTGCGGCACTGCCAGTGTGCGCCCAAACCTTGTTCCATGCCAGCTCTAGATTTTGCTACCTGCGCCGCGAGAACAACGCATCAGCCCCATGTACAGAGGAAAAAAAAACAAATATTCAAAACCAAAAATCATATATAGCAAGGACGGGCTGTATTCAAATCGACAAGTGTGGCCATCAGGCTAATGTGCTAGTAAACGCAAAGACAAGTGCAGTCTTGTACATGCTGAGCCATTACGGGCTTGCGAGTATCAAGACTTGCATGATGAAATCGGTCGGGAGTAAGGTGGTCGAGGGCTGTCGGGTAAAAGAGGCATTTCGGGAGAGGTGTCGCGGCGGCCAAAAAAACACGACGGAGACTTATTGAGATTTACTCTTATTTCCCTGGTAGTAGTGTGCCATCTGCAAGCCGGCCCGTCTGAAGCCGCACTTGACGTAGAAACCCTCGTTGGCATCGCTGCAGTCGAGAATGCACTTGTAGCAGCCGACCTTTTCGGCGACGTAGTCGAGGGCTTGAATGAGTCGGAGGCCGAGTTTCTTGCCCTGCTGGTCTTTGGCGACGGCGATGTCTTCAATGTGGCCGACCGCACCGAGGCTGTGGATGCTATGTAAATAGTCAGCAAATCGGTTCTCCTCTCCAGGTGTTGTTGACTTGGGGTTCCATCGCGAGTCTTCCAGCGTGGCTGGAGATTGGGGACGTACAACTTGCGCTCAACTATCAGAGCACCCGTAGCAACGACCGATTTCTCCTTCTCAGTTCTGTTGGTGTCCTCAATGACAACGATGTAGTAGCCCCCCTGCTGATTCATCTGCTTGAACTGCTCCTCAAACGCCTCCCTGGTGATGTCGCCGACCGTCGTCAGCACTCGCAGACATTCCAGGAAGCCGGTGTCAAAGTCGCTCGGTCGCAGGGCCCGCAGCTGGTAGCCTTCAGGCAGCTTTTCAGACACCTCGGAAGAGATGAGCTTCGATGAGAAGAGACCCTCTTCGGATGCCATGGTAATTTCGATGGTTGGATGAGGCATAGGGACTTGAGGAACGTTGGCGTGGGGTGTTGGGTTTGGTGGCGTACAAACGGGGACAAAGGCTAATTCGTATCAATTGGGGTAGCAAGAGACAGCAATGTAGTTCAGCGAGCGAGGGTAGAGCGGTCGGGATGGATTGAAATGAAGAAACGAGAGTCGAAGTCTAGCTGGGGGAGAAAAAAAGGGGAGGGCAGGAGAGAAAAGCACGGCAGATGGGGTTGGGATTGGATGGGATGGTGAGGCGCAAGTCGATAAGCATCACAGCCGATAGCATCCAAGACAACAAGATTGGGACATCCAGGGTCAGGCTGGCCAAGGTCGGTGAGGCTGAGACGGACGCATCTGGCCGACTGGTCTGTGCTGGCGCCTCTGGTCAGCGGCCAAGGAGAGCCCTTGTGGGGGAGAGGAGGCGCCTGATTGGCCCAAGTTATTGTTTTGGCTGTGGAAAGAAGCCCACTGCGCCTGCCCAGCCCTGTAGGCAGGTCCCTGGAGGCAGATCGCAGGGGCGCTCTTCAGGGGCATGGGGTCTCAAGTGCTTTCTTGGCGCATTCAACCGTTCCATTGTCTTGAGCCCGAACCGTTTGCGGCTTCCCGCACTCGACATTGACAGAATGCCGAGGAATTGTTCACCGGCTACGGAAAAGGTGACACAATTCAACCAACGATAATCGACAAACCGGCATGGCCCTTATTCACGATTGCTGGCGTGGCGGTGACTGGCCCTTGAACCTTGGACAGGCGCTGTTGTGGCAACATAAGCCGGAGCCTCGTGTTTATTATTGGAAACACTGAACGGGCCCTCCGTAGATCCAGTAATTTGGTCCAATGGCCGGCAACCAATCGCTCAGTGCTCCGTTAAGCTCCATTGATGTCAAATTTCTGTGCCTGGTGTCCCGGGCCAAAACATTGAACTAGACATTTTGGATGCTGAGCCATGGCGCCAGTTCGAAGTTCCAACTCCAAGCCCGCATCCACGTCATTGTACCACCAGATCTGTATTGGCAGCTCGATTCCTAATTGCAGATATGCAACGGCCATTAATAGCACGCCTGCTTTCTCCAACACCAAGTCGCTCACCTGCATTATTGCCCTTGTGCCCGCAACTCTGTGTTTCACTCAATGCTTCACGAAGAGCCAGTTCTCTGGCCCACAAGCTTGGCTGGGCGACTACAGCGCGTCGTCGGTCAGAGCCACACGCACGCTTCCATCTCAGGGGTTTGACATTATTGATGATACACGGCTCCTGGAAGAGGAAGGGCTACCAGAATATGATTCTCATCACTTCTACCCCGTCCGACTTGGCGAAACTTTCAATGACAGGTTCCAGACAGTAGCAAAGTTGGGCTATGGGTCGTCCTCTACCATATGGCTAGCTCGTGATCTCCAGTGAGTGAGGCGCGTGAGGAGTGCGAAACGTGACGCGCGATTGACCTTGCAGCACAGAGAGCATCAATATGTCGCCCTTAAAATTTATATACACAACTCAGCTCAACACCGGGAATTGCCCTTTTATGAAAAACTCAACAAGGCCTTGCCGAGCCGGCATATTGGTGCAGAAAACATAAGGAAGCTACTTGGCTCATTCAATGTCAACGGTCCTTTTGGCACCCACATCGTCCTAGTGCTTCAAGCCTCTCAAATGAGTTTGCGTGATATGGACACTGTTTTTATGCAAGGCCGTGGATTTAATGAAAACTTCGTCAAGAGCGCTATCAAGGAGCTTCTACAGGCTCTTGATTTCTTACATAGCAAAGTCCAGGTCGTGCACACTGGTACGCAGCCATTTTCCCATCTTCTTGACACATTCTGTCCCTCAGGCGTATCTGCATCGATAGTTCCCATGCTAAGTCTGAAATGAATTCGACAGATATCCATCCCGGTAACCTACTTCTCGGTATCGAGGACGACTCTTTATTTCGGACGCTAGAGGATACTGAAATGACTAATCCAGTTCCGCGAAAGAAGGTTTTCGATCGGACCATCTACTCCTCTCGACTCATGAAGCCGAAAGTTGGTCCACTCCTTCTATCCGACTTTGGAGAAGCCAGACTTGGGCCGGGGCCTCATGCAGGAGACATCATGCCCATTATGTATAGAGCTCCGGAGACGCTATTATGGATTCAATGGAGCTATGCTGTCGATATCTGGAGCGTTGGGCTTACGGTATGTCTTTGCATGCGTCCCTAAGAGTTTTATCAAGCCTTCACGCTCACCAGTTCCAGGCATGGGATCTCTTGGAGGGTAAAACATTATTCAGCGCCAGAAAAGCCGATGGCAGTTTTTCAGATGGCGTGCATTTCTCCGAACTTATAGCCGCCCTCGGCCCACCTCCCAGAGACCTGTTGAACCGGCACCATGAGCGAGCACTTGAATACTGGGACGAGAACGGTACGTCCACTTGTATCTTGTTGATTGTTAGGCTGGTGACTAATTCTGCATCCGCACATGCAGGGAATTGGGGAGGCTTTGTTCCTGTTCCATCTGAAAAGACATTGGATGCAGCAGAGGCGAAGCTTAAAGACAAGACCAAGTTTCTACGATTTATGCGGAGAGTCCTTGCTTGGGACCCCAAGATGCGACCGACAGCTAAAGAACTTATGACAGACCCCTGGTTGTTGGAGGAGGCTTGAAGACATGATGGCGCGAAGTTGACGCAGTGTGATCTGTGGACGAACATGTGCATGAAAATACTTGGGGCAAGTATTTTGCCCGGAGGTGCTTGTTCTTGGCCGTTATATACTGTCATGAGTATCACATGTTTCCGTGCTCGAGTCGATTCTCTCTTGCGTCTGCATCCACGCCAGAGTGCCGGCTTAATGACCCATGTACACATACCGATCGATTCGCCCGTCACATCCAAGCAGAGAACCTACGCCTATCAAACAGATGCATCGGATGCCTGCAGTAGGAAAATGTAATCGAAAAACCCATATGCAGAGGGTTAGAACAAAAGTGGCGCCCATTGTTGATGTTGACTTTGTCAAGAGGCGCGCTCTAGAGTGCCATCTGGAACTTTAGCATGCGACAAGGCAGGGTGGCAATGTGACAATCACATGCAAGTGCTCCACCGAAAACCAAGTACCATTTATGTACCGGGCAGCCTGCTAACACCTGGCAGGAATACGACCAAGATACTTCTCGCCAGGAACCAGAGTGACCTGCCCGACGACTTCAATGCCAGAAGCCAAAACACATCATCGACGTTAAACGCCGGACCCAAACCCAAGCCCACCTTTCACCATTCATTCCCAACGGACATTACGGCTCCTCTAGTTGGCCCTTTGTCCGTCGCGACTCAACACACCTAAAACATTGCCACGTCCCGCCCTATAGAGTGCTGTGGCTGTTCTACGTGTCTGTCTAATGCTGGGCCCCTCCCTGGTCTGGTCTCTATTCTCCTTCTTCAACTTGACCCCGTCCGCACCTCTCCTTTGCAACACTTTAGTATACGCATCTGTGCGTATAATGCGCTCGACTCCTATGCCCAATCTACTTTCATCAAGCTATTCTACGCCGCACTTTCGCTATGCCCAGAGGCAAGCCTCATGATGTCGAGGCCTCTGCCGGTGTGACCTGCCAATACCCCGGTCACACCCTCCTCCCCAGTCCGATAGCTCATGCTGTCAGCTTGGCTACACGGTCAACCTCGCTGGCTATCCGCATTGGATCTCTCGTCGGCTGCTATAGTCTCGATGCCGCCAGATTCACAACCTTGTCAAGCCTCGGACTGGCACGGAGCTTGGTGGAAACCGTGTTGAGCACGGCTGCCCGCGATACTGTATCACTTTCCCAGTCAGATTTAGGTGCCGCCGAAACAGAAACCATCTTAGAGCGTAGCCTGGAAAGTCTTCATTTCGCAGTTACCCAGATTGTTTTTTGGACGTCGGCCGGCTTTCGATTAACAGGCACAACGATATCGACCGCATCCGACGCTTCACAGCTTCTGTTGGGAAGTCTCGATAAGCTCTTCGGTTCTACCGATTCTTCACGGGCTGTGGCGAGCATCATCACCCTTGTTCGAAGAGAATTCAATAACCCGGCGACAGGAGTGGGTGGAGAAAAAGTTGGAGTTTCAGACTTGGTGGTTGCCCTCGGAGCATTGGCATATTTACAGCGAACTTCTCGGCGTCAAGCGTCCGAGGAGGCCCGACGACACGCATACGAAGAGGTGATTTGGGATGTTGTGGTCCTCACCGATGGCGAACGCATCGATGTGCGCGGCGATGAAGAGAATGAACGTCAGCTTACTCCCAGAAACGACCACGATCCTAACGACCTAGGCATTCGGTATGGGGCAGGGGAGGATGACGAAGCTGTCATGCAGAGACTGAAGAGTCATATTACAGCTAATCTTGAGCCCGGAACTACCGCATCGATATCGAATTCCGTTTCATCGGTCCAAACCATCACTGTCGACGTAAAGGGACCCCAGCTGCTGTCCCTTCCCACTCCCCCAGGCGCTGAAATAGTAGAGACTCGAAGTGCATCAGCATCAGCAGGAAACCATCGGCAATGGAGTTTCGGCCCGGACAAGGATACGTCTTACACTGTTGTTTACAGGATTCAGAGGGACAAGTTTCGATCTGCGACGTTTCGAGGGGAGGAGGAGGAATCTGGCCCTGCAGTTGTCGAGGTTACGGACGATGACCCAGTTCCAACCGCCAAACCTTTAAAGAGACTTGCGCCGGCATCCAAATCCCTTTCCGATATAACGAGCTTGAACGGGAAGGAGTCTCAACGGTCAAGCTCGACTCCTTCAAGCACGGCGGGCTCTCCAAGTCACGCAAGCAACACCAATGGTCCATTCGAAGGCCCCAAACCACTCCGTCCATCTCAATCGGGCAGCCCAGAAACAACAGCAAACCAGAAAAAGCAAAGAACGCCACCAATAGAACCACTCTCTCCTAGCTCTTCAGCCAAGAAGCGAACTGCGGACTCGAGCAGACGATCTCAGCCAAAAAAGAAGGCCGAAACACTCAGCACTGGAAAACAAAGCGAGAAGCGCCCTGGTCTGAAGCAGGTCTTGAAGGACAGCGGCCAGTCGCTGTCCAATATGTGGAATAAAGAAGGCCCTGATCATGAACACAGTCGCTCTGTTGTCAAACAACGACCGCAGTGGAAAGGGACTGGGGGCAGCACCTCAGAGTCATCAAATAAACTGAAGCCGCCAGCTGGTCGGACTCAACCACAAAAAGCCCAGCGTAATGTCCCCGCTCGACGAGTCCAGACACCAGATCCATTCCCGCGTCCGTCATCACGAGCTAGCTACGTCTCAATCCATGAAAGGCGACGAGATTCTGTTGTTTCACTCACAGACGCATACTCTCGAAACTCGACGACTGGCTTGCGTCCGGCCTCACCAACCATCTTTCGCACCGACTACTCGACCCAGGAGACAGTTTCGCGAACTCCGGGTGAACCATATCCTGTTGGGCCCGTACCTCCATCCCCCCACGGCAACGGCCATCATCATCGCCGATCGACGTCTTACGCACCCAGCCTCTACAGCCTAGCCACAAATGATTCTCAGACATCGCTGCTCTTGGCATCGTATTACCAGAAGAGCGCGTATAATACTTCTAGTGCCTTAAACACGCTGCGTAATGAAGGATTCGTGGACGGGACGTTTCCAACTGGCCACTTACTACCGAACATTGCCAGGTATATGAGGTACTCGTCCGCTTGTTATGGCTCACATTTCATGAAACTTCTTGGTATCTCAAACGAACTTCCCGCTAGCCAAATGGGCGACAGAACCCACCAAGACGTCCGACACTTTGTACACCACACTGAATCTGAGGATAGCAACATACTCCTTGCTTCGTTTGTAGATCCACAGGGAGGTTCTGATGCCACAGGTTCCACGGGTACCGGTGTGCCGTTGGTACATTACATCTCACTCGACCATGAGGCAAAAGCCGTAGTCCTAGCATGCCGAGGAACGTTGGGGTTCGAGGATGTCCTTGCCGACTTGACATGTGACTACGACAACTTGCTATGGAGAGGACGAGCGTACAGAGTGCACAAGGGCGTGCACGCCTCTGCTAGAAGACTCTTATTCGGAGATGATGGCCGAGTTCTCGTCACACTGAAAGAAGCACTGCTTGAGTTTCCGGATTACGGTCTCGTGCTGTGTGGTCATTCTCTAGGGGGAGGTGTCACCTCCCTTCTCGGCGTCATGCTTTCGGAACCCAACCCCGACGGTCCGGGCTTCGTCATCTCCGCCGAACCGTACTCAAAACTCCTTACACAGGGGCTTGGAACAGGGCACAAGTTCAGCGACGTTCGCCTCCCGCAGTCTCGGCGGATCCACGTATATGCGTATGGACCACCAGGCATACTGTCCCCGTCCCTGCGCAAAATTACGCGTGGGCTTATCACAACCGTCGTGCACGGCAACGACATTGTACCCCATCTATCCCTCGGTGTACTTCACGACTTCCAAGGTCTGGCGCTTGCGTTCAAAAGGGATGAGAATCAGACTAAAGCCGAGATCCGACGTAGAATGTGGCAGGCTTTTCAAGGGCATCTCTCTGACAAGTGGTACCAGACCACACCAGCGGCGCCCAAAGAGGGCGATGAAGAATGGGTGCTGCCCATGCTTCAGGCACTGCGAGGCACGATGAAGGGCAAGAAATTGGTGCCGCCGGGCGAGGTGTTTGCCATTGAGACGACCAGGGTGCTCCGACGCGATGCATTTGTGAAGCAGGAGGAAGGTCCGATTGGGAGACCGGCGAGGAGAGTGGTGCTCAAGTACATACGGGATGTGGAAGGGCGGTTTGACGAAATTAGGTTCGGAGCGGGATTGTTGACAGACCACAGCCCGGCCAAGTATGAGGATGCGCTGAACAAGTTGCGACTCGGCGTGGTCGAATGATTGAACGACGACATGATTTTTTTTTCACAGAGCAATGTAGACGCATGAGCCGTTGTATGGTAGCATTGAAGAGACTATTTTGTGTAACTACGGGCGGGCGGGCGGGTATATTAGACTCTGCTTGATACCTCCATCACAAACAATAGATGATAGATGCAAAAGGATAACTAGTGGGCATGAGAAGACTGACTTTCTGTAAATACTAGTTGGCGAGGGGTTATTTCCGGGTTTCTGCTGCCATTGCCCTTAATAACGCCAAACTCCACCCCTAGACATCATGACCAGCAACGCAGCAACGGCATCACGGCCCTCGTGGAGCAGTGCGTCCATCTGTTTCAGGTGCGCACTCTAACGTTAAAGTTTGGCCTGCAAACATCTGCGCGCCGCGACTCGGCATGGAAGTCTCGTTGCCCATCTGAGCGCGTAGGTTCGTGGCACAGACCTCGTGCGCCAATCTGCCTCGTCCAAACCTCCCGTCGTGCCTGGAAAAGTGGGCAAAGGGTGAGACATGCACGCCCTCGCGCTGGATTTTGATCTACGTATTGACTAGACGCCCGCTTGAGCGTGTCTGCTCGGTGTCTTTTTTAACCAGTGGCCCCCTTTTCCAGCTTGATACCGTCTTTTCTCTTTTTTTTTTTTAATGACCTCTGTTCAGCTATCCTTCTAAAGTGAAGTGAAAATATCTTTACCATATACCATTGACTCCTCTCGGCCAAACCCACCACTTTTATATACGCGGCACACTCACTAGTCACTACACGCACCAGACGGCACCACCACGAAAATGCACCTCCCGGCAACCACCCTCATAACGCTCGCACTGGCCGGGCAGGCGCTCTCCCGGGCAGCGGACATGGTGTGCACGGCGGCGTCGGCGACGACGCTGCTCTGGCGCGTGACGGGCTTCGAGTACCGCGACCAGCGGGTGGCCATGGGCGCGTCGCGGCTCGAGTACGGCCTGGCCAACTTCACGCTGCAGAACTCGGCGCTCGCGCACAAGACGACGTGCACGGCGGTGTCGACGCGCAGCAGCCCGGGCTTCTTCGCGGGCGACGTGGCGTACGACTGCGCCGTGAGGCCCGACGCCAAGGGCGACCTGTCCCGGTTCGCGTTTGACCGGGCCTCGGGGCTGCTGACCATCAACCAGACGTGGGCGTGTGACAGGGACGGCAGCCGCTTCGGCGGGCAGGGGCAGGTGAGGCTCAGCTTGAAGTGTAGCGAGCGCGAGCAGAGCTCGACGTTGCACTCGGGGACGAATTACTCGGATCGCAGTGTGGTTTGTGACAAGGTGAATGTTCCTGTGAATATCACCTATTTGCAGGGCACTATTTAATTTTGGTTTTTAAAATTGGTTTTGGAGAAATGAGGGGGGAATTTGGTTGGGACTCGGGAGGGGGATGGGGTGTTATTTGTGTATATTCTTGTTACAGAGTACTCCGTAGATGGTTGGAATAGTATCGTTTTTTTTTTCTACAGTGCTGGTCGTGACTGAGCTGTGGTTCTTGGCGGATGGGATTTGTTGCCGCCTGCGCCGTGTCCATGGTCGAATGAGCTGGTTACGCCGCAGCCTGAGACTGGTATGCAGAACATGTATCTGGGGTATGTGGTTTGATTCTGTCGGCCTGTCTTGGAGGGCGTGAGACGCTGTGTTTCTCGTCAGTCTGTAGAGGAGGAGCGATAAGTGATCTCTAGACACCGAGATCCGGTACCGAGTAAGACTGATACCATGGGGTTGCTACCGACATCATCGTCGAGGGCCAAGCTGATATTACATGTACTATTGACATCGTTCCTGCCGTCCGGGACTCCGGGAGAAGAAACCTCGTCACTACGGAGCAGAGACAGGGATCATCTCGATGTGCGACAGGGTTCATATCCCTTGACGATCTGTTCTCGACAGGGGTCCATGTGCTGTTCCACCGAACCACCGTGTCTGTCGCGCTTATAGCGTCGTAACGCTGAGCGCGCAGAGAGCTGGGCAAGCACCTCGCCCAAGGAAGAAATTCAGTTCGCAATTGAATAAGTCAAACGTTGCCGTCCAAATATGTGGCGTCGAAGCTGGGTGGGTCGGCCAGTTGTCACGGCTGTCAATGTCCTAATTGGGAAATTATAAAACGTCAATCCGAAGCTGCTAACGAGAAGCCATATGTTTTATTAGATACGCAACGAGTCTCCTATTTCGTTGATATAGTTTATACCCATCTCGCGATAGTCATCAGTCACGATATCTGGCCCACGTTCTCGGAAGCGCATTGTCTTCTTATTCTGACCATCCCACTGCGGCCAGTTAGGTAATCCGTCCATCTTATGCATATTAGGATCGAGATGGTTTACAAAAGAAACCAGGACGCCTAGTAAATGATGCGAGTTCAAGCTGATTGTGTCTGGAAGAGTGTTAAACCAGTAGAGCGCGACATCTGCACCATGGAAAGAGCCTAGTATGGGAATGTCCCCAGCCCCAATAAGAGGACGGAGAATGGTATTTTCTGCTCCCCTGAGAGGAATGGAAGCCTCGATCAAGTAATTCCACTTTGGAGCCGCAACCTTTTGCAGCAGGGCACGCCGCTGTGCCTGAGATGGTGTTAGATTGGCCAAGTGGCAACGAAACGTGTACTGGTGAGCTTACCTCGAAGCTATAATCACCTATGAGAGAAGATAAGCGCTTGTACTGAGGTGGGATCGCATAGAGCAGTCCTGTGCCGTAGGGTGACCCTTTAGTTGGATCTTGTGGGTACAACTCCATGAGACGATTCAGCTGCTGCTCTGTAGCCGCTGGCCACCAATAAGTCTTGAAATATTCCTTAACATCCCTAGTTGTAGTCAAGTTCAGCTGGTTAATCAGCGAAAAGAGAGTCCCTTCGTCGCGCATGTCTCCGTATAAAACTGGCACATTGGCGATTCGCCCTGCCGCAGCGAGCTTATCCGGACTCTGTGGAAAGAACTTGCCATCTGGTCGGAGCGTCCACGCCGATGCTAAGCTGCGGAAGCCTATCAAGGAATCTTTACGCGCTAGAGGTTAATGACGTTTGCATAAGACTATAGTCGGATGGACAAGCATACTAATTGTTTGCATGTGCTGGTAGATTTTCTCATATGGTGCTTTTCGCAGACAATTGATCTTGTCCGCGGCCGAGTTGCACCCCACGAATCGGACCTTCGTAATTGTAAGCTTGGAACATGAATAAGGTCTATGGCAGGTATCATGCACACCATGTCATCGAACATTCCTTGCTGGCGTTCTGGTCCGTCGACCTTGAGAGGACCTCCGGAGAGCCCCATTGCAGCCCGGAAAAGGCCCTCATTGTCGCCATTATTAGCGACTAGATGGCCGCTTACAGACCACGACCCTGCCGACTCGCCCATGATGGTGACCTTGTTTGGATCTCCACCAAACTAGCGACCTGTGAGCTTTGTCCATCTCATAGAGTTGAGTGCTTATAGTTACCCACCGAAGCAATGTGTTTCTGAATCCAGCGCAACGCATTTCGCTGATCTTCAAAGCCTAGATTCAAAAGACCGGCCTCGTCGAATTCTCGCGAGGCAGTGAAGCCAAAGTGTGCGAGCCTATAGTTGAATGACGCGAAAACGACCGGCTGGCCCATGTCAATGCTTCGTTTGACGATATTCGCGCCTTGATAGAATATTCCTGTGACGGGAGTAGTCTCCAGTCCTACTGCGCTTGATGAGCCTAATTCGAAGCCTCCCCCGTGGCTGGTATAAATAGCATGTTAGTATTTTAGTCGACTTGGTTGGTGGACAGACTCACATCCAAGCCAGGACGGGCAGACCCTCGAGGCTCTCGTTCTGGGGCCGCTGGACGTTTATATAGAGACAATCTTCGTCTTGTTTTAGGATTTTTTGAAAAAACGGAAGACTTTCTATAAATCCGCCCACGAGGCCTAGACCGAGGTCGCTTGGTGCAAAGGCTGAGACTATGTTATGCTGTGGGCACGCCGGGCCATAATCACTAGCTTCCTGGACGCCTCCTAGATTCTGATTGAAAATCTGGGAGTGGTCGAACCGCGGAGCCTTTGCGTACGGAATGCCTGGTAAGAGGTTAGTTTTATGCCACTGACTACGGAGCCTCTCTCTACATGCCCAAGTAGTTTGACGTATCTGTTTTGTCATCTTGCACCCCTCGATACTGGGCATAGCTGAGGCTAGCTATTGGGCTGGGCCCTCCAGAAAAGAGCTTTGATGCACTAAAGAGTGTTGAGGAGTTGTCTTGAGCAATGGCAACTCCAGCGAGCGTTGAAATAATCGCCCAATATATAGCAGGCATCTTGAATGTACGTTATTAATTGGTAGTGGGGTTTATACAAGTCTCTTGGTCGTCCTGTAACTCATTATATGCTGTGTATTTTTAAGTTTTTCAGGGGTCTATAAACAAAGCTGGAAAACTTGCCAACTGAAATAATAGACTTTGGCAACTGTGACAAGGGCTTGATACAAGGGCTCGGAGCGTAAACACTCAATTCAAAGATAATATCGAAGGGTGTCGACGGTCCTCGGTTTCTCAGGAACGCGAGGGGCACGGCCTAGATTATATACACGAAAGGAACAGCGACACCCGAAGCTTCCAGCTTAGGTCGTCATCGCGTCGTGTGACGACGTTGGGCCTTTGCTTGGTCCCAACTGTGTAACACTAACCATGCGGGGTAATTAAGTTCGGGCACTAATAAAATAGAAATCTAACAACATTGAACATTGAATCTAATTGGGTAGAGCCGCTAGTAGGCCAAGGCTTTAGTAAATAGTATAGTCATAAGCTCTGAGGAAATACACGTGCATCCGGACTAAAGGAGAAGATCCGTGCCCCAATACAGCTAAAATCAGATGCTAGTATATTCGGGCTAAAGGAGTGTCTGTGTCGTAATACTAGCTCTAGAATTGGGAGGACTTTTAGCCAATAACCTGGAAGATACCTAGAGTTAGGAGGGTCTGCATTTGTAATATTTCACAGGACTAATATATGCTCTCTTCAGAGAGTTCCTACGGCACGAGTAACGCGATGAAAGAGCAAGGAAAGTTGCACCCAAATTTAGCACAAACTTATCAATATGTATTCAGAACGGACGGAGCTTGCTGCATCTGATAATCACAGCAATCCCGGAGACATGAGACCGCGGTAGTTACGGACAGGTCGCTGAATCAAAAAGGCCCTATCGCGAACTTGTGGGTCCCTAGTTTTGCTCTAAGCCCCGAGGACTGATGATCAATGCCTTACTTGGTCCGGCATCGTGTCCGAGATACGATGGCACCACCAGGCTTCTGAGAGAGTTGGTATTCCTTCCAACGGCTCCTGAATACCTTGACTGAGGAGGGTCCGGACTATAAATGAGACCGAGTTCCGTAGTATGCTGCATCCCCGGTGGAATACTTGATCCGACAGGGCGTGCCTGTCTACCGAAGGGCGGAAAGCGGCCCCGCAAAACCCCCACGCTGGGTTAGGCGATTCGGAGCGGCCGGGGTTGCTCCGTTGTCTGAAAGCCATGACGGGATTGATCACGCTGAATTCAATCGCATTCAACGAAGCTGCCTCCGAGGCCCCTTTAGAAAGGACAGCCAATCCCCCGGGCGACACCGAAGCACGTGACCGCTTCTTCCAACACTACAATATACGAACGCGCAACCTGCACAAACTTGACCCGACTTGTCCACATTGAGCGAGGAAACTACACCATGACCGTCAAAGCAGCAACTCACTCCAAGATCCCCTGGATCGAAACCCCGCTCATCAAGTCGGCGACCCTGAGCGCCGCCGCCGGATGGTAAGAGTGCAGTCTGGCACGGTCCATCACGATCCCGCTGATGCCCTTTCTCAGCAACGTCTTCCTCAAACTTGAGAACCTCCAGCCGTCGGGATCCTTCAAGTCCCGCGGCATAGGCAACTATCTCGTCTCGCAACTCGCCGCTGTTCAGGCTGCCGACACGCGCTCCGCCAGAAAGCCGCACTTTTACTGCTCATCCGGCGGCAACGCTGGTCTCGCCTGTGTCCATGGCGCCATCACCCTGGGCTGCGAGGCGACCATTGTCGTCCCCCTCAGCACGACGCCGTACATGGTGGGCAAGCTGCGAGAGGCCGGCGCCACAGAGGTCATCCAACAGGGCGCCTCGTGGCAAGAGGCGGACAAGTACCTGACCGAGACCCTGATGCCGGACGCGACGGCGCGAGGCGAGGCGGCCATCTACGTCCCGCCCTTTGACGCGCAGCAGGTCTGGGACGGAAACGCAGGCATTACCAAGGAGATTGTGAGGCAGTTACCCGCCACGGAGAGGCACTATCCCATCAATGGGGCTGCTGGTGACGGGAATGCAAACCCGGCCACGAGTGTGCCAAAAATCGACGCGATTGTGTGCAGTGTCGGCGGGGGCGGGTTGTTTGCCGGCATCGTGCAGGGGATCGACGAGTTGGGGCTGAAGCAGACGACGGTCGTTGCGGTCGAGACTGAGGGCGCCGACTCGTTGGCGCAAGCAATCGCCAGGGGGGAGCTGGTTACCCTGCCGGCAATCACGAGCCGAGCGACGAGCTTGGGCGCGAGACGAGTCTGCCAGCGGGCATTTGAGTATGGCATGAGAGACGCGGTGACCAGTGTTGTCCTGCCGGACTCAGAGGCCATCGGTGCGTGTAGGAGGTTCCTAGATGAGGAGCGTCTGCTGGTCGAGCTGGCTTGTGGCGTGTGCCCTGCGCTCTGCTACAACGGACAGCTGGAGAAGTTGGTTCCGGGGTTCAATGAGAGTAGTGTAGTTGTGTTGGTTGTGTGTGGGGGGAGCAACATGACGTTGGAGATGATGGATCAATACGCGGGCGAGCAGGCGAAATAAGACTATAGAGGGTACTTGAATGAGCTACAGGTGCATGAAATAGAGAAATGGATTTGCTACGGCGGCGTATAGACGGCTAGCGACGGCAGAACCGCAAGGGGAAAAGAGGTGATACAAAGCAGTATACGTTTCGCGTTCATGAGCCGAAGATTAGTGTCCAATGCTGTCAAGGTATCGCGACGATGCAAAGGGAACTTGGGGTCTCATCTTTTGCACCCTGCACCATTCAATACGGCCACTTTGACAACAAAGGCAGCCTTGATTTCACCCTCTTTGTCTCCGCTTGCATGCTTTCGGCGCACGTAGGCGAAAGAACAAGTCGTCGAATAGCACTAGCAATCGTAAAGGACCGCATATTTCAAAATGACAATACCGCTCGTGTGCAGTCTTTCTACGGCGCTTAAGTCCAATCTGTAGCCGGACTGGGCTGCTCCGCCCGACCCTGCAATCATCTTTATTCCCTCGCCGACAACAGCCGGCATGACTGCCATCTCTACGACGTCTATAAGGCGTGCCTCGAAAAGCGCGGCGGCAAGCTGCCCGCCACCCATGAGCCACATGTCCCGGCCTTGCTGCGCCTTTAATTGACGAATCGTGTGGATGAAATCATGGCGTAGAATCGTGATGCCCGGGTACTCTTCTTGTTTCATTGTGCGACTCACAACAAGGACGTTTTCTTTTGGCTTTGCAGCAAGAGGATTTGCGCCCCCGTAAGACGTGACGACCTCGTAGGTCTTGCGACCCATGATGTGGTAGTCGAACTCGGCGTGGAGGGCGTCAAAATCTATGCTGGCGTCTTCAATGATCCAGTTTGTCGAGCCGTCTGGCGAGGCGATGAAGCCGTCTAGCGAGATGGCTGCATTGTAACGGATACGGCGCATTGTTTTGTTTTTTTTTAATAAAAAAAAACACAATGTAGACGTTGAGTAGATGCACTTGTAAGCGTTTCACGAAGCGTCAGGTGTAGCCCTGCCTTTGACGTGAATAACGACAGCGGGGCAGGGCATCCAATCATGACTGATTGTCATGTCGAGTTGTTTCTTCACGTTCAATGTTCTGTTGCGAGGTTGCAAACGAGTCGTGGTGCCACAAACCTGTCAGAGGCGCACAAACAGCGTCTAAGCCACCCGTCAAGTGTTTCCCGATCTGGTTGTTCATTCGACCCTAAACCCCTTGCAGCGAGATTGACGCGTAACGGGTCTCGATGGCCTTGTGCTAATGGGCAACGGATGGGAGCTTGCGCGCAATTTTCAAGCATGCGTACATAATGAGTTTGATGGGATGCGGACCAAAGAACCTGATTCAACCCTCGCGTGAGTGAGTGCCTGCGTGTTTTATGGAGGCCTCTACGTAAGACAACCAAGTCTGCGCCATCATACCTGTGTTCCCCGGGCGGTGAAATTTGCATTTTACAGGATAAAAACTAGTGCGACATACGGTGCATGTGGCGTCAATTGGAGAGGCTCAGCTATTCTCAGACAACGTCATCTTACCCTTTGTAACCATCAATGAGGCGGTTAAAATTCGCAGCCCTCCCTGGCATCATCTTGGGATGAGCACATCTGCATCATCCACCTAGAGCTACTCGTCGGTTTGACATCATCGACAAAATGGCCCCTAAGCCAGAAGACGCCAAGGTACTGGACCACAAACGGCAAGACGGCAGCTATTCCCAACCACGGCCATCGTCACCAGCAACCGTTCCGTCTACAGCCGCGGCCATCGCCAGCCCAAGCACGGCACCAGATGCCGCAGAGCGCGCGCCGACGTATCAAGAGGCCACCGAAGCAAAGGGGGCTGTTCCCACCGTCGACTCGCCCTTCAACTTCCCCACGTCGACGGACCTCCCTCCCTCGTACGAAGCTCACGCCGAGGCAGAAGCCGGGCCCAGCTCATCAAACGCCGTCAAGGCGAAGCCCATCGCCATCCCACAAGTCGCCCCCGACCCGGCGGCCCCCTTCCTCCCGGCCTACGCCCCGTCCCTCCTCGCACACGGCATCACCGAGCAGACGTGGCGCTCGTTCCTCGACACCGTGTCCGCCTTCCTCACCGCAAAGGTGTCCGACAGGGCCGTCGCTCATGCCGGCGACGTGGCCAAGAGCCTCGGCGAGCCGCCCAGGAACTACGGCAGGTCCCTCGCCAACCACACCAAAAGCGTGGGCAAGCAGCTCGCCAAAGACGCCAGGCGCTTCAACCTATTCGGCGTGGCGGCCGGCGTCATCGGGGGCGCCATCTCCATCCCCATGCACGCGGCCTTGGGGGCTGTCCATACCGTATTCCAGATTCCCGGCGCCGCCGTGTCTGCCGTTTCCAGGACACCCAGGACGCCGCTGCAACGGGCGGCCACGTACGCCGCCGTTGCGAGTAAGGACTGGCTGAATGCGAGGGGGCTTCACGCCGTCCTCTTGGACACGGGACAGCTGGCCGAGATGGTTCACGTCCGGGGGAGCAAGTTTCTCGAAATGGCGGCCGAGGGGGGCAAGAGCGGCACGGCGGTAGCTGCAATGGGCGCCTTGGACGGGCACATTGAGAAGCTGGACATGCTGGCGGATGAGGTTGTCGTGTTGAGTGACAAGACGCTGTGGTTGGTGCTGGTGCCAGTTGTGAAGGAGGAGGAGGAGAAGCAAGGCACAGAGTAGGCAGTGATGGATGGCCGGGCGCTTGAGCTGGGCACAGGTGTATATTGCGCCCCGGATACCCAGAGTCCATTGTTACATGGCAGGTGAACACATCAGCGAGGGTAGAAAAGCATATAGGGGGTCTTGCCGCAATGACTTTCGGCTCTCCCGAGTCTTGCTGATTCAGCACCGTGGTCTCGGGCTATGCGAACATGAGCCCTGGCAAACGAGGGACGATCGATTGCAGGCGTGGGGTACTGTTTATGCCATGTAGCCGAGTATGACACTTGGGACGAGTCTGCGGCTCATATGACCGCTCATGAAATCATCCCGTGATAGATATGTAGCGTTAGTCTGGCGGATTCGGTACTAAGCAATCCTTCAAATTCTCAACCGCGCGACGGCCCGGACGCCGACTCCGAATCCGTCATAACGGTGCTTGCTTCGTCGGAGCGCACTGCAGCACGATGCCCTTTGCTATTAAAGCCTGTCCCAACACAATAGGCTACCTATAGCTTTGTGAATGCCGGAATTCCTTGCACGTAATTCTCTTGCGCAACCCTCAAGTCCCTTTACCCTCCCCGTTGTGGTATAATCAATATGCGTTGCAACAATTTCGGCAACTGGCATTACGCCTGTGGTACGCAGAGAAGCCACATTCCGGAGAACCACGACCCCATTGCCTGATCCTCGTGGCACAGACACCCCAAGTCTTACAAGGCGTACCCTTGAGCAGCTGGAGCAGCCAAGTGTTTCCAAGAGGAGAAGGCTTTCCACTCGATGCGGCATCGTGGGCCGTCAGCAACCCGGACACGATTGATCCGCCGGTACGACGGCCCTGCTCAGAGCAAGCCTTGTTCCAGGAACCATTTCCCAATTCACATAGTTTGTGTACCTTTGTTCTTTCCTCGTACCGCTTAGGATCTGCCCACGTCGCACATGGGCGACTCTCGTCGAAAGCTCTTGGCTGGACTTGGCCTCTTGCATGCCCGACTTGGCTGAAGCATCACCGAATACAAGGGAACTAACTCGGCATTTTACAAGTTACATGGCGCCTGGCAAGACCCCGGCTAGCACGATCCTTTGGTTCCATGATTTCCATGAACTGCTCGGCAACTACATGCGATCCATGTGGGGGGAATCCTTCTTTCAAATCAACTACGTTCCGCGTCGGTCCGTGACCATGACAGGATGTGAAAGTCATGCAAGTGTTTCGAGCACAGGGTTCTTCGTCAGGTCCTAGCCTTGCTCTCTGACAAATAATAGTTTGGGACAGCAACGTACGATGCTAATTCGGCCCGTTGTGGAGATGCCGCAGCGCGTTGCTCGCGTACACCTTGTGAACAAGAAAGAAGAAAGCAATGCTGTGCTTCCCTACATCTTATCCATCTAATTTAGCCCCAAGTCACACTCACAAAAATCCCCACGAACCGTGGATGTTCTAGTCCAGAGCTGGGGAGTATGGATTTCCTCCAATCCCGCTTCCAGCTGCCGGGCATCAAACTCGCTCAATATACAGCAAGCCCTCTCGCATGTTGCCTGAATGGTGTCGGTCCAAGTTGGCGTCGTGGCACAACTCCAAGCAAGGGCCAACCTTGCAGGATTCTGACCAACGTTGCAGCAGTTGTATCCGGCAACAAGCTGCAGCCCATAAACGCACCGGGTTTCCGAGAGCGTCATCCTTCTAATGCCAATGCCCCCGGGCCGTCTGCAACCCGACATGCATGTCAAATCCAACAGCGTCAACTGGTCGGTATACCTTGCGCGTCGCAATGCCCTTCATCGGCATTCAGGAAAGCAGCACCTGGTCGGTGGCCTTGACGGCAAACATGAACACTCGAGCCACCGGACTTCCAAAAACGTCAGCATTTTATTGCCCCCAGCCAGTCTATAACCCAACATGCATATCAGATCCAACAGCATCACTACACCTTCCACATCACAATGCCCATCAGAATTCAAGAGAGCAGCACGTGGTAGGTGGCCTTGACGGCAAACACAAACACTTGAGCCACCAGATTTCCCAAAACGTCATATTTCTAATGCCCTCAGTCGGTCTGGGTGATTCCGGAACCCCGACATGTATTTCAAATCCAACAGCATCGGTATACCTTCCACGTCGCAATCCCCATCAGGATTCACGAGAGCAGCACGTGGCAGGTGGCCTTGACGGCAAACGCAAACACTCGGAACCGAGCCGAGTCGTACTATTACCGGCTCGGCAACACATCTGCCACGAGCAAAAGACGGTCCATCCGTGTATAAAAGGTCGAGTGTCTCCTCAGATACTTGACCCTATCCTCATCCGCTCACACACTAATACCAAGTCTCTCAAGAAGATCAAAACATCAGACCTTGTTTTCAACATGTACTCCATCTGCAAAGCTGTCGCCGCCGCCGTCCTGGCCTTCTCTCTCGCTGCCACGGCCGCTCCCGCCGCTGGAGAAGAGCACATGAACCATCTCGCGGCTCGCAACGCCGGCGACTTCACCTACTACTACACTGGCCTCGGCGCCTGCGGCGAGACCAACAACGACAGCCAGATGGTTGCCGCCGTGGGCCACGACCTGTTCGACCGCTCTCGTCCTTGCGGCCGGATGATCCGCGCCCACTACGGGGGCAATTCTGCCGATGTCAAGGTTGTTGACCGCTGCGGTGGCTGCAACGACGACTCGTTGGACTTGTCCCCTGCCGCTTTTCAGCAGCTTGTCGGCAGCCTCGGACCGGGTCGCGTCCAGGGCACCTGGGAGTTTATCTAAACGGTATACATGTCGACAAGGGAGCCCAGTTTCAAGGGGGGGCACCAAGTGCGGGAAATGTTTGGTTGGTGCGTGGATTCCTCGGGTCGACTGTATGTAGTTGAATTGAATTGAATTTAAATCATGACTTGTCCGTTTGGTGAGCTGCGAGTTGGTGATGTAATCATGTTTGGACGACTCTACAGGTCCAAGTTTTTGTAAAAAATACCCGATGAAGAATAACGGGTGTGTTTTGCTTAACTACACCAACTACCACGGTACTTTTTGGCTTTGTTATCGAATCTTCTTCATCTTGGGCCTGTTGGTGATTGTTACACGGTTGACATGTTGCCATAAAGGCACGGGCCGAACCTTGAACCCGACGCTGATTACACAAGGGCTCTAGTCACGAGACCTCGGGCAAGATCCCTACGCCGCCTCTTGATGTAAATACAGGTCTTTTGCCCCTCGGGACTTCAAGGAAAGCCCAAGGACCTTTGACATCAAAGCAAAGTAGTAGCTGAATGTGAACACTGTTCCAAGCCCTTGAATACAAGCCCTTGTCACAGTGATGTTGTCGATGGAATTTCAAAGTCTTGAAACCTTTGACCCCTCACCTTGACTCCCAAGCACGTTTTGGCAGATTTGGCAGGCTGTTGATTCCATGCATGTATAAGAGTGTGGTACGCCAGGCAAAGCCGACCCGACGTCAACATCTAGACCATGAAATCTAGATGCTGAAACCAATATCCTACGAGGAAGCCGTGCTACAATAGCAAATATGTATGAATAAGAACAGTGTTATAATGAAGCACATGACGACTTGTTATTGCACCAACTTAGTCGCAAGTGTCGTGAGTTATTGGTTGTTAATTACGCGGTTAAACGGCATATCAGCTACACAAACCGTGAGGCTGCAAACGGTGACCCTACAAACGGTGACCCTGTAAATACTGACCTTGTAAACGCTGACCTTGCAAACGCTGACCTTGCAAACGCTGACCTTGCAAACGCTGAGCGTTATATATTACTCGTTGAAATACTACCAAGCAGGCCGGCCTTTATCCTCTCTCAACATCATGCAGAACCTTTCTTGTTCCTACCCCGATTCTTCTCTCTTTAAGCTTACCACTGTGACCAAACCGCTGCTCCTTCTCTTCTAATATGGAGGCAAACACCAAAGATTCTTCACTTTGCACCGTCTGCGACAAGCACGATGCCCGTTTGTGCGGACGGTGCAAGAGTGTACGTTACTGCTCAGCAGAATGCCAAAAGGAGGATTGGCCCACCCACAAACTCCCGTGCAAGGCTTTTTCCAATTTCGACGTATCTACTAGGGAGACCAGCGAGCACTTCCGGGTCCTTTTCTTTCCAGTCAATGAGAAGCCCAAGTTCATATGGCTTGAGGGCAAATGGGTCGATGGCTATCAATATCTGGAAATTGGCTCACTTCCAGGAATAAAGGGTTTCCTAGACGAGGCCACCATTCAGTACAGTTCTCGGCTGGGACGCAAACTCGATGATTCAATCTACATTATCGCCCGCGACGAATTCCGTATCGATGGATCATTGCCCAACAAGGGCGTCGCAGCCATCACTTCCACCAAGCCTGGGCGACACTACGACTGGCGAGGGCCGTTCATTGCCTTTGGAAAGTGCAGGCGCGGCTTGAGGGCACGCAAATGCAGAGACATCGACATGCAAGACTTCCGGCACGTTGTCGACTTTTTCCTCTCATATGGAAGTCCGAGTCCGTCGTGGTTGAGACGTGATGATTAAGCGTGAACAAGGGGTTGGCCTCGGGTGGTCTGAATCAAGGCTGACGCAGTATTTCATTGGTGTGAAGGGGGAACATGTTGATAATTTTCGTGGTTATAGCTCGTCTTCCAGAACAAGAATAGTATCCGCTGGTGTCACATGGCTTGTACTCGACTCTTGACAGCAATTATGGTCCTGATGCTTTCCAATCAACCCTAATCCTGAAATGTGGATATATCGAGAAATTGTAGAATTCATGGTGCAAAAGGAACTCCTCAACGCCGTATGAAACACAGCAGGAAATGGTAATAAAAGCGACGTACATTGGAGCATGTTGGATTCGCTCGGAGGGAGACTACTCGCCATTTAGTGCCAACCAGGTTCAAGCATGATGTGGTGAACTAGGCAACAGCGTGGAGTGACCAATTAGGCAATCCGGGTATTTCCGACAGGAAGAATACAGAGTCAAAAAGAAAAGAGAGAGAGAAACACGGCGTTAAATCGTCTCATTCATAATAGCATGTCCCGCATACCCCATAAACTTGGCCTGAATCTGCATGCTATCCAACACCCTCTGCTTCACGGCCGCATCCTCAACATCCATGGGCAAGAAGGCGCCGTGCGTAGACTTGAATTCGTACCTCTTCAAGATCCCCCACATGCGGGCCAGTTCTTCTACGCTGAGCGGAATATAATTCGGGATGCTCCAGAGGAACGAGAAGGAGTTGAGACCAGGAGGCTTGGCGCGCGCAGCACCAGTCCCGTCGACTTCCCATTTCCCCATGCCCGCAGGCGTGGTCATGAGCGTGTCGGCAATGAAGAGGCGCCCGTCGAACAAGAGGACCAGCGAGCCGGGGAAGTGCCCGCCAAGCTTGATGGCCACGGCGCCGGTGTCTTGAATCTTGGTCTCGACATGGTCGACGAGAACCTGGTGGCCAGAGTCCATGGTTGTCCAGACCTTGTCCTCGGAGGCAATGTACACGGGGCAGTTGAAGGCCTGGCCCCATTGGACGTGGGTGCTGTAGTAATGCGGGTGGCTGATGACAATGGCCTTGAGGCCACCCAGCTGGTTGATGTGGTTGATGGTTTCTGGGTCGAGGAGAGTCAGGCAGTCCCAGAGGATGTTACCTCGGGGCGTGCGGATAAGAATGGCCCGCTGTCCAATGGCAAACTTGGGTATGGTGGTGATGGAAACAAGACGCTCGTCGCCGGCGTAGGTAGTGAATTCGTTGCGGTGCTTCTTGGCCACTTGGTCGTGGGTCGTGAATGACTGTCCTGACGGCGGAACATATTGTCGGGGGTCGTCGCAGATGTGGCACGTCTTGACGACAGACCTATCAGACGATGTGAACTGAGTGCCGCACGCGGTGCAAATGAGCCACGAGGCCGTGGCAGCAGGGTCGTACTTTTCCGCCGTAAAGGTCATGTTTGGCTGGTTATTGATAAAGATGAAGCTCGAAGTGTGGACGACGTTGAGCTTGTGTTGCTGCAGATGCAGGATAGTTGTTCCCTTGTAGGTACGGTACCCGTCAACTGGAGTTTCTATTGGCGCCCACGTGGGGGTTCTAGGATATCTCAGGTCTAGCGTTGGCACGAATCCCCACTACCCCGCTCCATGTTACCCCGCGGCATGTCAATCAGGTACGGAGAACTAGCGGGGATCCCTTGACTGTTCAAGGAACGACTCCATTGACCGTGCCGCCATCTTCAACGACACTTATCAAATGTTGGTGCCGTCGACCGCAAAAAGCTTCGCATCGGCTTTGTTGCTGTTGGAAGTTTTCTGAGGGGATTGACAATGATCAATGCCATCTGCTTGAGCTGTCTACGAGGCCCGTTTATGAGATGCTGCAACTCTCGGTGGATCACGTGGGCACTCCTTTCAACAGGAGTCCATGGTCCATGCTTTTTATACATTCAATTCCGTCAGTGCTCGAGTCTTTAATATTTTGCGGCAGTCTGCACTGGATTCTTCAGCTCAAAATCACCGGTCTGCCCGTTCTGCGATCAAATGTACTTCCTAGGGTCAATGAACACAGTTGGTAACGCACTTCGGCATTTCAACCAAGAGTTGCGTGACTTTCTGGATTTACGACATGCATCTTCGCGCCTTGCAGGCATCTAATGTAGTGGGGCTACATAATGTGATCCCCGTTCACGGCAACGTCGGGCTTGTGATACCACTGACATCAATCCCCTTAGAACAAGCTGAAAGTGTAAAGGTCCCGACGTGAATCTCTTGCGGCTGTGAGGGAGGACAGGAAACTGTCATGTCATACGACTGCATTATCATATGCATGATTAACTTTGGAATATCATTAATATTGCCACACGGACAAGCCACAACAACCGCATCGGGCTTGCAAAGGGTTACACGACAACAAAGAGGGTATCACGAGACTGACATCACAGCCTGAGGCTGAGGCTGGAGTTGCCTCAGGACTCAAAGGGCTCACCGACTTCTTGTATATACTCCGTACAGAAACTGCTTAGCCCCCAAGGCCTTGAGGAAAACCAAGGAGCAAGGGCCTTTGATACCTCAAATCCGCTATTGACATTGAACCCAACGTGCCAAGCCCAGTCAAAGCTGCCCTTGTCACAAATATGCAGGTTTCGGTCTTAGTAAGAATGGTCCGCCTTGCCTAATGGGCGCAGCTCAACCGGCCATGTGACTGCAGAAAGTGTAGTACATGCAGTCATCTTTCTGCATTTATTGGTAGCATGTTGCACGAAATGCAGCTGTCTGTCAGCCATAGTCAAACTCTGAACCACCTCTCAATGCTAGAGAACAACTCAATTTATACTACTCATGACCTTCCAGAACCGGAGCATTTCACGCTTTCCAACTCTTTCCCCTCTCAAGCGACATAGACTCGGACATATCTGCTACAAGCTATTTTTAGATGGTAGCACTCCAGGTGCGGACCGGTAAGATTTGGGGTTTGACATCGGCGGCTAGCCCATCTCTGGTAGCATCTCCAAGTTTAAATACATAGGGAGTAGATGTTTCTGAAATTGAGCGAGTTGGGCCCGACATTTCTCAGGTGTTTAACAATACCAAGCCTGGTTCATAGCCCAGCAAATCTTTATTCGCATGTGCCACAACAGCCCATTCTTCTTGAAAGCCACTGATGAATTACTTTTTTTGCAAATTATACTTTGTTGTAATAGCCATGAGAAGATATAGGTCGACGCCATCTTTTCTGACAATTCGCCGCGGATAATGCCTGCTTCTGAGACAAGGCGCCCAACGTTACGCGAACCTTGTAGTCGGCCAACAGTCGATTGTATGGGATTGTAAGCTTCCTCTTGAAAGGCGCTGTGCGTCCCCTTGGAGCAGCGATGGCGGCAGCCATATTCTTTTTCCCAGAGATTGTGACTACTCGGCAATTCTTCCCGATTAATGTCTCAGTCGCCACTAAAGAGTACACTAGAAACGACACATCAAAAAATTTCAGCACAGGGTTGTGCCGGGGTGTTTCTACGGCTTACTGGGGAGAGGTACGTCGCCGCCACGTTTGCTGCTCCGAAGGGATTCGGGTGATTCGTTTTGCTTGGCGCAAGACAGGATATATCACGAACAGGTGGTGCAACGGCAGAGATGCCATTTCACCTGACTCAAGTGACATCACCATTACGCAAGTTGATTTTATTCTTACCAATGTAGAAAATAAGATTGCGTGCGTGTCAAGGGTTCGTGAGCAAGCCGGGTCTATAGTTTGTCATGTCAGGTTTCATACCCTGAAGATTGCATAGAATCTAGAGAATTCCCTTTCCATAATTGAACTAACCACATGCTCCCGAGCAATCAATTAGTTGATGCCATAACAACGGCCGGGGCGAACTACTAGCATCGTCGGGGACATGTCGTGTCACCAAGTCACGACGCCAGCTGCTGTATAACCGTGGAACCTCGATGTAGTGGGAAAGTGGACATGTCATTTTCTAAAGTGTGGCCATGCAACACGCAATTGAAGCCGTTTCGGGCTCTGTTTCATTGGACCAGACTCTTTGGTAAAGAAAGTATAAATAAGTGCTCCCAACGCCCGACAAAAAGACGAAAAAAAGACAAGCAAGTCACTGAGCCCTGATATAACAAACCAAGCTGCTTCCTTCTTTATACCTTGCACATACATGTTCGTATTTGAAACCTTCAAAATGCGCTTCACTTCTTTGACAGTCCTCCTGGTTTCCCTAGTCGCCAGTATTCATGCTGGGGTCGCGCCAAGAGAAGCGGACGGCGTCCTTGAGTCCAGAGAGGGAGACGGCGTTGCGCACGCCATAATAAAAACATATAAAGACAAATCCTGCAAAGAACTTACCGAAGAATATGTCATGGAAATCCCAAGAATTATGAGGCATGCGGTGAGGTTAGATACCAAGGGGATAATTGCCATCACGCCCTGCGACGGTACGTTAAACCGCACACCATTATTGATGTGTTTGCCCAAATTTGTGAAGTAAACTAACGGCTTGGCAGTGGAAGTTGAGACCACCAAGGGAAAGCTTTCGATCAAGGCACGCGACACAACGTGCCACCCTATCGAAGAGGGCAGCGAGGCCGAATTTGTCGTGGTCGACTGCTCGGGGAAGACTTGAGGCTGGGTGGTTTTGTTATAATATGGCCTTGTATAGGTTTTTGTCCCTAGGTCGCAGGGTTTTCCCTATACCATAAGTGCAAATGCAAAGGCTATTTTACCCTTGACCGTCCTGGTTGCGAAATGAGACGGTGACTACTTGTCCACCAGTCCAGTGTCGAGGTTGAAGCTGGCAACTAGTATATCATTTATCTTTGTCGTGACATTAAAAGATTCAGCGTCGTAATGAGACGTGGCAGCGCGTGTCGTGTTTGCCGTGGAGACAGTATCCTGGTAGTTCATGGAGCCGGGATATATGCCATCGGCGATATTGTCAGCGTCACAAACCAAGGCTTCACGATCCTGTCCGGGGAACCTAGCGTGATCTCGATGGCAGACTTGGAAATACCTGATTCGATCCGGTCCATCAGCGACCACATACGTTGTAGTGAGCTGGCACCTTCTCAGCAGTATGTTTCATCACGGAGCCAAGGCCATGCTCCAATATAATATGCAATTTATATCTCGTACACTGACTAGAACTTCTCGTAGTAGCCTAATTCACCAGTATATAAGCCCAAGTCCCTTGAACTGGTGCGTACCCAATTCACATCCAACCCCTATTGTTCATATTCCATTCAGTCTTTACATGGAATCGCATCCCGTTTCCATCATCTAAGACGTCATTTATTCATAGTGTTGACACCGCCTTCTCAAACATCCAACATAGCCTCGACTCATCCACAGCCGCAGCTTCATTCCTCATTTCCCACATCTCTCCCATCTACAGCTGGTCCATCAACGTATCCACAACCTGCCCGATATTCGTGCCAAAGTTCCCCGGCACAGTCTGCAAATACAACGCGCCGCCCTCCACAACCGTCTCGTTATACCCGCTCTTGACGACGCCGTCGTCCACCACCCGAAACAGCACCTCGCCCCTCTCCGCCGCCTCATTCACGCCCTCCCTAACCATCTCATCATCCTTGGCCTTGTTATACTCCAACCAGCTGGCCAGAGCGTCAAAATACTCCCTGACGTACATGCCCAGATTGACCTCCCAGTGGTCATCTGCGTCCGCGGCCGCCTTGAGCTTCTCAAAGGCCTCCTCAAACCCTGGCTTGAGGGTGACTTCCCTGCCGAGCTGCTCGTTGATTCTAGCCTGGATAGGGGCAATCTGCGCGTCGTACTCGTCGCGGACGGACCTGCGCGCAACGTAGCTCATAGGCAGCCCCGGGGCGGACGCGGCGTTGAGGGCCTTGGTCAGGTTCTCCTCCGAGGCGGCGCTGTCAATGTTGGTGCCCAGGGCGTCGGGGCCGAAAAGGATGACGAGGCCGCCCGACTCGGAGACCTCGCAGCCGCAGTAGGTGAACTTCCCGTCGACGTCGAGGTCCATGGTGAGGACGTGGGCGGGCACCAGCGTGTTGATTTCGGTTTTGCCGGCGTCGCCGTATTTGGAGACAAAGTCTTTGAGTTGCCACTCTACACCCTCCACGTATCTGGTGCCCTCGTTAGTCCTCAGCGTCCTGTCACGACTGAATATAGAGTATGTGAAACAAAAGGTTGGTGTTGGCGTACGCTGCAATCATGGCGCCGGGGGACTCTTTGGCATATCCGTCCTTTGCATAGGCGTAGATCTGGTTCGGGTTGATGTCCACGGTCCATTCGGCACCGAGGACATCCGAGATCTTCTTTGCCAGCTCATCCTTCTTGGACTCGTAGTTGTCGCGGACTGGTCGTGTTGGTGAATCTGGCTCCGGTGTATCAAGGGGGGGTTGGGAGTGGGAGGAGGAACTTACCATCCTTTCGGATTGCAAGGGGGAGCTTGTCAACAGGCGGGAGACGGCTCATACTGACGACTTGTAAAGGTTTTTAGAGCAGAATGGACAAGCTGTTAATGACGTTACGGTCCTGGCTTCTGCGGGGCGTTGAGCTCAGGGGCCGCCGCCTTATATATTGACATCATTCAACGAGACCCCCGTCAGGAAATACTTCAGTTCGCCTTGTTGAAAGCCACCAATTTATCACCATGTCAGCTCATCCATCAGTCCATCAGCCTCACGAGGCGGCCCGGGACTACCGTGCCATCCCAGGTGAGGGAAAAAGCCCATCAAGCCAAATTAATTTCCCCGTTTCTCAATAACTCCGTTCTCTGCGCGCGCATTCCGCGTCCCGCCTCGTCGCACAATTCCGTCCACTGGCAAACTTCAGCAAGTCACATTTGCCATCTGGGGATGAAAGCCTGGTTCTCCATATAGCGGAGCCTCAGTTCCCGAGAGACTATTGCCTGGTCTTTGCCGTTTTTGGCGCAAACCACGCCTCAGCTACCGGGGTGTTGGGAGAGGAAACCTTAAGCACACGAGGAACCATATTCGGCTCGTGGCGCCGCCCAGGCACAAGGCAGAGAGCATCATCCAGGGGTCCTTCTCCAGAAACGCGGCGTCGAGTATGGCCAGGGGCGAAATGTAGGGGAAAAGCAGGGGGGGAAGAGCCACCAACGCCAAAAACGAGCCGAGACTCGGGAGGCTGAAGTGACGGCATAAAAAACGCCTACAGAGACGGGCTTGACCTTGGCGAGACAGTGCGTGACTGCGTGGGTGGTGAAGACGCGGATTGCGGGGCGGCGAGCTGAAGTTGAGGCTGATGAGGTCTATCACGAGAATAATTTCCCATCCCACAATCCACGAGAGATATATCCAGCTCGCGGCCCAACGACCCCTTCACAACTCTTCCCCAGCACCACCAAACGCAGCCCTCATCCCACGCCGCACCAATGCCGCTGTAAGTTAACCAACATCAACAACACCAAGCCCACCACCAACTAACATCGCAGGCCGCTCAAGGTGCGCCTCGCCATCCGCCAAGCCTGGGACGACCCCTCATCCCCGTCCCAAAAGGCCCTCCAGGCCCTCTCCGACACCCTCGGGCGCCCCATCGCCTGCGACCCCGACTGGGACGTCCTCCACGCCGTCCTCTCGCCCCTCTACGCCAGCGACGCCGCGCAGCTCGTCTCCGACACAACCGGCTACATCCAGAGCTGGGCCCGCGCCGCCCACGACGTGCTCCAGGACGACGATGCCCTCGCCGACAACCTGCTCGAGGCCATGGCCCAGCGCGGGGCGCGCACCCTCCCGCTCGCCATCCAAGTCTCCCCGTCCGACCCCCAAACACGGTGGGACTCGCAGCGCGCAGGCTTCGAGCTGCTCGCCCCGCGCGAGCCGCGCCAGCACCCCACGACAGCCGCGGTGCCCGCCTTCCGCGCGCAAATCACCAGCGCCCTGCACGCCAAGACGCCGCCCGACGCCGCAGACGGCGACGAATGGGCCGACCTGGCCGTCCCGGCGGCCGCGGCAACGGTGCCCGTGAGCCCAGGCCTCGACGACACGGAGCCCGCCTACCTGCCCGACGTCAACACCCTCCCGCGCCCGGATGAGCTGCTGCTGCGGCCGCCGTACCACCTGCACATTGCCCAGGCGTCCGCCATCACCGTCCAGTGCAGCCACAGCCCGTCGCTGAGCTTCCTGGAAGCCTACTTCAAGAAGTGGTGTCGGACAAACAATCAACTGACAAACAGGGTGGGTGAGCCCAATTGGCTGTTTTTCTCTTTATTCATCTCCTTCTTCTTTTCTACCTTCTGTCCTCTACGGAATCAACACTGCTAACGTTTTACATTAGCCGCCCATGGTTTACGTCACGCTCAGCCAGAGCCCCTTTGGTCTTGGGCCTTTATACGACACGCTGACTCTGGAAGTCCCACGCGATCATCACAGAGCCAGCGGCTTGCCGCCCCAGCTGTCAATTCCCATTGTGCTGCATCTGGTAGAGAGTGTGTTGGGATACACGCGGGTATTCTCCGATGCATCTGGCTGGCAATATCGCAGGGATACCCCATTGAGGAGCATATAATCATTCAATTTGTCTGGCACCTGGCATCTAGACGCTGTCTTCATCTGTCGTTATTGGAGTCATGATACCACACCAAACATCTGTAAACAGCAAAGCGCATTTTGCCATATGCCCATCCATGTGAACCGTCCATCCTTGTCAGCAGGTTGCCCTTCCGCTTTACATGTATCCCAGCCCGGTCCATTTTATATCTTCTCTACTCGGGTATCAAACAAAACCGCTTCAAGTAGGCAATGACTGTCCCGTGGCCATACCTTTGCAAAAGTATAGCACCATCCTAGAAAATAAATCATGCAACCACCCAAGCCGAATCGACTTGTGTTTCCGGCGAGCCATTCGCGGCCATGTTTGGGTCATGGCTTGCGTCCACAGCGTCCTCCTGCTGGAGCCCTGCATCCTGTTCTTGGCCCCCATCGACGGTGGGACCGTCAACACCAGCCTCATCATCCTTTTCCATCATCGCTGCTAGTCGAGCCGCCCTTCCCTCCTTCTTTCTAGGTACGGGAGCTGGTCAAATATTAGTGGATGGATTGCTCCTGAAACAAACGCAGCAGAAAACATACCTCGTCCATTCTCCTGGACGTAAAATCGTCTCAAGAGCCCGACGGCTTCATCGCGACCCCAACCCCCCTCAATCTCATATCCCTCTTCTACATTGCCACCGTCTCCTCCGCCGGGTGGGTACGACGTCCCTAATGTTCCACTGCCATCCGGAAGCTGCGATGGCCGAGGAGTAGGATGTGCGCTCGCGGTTTGCCCGTCCTCCCTGACAGGGAGAGAGTTGGCATGAATACTAAAGACACCTCCAGTGCCACCAAATTTGTCATTGACGGCCCCAAAATACACCTTTTTGATACCCAGCTGACGAAGGAGAGATGCGCACATCACACAAGGTTCGACAGTGACGTAGAGAATGCATTCACGAATGATCTCGCGGCTAACCCTGTCTCCAGGATGGATTTTCTGTCCGTATGGATATAGATGGCCCTTCTTCCCGTCTTCGTTGCCCTCGTCTGGGCGCCTTGACTCAACCGAGCTTGCATCGGAAGCATCGTCAGGCGTCTTGGGCAACCGCCTGGGGAGGTCCTTTGGTCTCAGTGACGTCTGGCGAGGGCCATTTCGGCGTGGTTCGGATAAGAGTGCTGAGATGGCCATGAATTCCGCGTGCCGGGTGCCGTTGCGCGTAACATTGGTGGCATTCATGCCTTTCGCGATAATGGTGCCGTTGTGTACGAGCACGCAGCCCACAGGAGTTTCGTTTGTCCGCAAGGCAAGACGAGCCTGGAAATCTTAGCACAGTGTCAAATCTGTCAACGGCAAGTTGGTAGCGTAAATGCATCGTTTCTTACCATGTCAAGGGCCTCCTCGATAAACCGCAGGTGGTGAGCCCGTTCGGCCAAAACGGCGGGGTCTTCAATCGCCTCCTCGACGTCTTTGGTATCAGCAGCATCAGCACTCGCGGGAGCGTGTGAATCAATGGCCACCTTCTTGAAGGGGCCAACCAAGTCTGAACCATCATCCTTTCCCGGCGGACGGTTCTCCTTGTCTTCTTGGGAGAGCCACGGGTCAGCCACGACCATGATGTCTGGATTGCTGGTATGCGGGATGGTAACTTGTGGGGGTTGTGGCCGTCTTGACGCGTTTGTGTCGGTGTCTGTAGGCGAGGTCTGCGGTGAATGATGGGCCAAACTCGATTCTGTATCAGAGGATGGCGGGACCCTCAGTCCGTCCTTTTCGTTTTCTTTCTTGGGTCCCAACCAACCAAACAGCTTGCGAACGGCATTTGTGGCAGGTGCCAGCCCGAGAGACTGAAGCAGCGGCATCGGAAGGCAGCTCCAGGGCTTGAGTGAATAGCTCCTTCCTCTTTCCTTTGTCAGATTAGACTGTGCTCAGATTTCTCTCAGATCGTCTGCGACTAAAAATGGCACAGGCAACCAAGATCTCTGCTTTTCCTGCTGCAAATTTGCCAAAAAGATTATTATCTCCTTTCACCAAAGCAGGCCTGCGATTCCATGAGAATACTTCCCATTCCAATCCAATCGCATCAGTACCCGCGGCCTTGAACAGGCAGCCAAGTTTGCTTCCACGATCCGACACCTTTTCCCTATTCAACTGTTGAGGCTCGACCCTTCAGCGTCCCAGCTTTGGCAACTCAATAGAGAGTAGGCACTGCCGCCCTTGACTCTGAACCTGAGAGAGCGTCCTCTCGGACAATGTCCTGGCAGGTGCTGCGGCTCCAGCAAACCAGAGTCGCGTCGTAGTCACGAGCCACACGAGCCGTATAGAGAGGGTATCTGTTACACAGCCGTTGCCTCCCACGCACTTTGCCAATGCACCGCCTGCTCCGACCTGTTTCACAACTTCAGGACTGCCAGCCAGATACACCAGCAGCGGACGCCAAACACCAGTTTCCTGCGCCCGAGAATAAGTTGACGTCTTGCGCTGCATCCAAGGAACAGACAGCTGCGGGTGTATCCTGTGAATGATAGCGAAAACTACAGCCCGAGACACATGCAAGATGTTCTTTGTTAGCACAAAACAGCAGTTTCGACAAATAATAGCGGCCTCTGATTGTCTAGCCTCATAGTCCTCGTTCACTCATTGCACCGTGAAATTCCTGTCCTCTCATGGCGGGAAGTCCACATCACATGATCAACGACCCACACTGTATGTACGCCTCTTCAAGCGTTGACAAAGACAAGTATTTTGCGGCTTTATAACTACGACCCCAATTACTAAAATCAGGACATTATAGTCAGTATTTCCTGCCAGGACTTGTCCTACCCTCATCCGCCACCGACTCGCCGCATGTCAAGCACAATGGGAGCAAGAAGCCCGCTTTCAAGTCACCCAACGCCACGTTGCCAGCAATGTTCATATGTAAGGCAGCCATATTCTGCCCCGAACCTCACTAGTCATTGATCGATTTATTCAGTGATGCTCAACTTGTGTTGCACCCAAAAATGGGCGTGGCCACGCCACATACTTTTGTGTGTTGGTACCCCGTATCTCTGTGACAACTTGCCTTCCCATTCACAAGCACCACCCTACTGGTATCCTTCACGATGCCCTATGAATTGAAAAGTCTTGCAAAAAATTGGAACCAGACGTTACATGTCCGTCTATTGTAGCCACCACGTGGCCGCAAGGTATTGACATCCTATATGAACCTAGGTACATAGCTGGAGGTATACCTAGTAGGTAGGCCATTTGTCTTGTTCCCAAAAGCGTCCGGTCCAACTGCCTTTGTTCGGAGATCCCAAAAGGCGCCACAAAAATCATCGCCTTTGTATGCATCTAATTGCAAAAAGTTCCCACCAAGCCGAAACCGTAGCAGACTCCGAAAATAGCACTCGACATTTTTAAGTGGCTAGTCCACTTAGTTGCCAACGGGTACCAAGAATTGGTCGGTGGGAACACAAGCAAAATTGTACCACGCTTTGGCCAGTTGTGCGAACAGTCCAATCAAGCGGCTTCTGCAACGAGCCTCGGTCAGAAATGAACTCCAGAACTGGGCTGCACAGCATAACTACCCGGCCTACGGACTGATGGGTGTTCACGAAACAAGGCAGATGCAACGAAATACAATCTGTGGCAGAATAAATTTACCTGCCGCGGAGTATACACGTATATGTTATAATATGAAGCTTAATAACCAGGCACTTGATCTAGTCAAATACTTTTTACACCACTTTTAAAAATAATAAAATAACACCGGCGAGCTTAATGCTAACTATATGAAAATACATAGAATAATTTTAACGCTAAAGCTAGAGAATGCCAATGATCTTTTAATCAGTAGGCGTCATGAAATCACTCGCCTTCTAAACAAACACGCTGCGCAATCCCATCCTTGCCCACACAATCAATACAGACGCAGGGCCAATGCTAGGCTACACACAAAGGAGACATGGTATCCAGCATGCGCGACGAGCGTCCCGACATGGTGCGGCACGATGCTGTGGGAGAATGCTTACGGGGCGAAACGCCGCCCTGTATCGCAGTCAGGGCTGCGGCCATGACGTACAGAGCCAGATTGGACATGAACGCAGCAGTTTGTACCACGCTTACTCCAACATCAATGGATGAGGATGCCACAGATGAATCGAGGCTAGTAGTTGGTACCTTCCAAGAAGTTAGCGGTTGCTCATTGGTTAATAGACGGTGCAGTCGTGTACGTACGTTGTCTAGGTTCTGGCCCGGTGAGGTATCTCCCGCGACAACAACTGTCCCCGGGGGAACACAAATAACCACCTGGCTCAGCGGCTCGGAACTGGGAACCCTGTTCGGCCTGGAGCCATACTCATTCACGGATTCGCCCGCGGTGACATGGCTCATGGTAGCAAATTGGCCACTGCTGTTGCTGCTCAATGAGCTGTGGCCCCTACCGCCAACGCCTTCGTTGGCAGAGTGGAACTGGAGTTCGTCTACAGACAGGCCAGGCCCGTCCCACTCGTTTGCCTCGCCGTCAGGTACGGTCTCGTACAGCGGAGGTGGACATTCAGAGAATGACGGTTCATTCAGGCTTGGCAAACTGCTAGTCGAGGCGCCAATCGGCAGCATACGCTCATCCTCGGAAAAGCTGGACTCGGGTGAGTACAGATTGAAATCGATGTAATCGCTTGACGAGCCAGAACGTCCCAGGAATGGGAGGTTTGGTGAAATTTCCTGCAGCTCTGGGTTGACAAACTCGACGCCCGGAGGTGCGCCCAGTTCGGGCTGGGAGAGTAGCGCAAATGACCTGAGCGGCGAAGCAGCGGAAGATGATGAAGTAGTGGTCGTGGGTTGTGAAGACAGATAAGCCTCCGATTCGAGGGGGAAGTCGAGGTCTGGGGTATCCATGGGGGGGAACTGGATAAACTCGTCGAATGGGTCGTAAGTCAGAGTAGCAGGGTCGAGGTTCTCGAGGCCAGAGAAGTCAAAGCCCGAGTCTAGATCGAATGATGATGATGCGAACAGCAGTTCTCTATCCGGTACAGCAGCTGACGGTAGACAAGGAGGGTCTTGGGGTACGGCCCTCGCCTTGTTTGCAGACTTTGAAGCAGGCGGTGGTGCGGCCTGAGCGGCTCCTCGCTTCTTGTGGCTCGGGTCGCAACGAATCTTTTTGCGTCGGCAGCTGTCGCACGCCTTGATGATTCTCATGAGGTGAGCGTGGTCACGCTGCTCCTTTGTCTTGGATCCCCGGGAAGCAGTGTTGGTCACATCTTGGCCATCCTTGGTGAGAATCTTCATACCAGGAAGATGTGAGAAGTCGGTAGTCTGGTGTCTGGAAGGCGAGCTCTTGGCCTTGCTCTTCCGTCGACTTTGTGTTGAGCCGCGAGACGACGAGGCTACTGAGGGTGCCGATGTTGCGCTCCAATCCCAAGAGGGTGTGGTGGGAGAGACGTTGAATGACGAGTTGACCGAGTCGAGAGAGGGGCTGTCTATTGAAGGAGAAGTAGCTACAGATGGTGCAGAATTCACAGGGTAGAACTTGAAGTTTTGCCCAGTCATCTGAGCATACTCGAGGAAGTCCAAGGAGATTGTGGCCCGCTTCTCACTGGCGGGAGCAGGACCAGGAATGAAGGCGTTGATGAAGTCATCGAGCTGTTGCGATCCGAGAGCAGGGAGGAATTGCAAGGGAGCACCGAGAGTATGTTGGTAGACAGAGAAACCCTGTGGGAGAGTAGAGGCGGACTGGGTAGAAGGCATTTCGTGCTTGAAGCCCAAGATGTCGATACTAAAGCAGTCCAGGTTGATGGTGTTAAAGAACCCTAAACTGGTTTCGGAAGTTGCCAAGGTGGTCAAGGTGGGCAAAGATGCTGACCGACAGCCATTGAGTGTGTAAGCCAAAAACCGCTTCAGTGTTATGCGATTCCTGGCAACTTACTACGTTTTCCGGAGAAGTTATCTCGGAGTTTCAATGCGGGATATCGTGTGCAAAAAAAGAAGAGAGCACAACCAGATACCAGATCAAGTGCCGATGACAACAATCTGACACAGGCTGATATTCTGCTTTTCCTGGAACTCAAGGAGTGAATCCCAGTTTTCCGGCGATGGATAGTAGGAGGGGGTAAAGAGTGTGAAGCCGAAGCTTGAAGGAGGAGTGACAAAGTGGTGGCGTTGTTGGAAGCCTCAGGGATCGAGGTTTCAAGAATTGTACTTCTTTTCTTCGTCCTCGTATCCTTACTTTGTTCTCCTTTGGTGACTACAACAAAAGATTCTAGTCAATGAGCTGACAAGAGACGGGGAGAAAAAAAGATATCGAAAAGAACCTCAGGCTCTGTGCGGGAGGGAGTCATGGACGGTATTTCACTTGAAGCATTTGATCAAGGCGCAGCAGGGGAGGAGGCTGACTCTTTCGGCGTGCTCAATCAGGAATAGTGTGGGTTAGCCATTGGGGTGGCATCGCCCAATAAGGGCCCGTCATCTTGCCAGGGGTTGCGATTTTACGAAAGGCCATTGGCCAATATGCCCCACCTGTTGCACCATCCGTAATGGACCTTCGGCGAGGATGCGCCACGACGATTGGTCAATGCAAGTCGACGGCTTGCAAGAGTGACTCAATTGCTGAAATGTCGGACTGGGGGAGTTTTTGGCGAAAGTGACCTCCATTTTTACCCCAGACTCTAGCAATCTGCATGTACATACGTACATTACTCCGTACGGACTGTGGCCATGGCAAATTTTTGGGAACTTTGGAAGCTGGCTCGTGTGAGAATGCATGAAGGAAAAATTAAGATGTGTTCGTTCCCCCGCCAAAGACCTGCGTGTGAGACAGGGCCAGCGGCGGCCATTTTGTGGTCAGCCAAACCTTCGCCAACCGCCGCCAACGCCAAAACTCTAAGCCTCCCCGCATGGCCACAAGGGTAGGCAACCAGCCCTCAGCGCCATGGTCGTCGGTATACTACAGAAATTTGAATGAAACTCAATGCCTCTGGCTAGCCTGAGGCACTGTGGCATGGATACGGCTGGTGCAAGGCGCGGCATGTGGCATGTGGTGCCAGATGAGATTGAAGCTTGTCTCGGTGGGCTGCGTGGCGCCATCAATGGCGCGAAAGGATCGTCGTCCCGCTTTGCTGGACTGTGCTGACAAACGGCTCTACCATCAGCCTTACTCCGTACACATGCAGTATTACTCGAAGGGAGATCGGGCTGGCCGTCGTAAAACTCGTTTTCGCTGCGACCGTGGACTGTGTTTTGGGCCTTGTATCTCCAGCCTTGTCAATAGGACACGATGGTTTGTGCCAGCATACAATGAACAGTTGCATATATGTATAGACTGTGTATGCATAAATTCGTCATCGTATCTATTTCTACCGCTAGTTCATAAGAACAGTCAAAGTGTATAAACAATGGACATCACATCCCAAGTTGATCCCTTGACATGAACATCCATTATCCAAAAGTCGTCATCGACAGCCCCTTCTTCCCTGTCGGCCGAGTCATCCCGAGCAAATCTTCAGCGTGTTTGCTCCATGCGCCTCCATTCGCACTCGAGAAACCCGGCAACGCCTTGTCCGACTTCCTGGGCTCAGGCTGTTTACTCCTAGACAATCGCGCATGCTGTGGTGCCTCGAAAGGAACAATCGTTTGTGGGGTTGGGCCAGCCGCGTCTTCTTTTCGCGCTGCCTTTCTCCCACGAGTTGCTGGGTTAGTAATCATGGGTTTCGGCAAAGTTCCCTGCTCTATTATAGCTGCTTCTTTTGCAATTGGCTCTTTTGAGACTGAATCTTCCACTGTCATTTCGGTTGCGCCTACGGGCTTTATCCCTTGTTCGGGGTGCTTAAGGTCGTCATGGACAGCTTCCTGCACTGGTATTCCAGTTTTTTGTTCTTTTGCGGGTGCATCCCCTGATGAACCCTTGGTCCCTTCAACGTGTTGCCTCTCAGCTAGCTCAGGAGTCGGGGTTGCTGAAACCACGGGTCCAGGCTTGATCGTTAAGGTAATACCCGGCAGGCGAGCTGGAGCCGCTGGTGGCCTGCCCACAGTTCCAATACGCGCAGTGGCCATTGCGAATGGGGCTGGTGCGAGCTCTTCTTGACCAGCTGGCAGTACAAAGCCAAATATCTCCTTGCATTTGACGCTCTTTCGAGCCATTCTCGTGATACGCGGTCCCTTGGGCTTCTCGGACTTCTCTCCAGCATTAGGGACTGAATCGCGTTTACTCCTAGATCGTTTTGGTTGCCTAGCTGGTGGCTGTTCTGAATCTTCCTCACTAGAACATCCAGTTAGGGGAGATTCAGAAGCACTTCTAGTCTTAGTTCTTCGTGTCTTTTTCGGTGATGGGTGATTCGCTTCATCCTCATCAGTAGACGGACCTAGGTTATCTCTGGAAGTGGCTTTTCTCCCAAGTCGTCTAGTCCGTCTCGGTGGCAAGTCCTCAGATTCAGATTCACTCGATTGGCCGTTTGTCGGCCGCTTCGGTGATCTCTGTTGTTTCTTTCGTGGCCTCTGGGCTCTCTGATCAGAATCCGATACCGTATCCGCATTTTTTCTTGACGATTTCTTCGACTTGGACTTGGCGGCTGGCAAATCGGATTCACTATCAGAATCAAAATTAATGGGCATTTCTGTACAATGGTGAGGGCTGGACTCTGGTGTCGCCTTGATAGCTTGTCCTTCATCTAGGTCCTCGAATGCTTGACTTGGCTCTATATCGGGCTCCGAGACCTGGAATTGTGATGATTTCGATGGTCCAACATTGTCCACATTTGTAACCTCGACAGAGTGTACGCTTGAAGTAGGTGTGATAGATGCGGGTTGCTTCTGCTGTATCTGTCTTCGTTCTGATAGCATCAACAGCCCTCGCCTCCGTGTAGGCTTGATTCGTAATTCAGCTCGTTTCTCGGGCCGTCTTGGGGGTGACACAGGCCGGTGTGGTTTGGATATTGCAGTGTTAGTTGCAACTTTTTGCCTCTGTTCGAGTTCCTTGTGGGCGATTTGTTGAGGCTCAGTAACGTCTGGTGATGATTCAATCTCAATGGCTTCGGCGGAAGATTGCGGTGTGCCACTTCGAGTTGCGATATTCACAGCCACCTGTGGTTTGGTAGCACCTGGTATAGCCTGCCTCTTCGTCTGCATACTATCACCATGTCGACCAACAGACTTGGCCAAGTCTGCTTCCTCCACATGCAATTCTGTCATGGCTCGTGGTTCGGGATTATTAACAACGGGACGCAAGTCTGCGTTCCGCTTGAGTTGGGCTGGTCGCTCCTCCACCAGCACATCATCCTCCGCACTTGTTGAAGCCGTCTTCTCCAACTCCTCGTCAAAATGTCTCGTATTCTGATCGATCTTCAATCTCGACCTCCTCTCAACCGTTTGATCCGTTGCCACAGACAACTCAACGTTGGGCTGCCTCGAGCTCTGCATCGTGTCTGATCTCTGCTTCTCATCAACCATTGTAGGGAGACCCTTGGGTCCAATTTTGTCAGCCGCCGGTACAGTACCCCGCAAAGTTGGTTCCTGAAGGTGTCTGGATTTCTTCACCACCACTTTCGACCGCCTCTCATCCACAATGACAATATCCTCATCCCCCTCCAAACTCGGCCTCTTCTCACCCCCACCCTCTTCCCTTTGCAAATTAGTCCTCTCCCTCAGCGCCCGCATCCTCAAAGGCGCCATCCCTCCAGAACCGCCTAAATTCAACCTCGTCCCAAACAGGCTCTGCGCAAATCCGGCCTTGCTAGGCGGCGAAGGACAGACTCTTCTCTTCTTTGCGGACGGTCCATCCATCGCCACCCCCTCCGCTTTACGAGCCTCATACGGAGAACGGTCGGAAATAACAGCACGTCCAATAGGCCCCGGGCTAGGAACTATTGAATGTAAAGGTCGGTGGTTCAGTTGAAAATGAGGCTGCTGCTGCCGCCGCTGTTGCTGCTGCTGTTGCTGGGCTTGAGTTCTGGCTCTGCTCGGCGTCGGAGTCTTGGCAGCCGCCATGGCCCTCCGCTTCTCAACTTCTCGTGCGCGCTTATCCAGTATTTCGGTGAGGTCTTGCTCGCGCGACCCAGTGCTCTCGCCGACCTGGACTATCGCAGCGCCCCGATCGAGCTCCAGTTCCTCGTCTTCTTGCAAATCCCCGCCCCCATGCCAGTGGGCGTCGCCGATGAAATTGCCCCTGTCATCGTAGACCATGATGCGTTTGTTGAAGGTGTGGTATTTGAGCCTGCCATCTTGCCAGCGCTTTTGCTTTCTGCGAAGATCGTGCGTGAAGAGGCAGCTGTAGTCGATGACGGTGGCTGTTGTTGGAGGGTCGCCGGATACGTTTGGCGCCGTAGAGGGGTCGCTAATCCTCACGGCGTAGGACATTGCGCTGGTTTTGGCATGGCTTGCCAGCGGCAGCGCCTCTCTCAGTGATGATGCCGTCTCAAGGCTGCTGTGGTGATGATACCTCCATGGACGTGTACCTGGGCCGTGAGTGAGACGCGTGGGGTGCCACATGGCGGTTTGACGCGACGCCAAATCACGTGCGCCATTAAATTACCCTACGCTTTGGAGTGTTTGGTGTTGGAATTCTGCTTGGAGATGATTGAGACGAAGTAATGGTTTTCTAATCGTTCGATAATTGAGAAGGGTTTTTTTCTTCTCTGTAATTTGGTCTAAATGATGGATTTAACAAGGTGGGCTGGTGTAGAATGTGTTCCAAAGCGCAGATGGTGTTAACGAAACACTGCCGAGGGCTCACCACTGACCTTGTACAGATTTCACCTCCATTTTTTTAGTGCCCAAGCATAAGGACAAAGACTGGAGTGAACTGTTCGAGGCTTGTGCTTAGGCTTGTAGCAAGATTCCCACAACATTGAACCATTCAAATTGGCACCAGACTCTGTAGCAATCATACTCGATAACCAGGGTGTAAAGCTAGCCGCAGCTGGTCAAGTGGCACATATTGCACTCTACACTCACTTAGATAGTTAGTTGTGGTTGGCCAGACCCAGCCCAACCAAACCAGGCTATTTATTCAACCCGAATCTATTTATATACCTGCTATGGTCAGAAATTTAAAGGCCAGAAATACATAATAGTGCATCAGATAAGTACCGAGCAAGTCTAGGCTCCTATAAACATCTTCATCTACCCCGCCCTAATTATGCATAACCTTATATTTATCCCACCAGTTGAACCTTTTTTGTCTATCTATCTGAATACTACTCCGTACTCGTGTGAGAGCATTGAACTGCATTAGGCAAAGCCCAATAAAATGAACACGCTGTTCTTCGTCTACACTAGAGAACCAAGTCCCGCGTCAAACACCATGATACACGCACGCCACGCATCAAAAGCTAGCAGATTAACGATAAGAAGACGACATCACAGTCGAAAATAAACACCATCCGGTAGCTTCCTCATCCCAGAGGGCTTATTTATCCCATCAAGATATACGTCCGTCAAGCGTCCGCCAGAATACCGACATACCAGACCCAATTCCACCAGACACACCAGTCATCCCGCCATGCAACACCACAAAGCACTCAACTCCCCCCCGCAAACCGCGCAACCCTCCTCTCCAGCACGTCCTCCACAATCCCCCCAAACTCATCGACAATCCTCCCGCCCCTAAACATAATAAACTGCGGCAGCCCCGTAATCTTATACCGGGCCACCAAGTCGCGCAGCTTATCCCCGTCCACCACCACAAACGTGAGATTCCCATACCGCCGCGACAGCTGCTCGTACTTGGGTCCAATCCAACCACACGGCTTGCACCAGCCGCTCGTGAATTCCGCCACGAGCTGCTTCGTCCCGACGAGCGCGTCGAACTGCGCCGTGGTTTGTATTTCCGTCACGGGCATTTTTGAAACGGGACACCAGAGATTCCCCTACGACGGATGAGATAAAGATAAGAGAGGGAGAGTGAGAAAAGGGGAAACCAGAAAAAAAAAAGCAGTCACATCAGTAGACTTTATACCCGCATCGCATAGAGTGAGCATGTCTTCACAAGACGGGAAACAGCTCTCGTAATGTGACCCCAAGAATGCCCTCCGCCACTTTCACCGGCAAACTCCAATAGTGGCCACATCCGATCGTGGGGGCCAACATGTCCATTGTCAGCAGTACGAGGTCGTCTGCAATGTAACCGGGCTGAACGCCAAGATTCCACGACGAGACAGCTGGCACTGCCATGGATGCGACTGCGTCGACCTTCTCATTGGAAATTCGGAGTAAATATGCAGTCACACCACCATGCAGTCAAGAATTCAAAAAAAGTACGGAGTACGTACTTATGATATAGAAGGGCCAAGTCTAAATCTAAGGGTATCGACGTATGTTCATTAGACATGCCACTTCATTGTCCAAAACTCCCCGCAAAAGTAAAATTGATAAAATGTACAGGACGCCGAAAATGCTGCCAAAAAGCAATGCTGCCAATTCATGTTTCGAGTGCAAAATCCTCGACGTCCAATAATACTGGACCCAGGATGTACAGTCATAACTTTTGCAATGATAGCCTTCATAGCGAATTTGCCGAGTGCCTTGGACCAGGTGGAGTGAGGCCGTCTTTAGACAGCGGCGAGTGCGATTTTATCCCTCTGTCTACATAACCACTGCTGCTCGCCTCGAGCTCCATGGGTGTGACGGGCCCAGGACTACCCAGAGGGTGAAGCCTTGGTGAAAGAGGCTTCTGTGAAGCTGGCCCTGACAGCCAAATATCCTTTGCTGGCAGTCCGTTGAGGGACACGCCGTTTCCTGTCTTGGTAGACGCACCCAGCACCATGGTGGCCTGCGCAATCATGTCCCGTTGATACTGTTGCATCTTGCGACGCATTTCCAGTTGAGGGTTATCGCCTCGAATTGGGTCGGGCCTACGTTGCGGGAGATCAGAGTTTGACTTGACAGAGGATGAAGCCATATCGGAAATAGGTGCCGGTTGCGGGCCATCTGAATCGGACTGCGGGTGTTGTTGCTCATAGTTTGACGGGTAGTATTTACCCATCGGCACAGGAGCGTCGTGGAATCCCGGGGCAATATAAGATGATACTGGTGTGCTTGTGTTGGCCATGGACGACGACATGGCTGTGTGAGAGGTCCTAGCTCGCTCGGCTTGCATAGTGATTGAGTCAGAGGTTCGCTGAGGTCGAGAAAGCGGAGCGTCATGAAAAAATGGGTGTGGACGATGGATTCTGCTCTTGGGGTCCTCGTGCATGGGAAAGTAACCCCTTTTTTACGATTAGTTTTTCTTTCTTTTTCTTTCCTTTTCCTTTTTCATAAAAATTGATCGTCAAGGATTGGGTAGGTCTCACCCTGGAAGATCACCACGAGCAGACAGGGGCTCCGGAGGTGTGCCAGCTGAGCCAGAAGTATTGTATTTCCTCAGCTTGGGAAGTTCAATAGCGATGGGATTGCTGTTTGATCGAGAAGAGCCAACAGACAAGTCGGGACTGCCTACATACGTGGGAAGCGTCGTTAGTTGCCACTGCTCTTATGTGCGCCTAGTCGAGATATATGGGGATGGAACATGGGGATGGAACCCGGGCATCGGCAGCCGCGAAGATTGATTAATGCTAGACCACCACCGTCATCAACAACGGGCGGCCGGACTGGACGGAATGAGTAGACCATTTTGACAGGTCCACAGAGCGGCGCTCTTTTGCTGGACATGACGAACGACCCCCCTCCGTCCCATCCGTGGCCCTTGATTCGCACCACTTGGAGGGCCTGTCGCACAACGGGTGGAGTTCAGGATGCCTGTGTAGTGATGAAGCGGCACTGTGCTTCGTACGGAGCTGCCTGTACCCCGCGATGGGCTGGATGGCTGGTAAAGGTGGTGATGCGGTGTGGAGATGGTCGCGATTTGCCGCACACGGCCTAGTCGCCAAGCCCATGCCGCATTACAGCATGGGCTTGGCAGGACGAGCATCGAAGCAGAGGAACGTAGACGAGGGAAGATTCGGGGTGGTGGTGGATCTGGGTGTTTGTTTGGTGGCGCATTTGCACCTGTAGCAGTTGAACGGGGATAACAAAGTTGGGGAACATTTTTGGCGAAACATGGGAATGGCTCAATCAAGGAAAATCGAGAAGAAAACGCGGCGTCTACGTACCTTTGGTAGATTGTGCTCCGTCTGCTGCCACGGCCCCAGGAGCAGGAGACATGAATGGCGAACTCGGTGCCGATGCTACCGGCTGGTCGACAAAGTAGTCCGTCTGGTGTGCCGCGGCGGCACTCGGGGTCAAGGACAGGTCGGACGAGTTGGACAAGGTGCGACCGGGCATTCCTGGACGTCGACGGGGCGATAGGAGTGCCGATGGCGGCTTGAAGGACCTGGCGAAGCTGGCCATGACGATATCAGGCACTGTAAACTGGGCCAAGGAACTTTTTTTTTTTCCGTTTTGGCTGGAGGCGTTGTGTGGCTGAGGGGCAGCAAGATGGCGAGAAACGGTGATGGTAAACGACTAGGCGATTTCTGGCAAGATGTTGTATCCGCGACAGTTCAATGACGCCTTCGATAGGCTACGTATGCATGGGAAAGTCGAAAAGTGGTGGCAATTTGGGGGTTGAGTAGTGGTCGGATTGTGAAGGCTCGATTGTGCCTGGGTACGCGTGGTGGAGGGACTCGATCGGGGTCCAGCCGGGTGCTGAGTAGAGATTGTAGGCTCGAGGGTTGGAGTGTCGTCGGTGCCGATGAGGTAGACAATAGTGGCGGAAACTCGCTGGGCTTGGATTCGACGACAAAGTTTCGATTGGAAATGAAATGTAAATGATGAGTTTGGATAGGGAGGCTGGCCGGAGACGGAGCCAACAGACAAGCTGTCAAAGGGTGTTGAAGGGTGTTGGCGAGTGTTGAAGGGTCGATCGACGCAAGGGCCTGGCCAATCAGAGACGCACGAGATGTCTGGTGCAACGAGCAGTCAACTCGGACTGCTTGTTCGGTGTAAAATTTGGAGAATTGAAGCCGCTGGCACGTCCAACATGGACATTGGATGGTTGGTGGTGGCTGCAAGTGGTGAGACGGGCCACTCAGCTCTGGCACTGCTTGACGCTTGCGTGCCTCAAATACCAACTGCAAATCAGTGTACGGAAAATTGACTTTTTTACGAAATCGTGCTTGCCGACTTGGGAAGGGCGAAAAAAGAAGGCGAAATGAGGTCACCTTGACCGTGCACTTGACCTGTCCGACATCTGACGAGGCAAACGCACACGCACACGCACGCCAGAAGTATCGCGAGCACAATATGCAGTATCCAGGCAAGCACACACAACCGAGAGTGAGCGCCCAACAGACTGGCGGGCCCAATAAGACAAAGAAGGGATAATAAAAACAAACAAAAAAAAGGCAGCACACGCCGAGCTGTCGTCTCGCGTGACACTTGTACCGACACCCGATGATGAGCAAGCAACAGCACAAAGGGCCACAAAAGGCCCATGTGGACCACAGGAAAGCCTTGGCCCTTTGGCGGCTCTCATGACATTATTACGTTCGCATTTGCAATCACCACGGCGAAACTTGGGCCACCCACCAGACACTACTAGGGCCGGAGATGCAATGCCCAACACGTTGTCGGCAAGAGGACCGAGCCCGAATCAGGTCCTGGCGGGGTGAAAAACATGGCGTCGAGTCGGTCTGTTAGTATGCCGACGTCATATCTTCTTTCGTCCAGCCTCGATGGTGGATCTTCATCACGACAGTGTGTGTATTCATTCGGATATTCATTCATGTGCGAGCGTCCTCTGCCACAGCGCCTCGGTGCCGCCTCGACTTGTCGTTGTCTCTCAACCTCCCTATCTGTCAGTCTGTGTCCTCAAGTACAGCTAGCCCGCTTGTTCTTTTTGCTTTCGACCACAACCCACGCCACGACGATCGTTGTCCATCACCCATGACCCATGCTCCCGCTGGCCACAACACAACCCATGCCCTCCAACCCGTTTTGTCACCGCATCCATCAACCTAGCCAGAGAGGTGTTCCATCTTGCCGTCCCTGGCGCTAATCGTGGCTTGCTGTTTTCAGGACTCGTGCTTGGCGCCGTGCCGCGCCAAGTTCACGTTCTCTATGGAGTAGATCCGATTAAGTGACCAATTTTCCAACCTCAGCCACGTGTCTACACCACCCAAACGCCATCCTTGCAAGTATCGATGTGCTTCAGCTTCCCTCCGTCTCCGATCCATCTCTGCAATGATGCCACAGCACCTGTAACAGGCGGAGCCAACTTCAACGCCATCCAGCGTAGATCAACGAGATTAGCAGCACTAGCATCTCAAACTCCCACCACAAAACACGCATGACTAGCTGATTTCGACCTCGGAGCGGCACTATCAGTACGAATTCCCATCCGCGTTTGATCGTCGACCACAATTCAAAAATGGCGTCCAGACGCTGCCATCACCCTGTAGATCTGCGAGGGCCTTAGTCTCGCGGAGCACTCTGACCGCTCTGAGCTAGCTACCAAGATGATCAATGAAGCCAAGGCTGAACTTTCAACCTTCCTCAATTCATCATTATGCCGAATAAGTAAGTCAGTGCGGCCACGTATGAATATCTGCTTCAGGATTATGGGTGTGAGGCTGTGTTGGCTGTACGAGACAAGGCTATAGCAAAATACTTGCATCGTGCTGCACGCGCAAGGCTGAACTGTACTACAAGTGTCGCGCGACGAGGTTTCCTAAAAAGGCTGACGGAGGAAACAAAGGACACAGGCATTAGCACAAGCACTACCCCCATCTAGGCTATATGTTTATCATATTAGTATATCACAATATCGCAGTGGCTGAGGCGATCGGGAGATGGCCTGCGCCGGCACGCCGCGATGAATCACCAATCTTGGCAGCTTCTGACGCATCGCGAGCCTCTGGCTAGAATGATCAATCAAGAACTCAACATGTTGAAATGATAGTACATGGTATTAGTGTATACTTCTTCATAGGTAAATATTACGCGTCGACTTCACATGACCTTGCCACGCCCCCCACGCGAAACCCTGATGCTCCTCACCGTCGACCTCGAGGCACCGCATCATTACTTAAGCACGAGCGCGTCCAGTAAACATCGATCGGGTATCACGGTGCCTCCACCAGTAGACGGTAGTGGCAACGGCAGAAACCAGCCACAGAAGCGCGCTGGTGAGATCAACCCACACGGCGTTCTTCATGCGCTGGATGTCGCCGTCGCCCTCGGCATTCTCGTGGATGAACAGCTGCGACCGCGGTGTTAGTCCCGCCCGCCATGGCGACGCAGAAAAGTCGAGTCACCTACCGCGCCAAACACCCCAAACAGCGTAATCCACAGGATGAAGAGTATCGAGTTCCAAACAGCCCCAAACACGCCCGCGTGGCGCAGAAGAGCAGGCACGAACCAGACGACGCATGTCACGGCCGACAGTGCACCTACAACGACGGCATAGACCTGTTGCAGCCTCGGGATTAGCTTCTCGCGCATTGCTCTCGCGCAGTAGGGGGCCAACACGCGTGCGGAGAGTCGATGGCTCACCCATTTAGAGTCGCTGTGTACGTGTTGCCGGTGGGAGTGGTTGAGGTCCTGGCCGTACAGACCACACACCGCCAGCGCCAGCGCGAAGCACACCAGGTGCAGGGCGCAAAAGGCAAAGTAGCCCATGGACGTGGCGAAGAAGCCCATGACGGCTGGCCGAGATGTCAATTGAAGTACGGAGTACGGTGGCGCACAGCCTGCGGGCGGAAGACGAATCGATGGCTTGTTGACGGCGTTGAGAAATGCAAGGGGGAAGAGGGGGAATATCTACGGGGGACGGCAAAGGGGTTTGGGTATTTAAGTAGATGATGTACCTAGTTATCGCGCTTAATAGGGCAATATATTAAAGTTTACTAGTGTATACTTCTCGACGCGACTTGCTCGGCGGGTTTACGCTTTTTACTAGGTGCGCTTATTGCCTTACTCTTTATAAAATATATTCCAATATATGCTGTATATATTAATATATACTAATATAATACCTGATAACCAGGTACTAGATACCGAATGGCGCGTGAGCGCACCTAGCAAAAGAGTGAGCCCGCCGAGCAATTCACCTTCTCGACGCGCAAATTGCCACGGACTGTAAACAGGCACCCGGTCGTCTTCCATGAAACCTGGGCGACCCGCATCCCGGTCCTGTTAGTTAACAGCGCCGCCTCCTGCTCAAGCTCTTGTTACGCCTGCTTCGTGATGCTCTTTTAATCACCTCAACCTGCACCTTCCGACAGGATACATACGAGCCCGTCAATTATACGTAAGGCAACAACCCCTCGTGCTTGCACTGTATCTTGTCGACTTCATGCGACCTTCGCCATGGTTCAGGATCCAGTCGCCAACGTCAGGGGAGAGATTGGCTCGCGAGCCCGCTGCTGGAAAGGGTTGCGTGGCTTGGAGGACTCTGGGTTGTGTGGTAGATGGGAGAATCAAGGGCTTTGCCTGAGTTACCCCTATCACAATGTGATGGAAAAAAGAAGGCCTGCAGTTGCTGCATTGTACGGAGAATCTTCTAATATTGATATAGTACTAGATTAGGAAGCCCTGTGGCCTCATATGACGATGAAGTTCATGATCACTGTGGCTAGCCCAGCCAAGGCCCCATGAGACGCAAGCCGCCTGGCGGTGTCGGTGCAAGTCACCACATGCAGGTACACTCTGGATTGTATGTCAAGATATGTAAGAACTTCCAGGGAAGAAGCAGGGCTCCAGGCCGAAACTCGGTATGTCACAGCAAGTGCAAGCATCCCCAGTCGATTTGGCAAGTCCAAGGGGCATTAAACACAGACCGCCCGTACCTGTAAGCTAAAGCTAGACCTGCTCCGATACGACCAGCGCGCTGTTTCGGCGGCGCATCGCAAGAAGCAATGCGCATTAGCCCCTGGAACTGGTGACGATTTTCATGAAACGACCTGCAAGACGCATCTCTTTTCTTCAACGGAAAGGCCGTTCAAGGTCCAGACATTCAATACCAAGCCTTGCGCAATGGACTCCAGTGCTTGGGGATCAAGACGACTACTCAATGGGAATTCCCTGGTACTCGTCGTATCCGAGGGCGAGGTTCATGTTCTCTGTGCAGTCGTTAGCAAACCGTGAAAGCCTTCGTTACGAACCGACAGTACTTACGCAGGCATTGCGTGGCGGCGCCCTTGTTTAGATTATCAATCGTGGCACAGCTACGGAGGTTAGTTGGAGCTCATGGGGGTTCAATCTCAGATGCGCAACTCACATAACGACACGCTTGCCACTGTCATCAACAGCGAACCCACCGATTTCAACTCCATGCTTGTTCTGGATCGACTTGACGTAGGGAGCTTCGCCAACGACCTTGACAAGCTTCTCGCCGGCGTATCTGTCTTGGTAAATCTGGCGAATGTCTCGAGAAGTCATCTCCTTGGACAGGGGGATGTTGATGGTCAATTGGATACCGCGGAACCAGGAAGCGCTGTCATTGAATCAGTATATGATAGGCAAAGGAAAAAGGGACAGGTCTAACACGTGAGGAATGAATGCCGTCGGGGCCCCAAGGTGGTGGCTGATTTCTCGCTCGTGGATGTGTCCCGTAAGAGAGTCTGCTCAAGGTCAGCTTCCAACATCCCTATAATCATGATTTCTTTTCAACTAACAAGGCAAAAGGTTATCCTTGAGAAGCGTCTCGTCGTTCTTGGGGCTCTTCTTCGTTCCAGCTCCCGAGAACTTGGATCAGTTAGCGTTGAGCGCGGGTGTCGGCATTGGGGAAGGGGGACATACTCCCGAAACACCAAAAACCGTAGGAACGCCCCCCAAATACGGCATAAGAGGAGCAATACCGAGTTGAGAGCCCGTTGAATAGCAGCCCGGGCAGCTGATGCGCGTGGACTGCGCAATCTTACTGCGCGTCACAAGCTCAGGGCATGAGTAGGTCCATTTCCCCGTCGAATCAAACCGGTAGTCGGCCGAAAGATCAATGATGAGACTCGAGCTTTGACTCAATGCTTCGACAAAGGGCTGGCAGGTCTTGTTGGGTAAGGCCATGACTATTTTTGGGTGTTAGTAGAACTGTCAAATATCTAGCGAGGGGGCGAGCCTACCCCAGCAGTCGACCTGGCCATCCTTGTCCAAACGAGCAACATCCTCGGGAGATAGGCTCTCGTAGATAATCTTGCGCTTAGTATAGCCCTTGAGCTCCTGTCCGACAAGCTCTCGAGAAGACACATGGCGAAGGTCCATGTTAGGGTGGTCGTTGAGAAGGTCAATCAAGGCCTGGCCGGTGTAACCGCGGGCGCCAATGAGGGCAATCCGCGACGGTACCTCGTTGGAAGCATTTTTCTTGCCTAGAGGGGGGTTCGGGTTCGTGTTGAGAGCATTAGAAGGACGTCCGGTGGTGGCAATCGCGCGGCCGTGGACGATATTGGGCGTTATTCCGCCGAAGGAGGCCCTGGGCCTACAGGTGACGGCGAGGGCAGCAGCGCGTGGGGCAACTCGGCGAGCGCCGATGCGCACGACCCCGCAAGTAGCAGACAGCATGATTCCAAGATGAAGCAGCCCAATTGACCTGAAATCGGGAGGGCAAGTGGTGTGCTGCGGGTGCCGTTGGAGTGAGGTTAATATCTGAGATGAGATGCGCACCACGAAATCCTTGACTGACGTTTAGTGTGGGCTGCGGTGGGTCCCGTGGACTTCGGGCCAGGGGCTTATAGCCGAAGTCGGGCGGCTTCAAGTCTGCAAGTGGCCGTTGATGGAACGTGGACTTGGACCTCGGGCAAGCAATGTGTTGTGTGATTGTACTCAAAGAAAGATTGAAAAACTCACTGAGCTCTGACGATGCTCCAAGTACACGTACAATTGCTGACTCACACTCTATCCACCTACTACTACAATTTGGCAGGCGTGGCGCTGTTGATACACGTGCCCCATGACGCAGCATCAAGAGTCAAGACCCTCTTGCCCACCCATCGTCCACCGCGAGCATCACCCGCGCTAGTGTTGCCCCAAGGCACTCCTCGCGTTTCTTGGAGCAACATTTCCTCCGCTTTTCTTCAGAAATTATGCATGGCTCGGATGTCCTCTCCTCTTCTCGTTCGCCTCGGCTTTGCATGACAAACCTCGCAGATACCGCTGGACCTGCTGGATGGCTTACTCGGCCAGTTTGCACGTTCGAACGAGCTTGCGGTATAGGCGGCGTCTGCGGCATTTACTAAACTCGATCCTCTTGGCCATCTTTTTCTCGCTGCAGGTCCCGCATAGGATAGCAATTCGAGGGCTCTGGGTGCACCTTGCATCCTTGTACGGGGCTCCTTGAGTTGGTTGTGCCTTGGTGAGAGCTCCTTCGGCCGTTGCTCTACTATGGCCAAGTCAAGGCTTTCGAGGATGCCACCGCCATCACGAGACTTGACCACGTCATGGGCCTCATGTCGGCACAACTTCCAGAATAAGCCCCCTTTCTTCTTGTTTCGTGGACTAGCAGCAACAGTCTTGTCGTAGGTATTGTCATACCGCGTCGCGCTTATCTAGTGCGGCTCGCTCTGCCGCCACATGGCCCTCATGCCGTATGTAGCCGTTCAAGAATTCGTCATTGTAGAGCCCGTCAGCCGACGTGCGGTCTTCTGGAAGCCAGCACAAAACCTTGCGCACAAAGGCCAGGAACAATTGCTTTTCTTTACCCTCTAGTTTCGTCTCACGGCTCTCAAGAGACTGATCTGGGATGGGGGTTGAGGCAATCCCGTTGCCTAGGTAAAGCCATTAGCATGGAGAGGTATGGCCGCACGTCTCCAGTGCACGGAGCGACACTCACCTTCCGAATCCCAATACTTGCGGGACTTTTCATGCATCTCCAAGAACTTCCTAGGTGGCGGACCCAACAGCGACACCATCTCGGCGAGGTGGAGTTGGTCGTCCAGTCGGTCAGCGCTTATAGCGCGGAAGAGACGACCACCTTCGAAGAGATCCCAGACCTACGGAGCTTTAGTCATTTCTCTAAATGTTGACATCAGGACAGAGCATCGACGTACCATGACCCCGAGAGACCACATGTCAATTTTGGAATCCCAGTCAGCTCCCATGATAATCTCTGGTGCTCGGTAAACTCCTGGCATCACGTCCCCAGAGTGCTTCTCACCCGGCTCTCCTAGACGAGCAGCACCGTAATCGGTGATGACTGGAGCACCATGTGTAATCGGCAGCTGGTAGGAGAGGTATATCGAGCGGTCTGGCAATACCTTGCGAGGTGACGGGGTCGCTAGTTCGAGCTCCTCGATCTGACCAAACACACCCGAATCCCGGGGACCGAGGCCGGCAAGAATGTTATTAGGGGAGAGATCTAAATGGTGCAGCGTCAGAAAAGATGATATTTAGCTGTTGACGTTGGGTTGGACGCCGAGATATACCGGTATGAACCACGCCGACTTGGTGAAGAAAGTCCAGACCCATGATAATACAGAGCAAGGTTTGTCGCAGGACATTAGAGTCGAGAGCATTTCCCGGGAAAAGCTTTCGGAACTCAGTCAAGGTCCTGCCCAGTGGAGCAAATAGGAGGCATTGGTGGTTGCCATTAGGCCCCTCGATCTCAAAGTTCTTCAGGGCGATTCGCAGCAGCTCTTTGCCGGGATGATGCGGTGCATCGATGGACTTGATATGGTCAGAAATGGCCACCTCCTGCCTGGCGTCTTTCTCACCAGTCTCGCCGGTGGCGCAGATCTTTATGATCAATGCCGTATCTTGTCTAGAGTCATGGGTGTGTTAGATAGATGGACGGGTTCCGTATAGTTTGCGGACTTGTACGTACTTGAGGTCGCGACAAGCCCAGACAGTCGACCCTCCACCAAAGCCAAGTTTGCCGGTGATCTGGTACCTGTCTTGCAGGACTTGGCCGATGAGGACAGGATAGTACCGTTCGGCCTTGTAATTCGGGAGCTTTTCCTCTTCTATCGGCTCGTCTGCGGGAACGGTCTCAAAACCGACAGTCGGAAAAACCTTTGGCTGGGTTAATATTGTCCGCACGAAATGCCGGTTGAATCGATGAAGTGCTTGAGGAACAAGAATTGGTTGACCGCGGTGTATCGAAGTAAGAGCGTGCTTTTGAGCGACAATAAGTTGCCGACGTAGGCCAGCGGTACAGTTCATAGTAGTGATGAGTACTGGGCAACATTGGTTGTTCCAAGCAAATATCACGGTGGATAATATTTGCGGTGGCCTTGCATACTGAAGGTTCAAAACGGCGTGAGAGGCCAGGCAGCACTTGAGGTTGAATACGCCGGCCCTTGCAAGTTGCCAACAGTGCCCTGGCATGGGTAATACAGCGCACCGAAGCGCGCGGCCAACGCGACACTGGGGGAACCATATGCGATTTTGTCCCCGTCACCAACGTCTGGTAAGAATAGTGAGGTACGTGCTCATGAGCAGACAGTATGTACGTCTCTTGCTTAGACCAGGAATCTTGTAGTATCTCCCTTCATGCGTACTGCAAGTTGTGAGCTTCCGTACTGGCTGGTTGCAACCACCAATGCCACCACAACGTTGTAGGCCAAGGCCTCTAATCCCTGCATGTGTCAAGTCCATGTCCGGTATATTTCCTGCTTCTAAGTAGTCCGGTCAGTTCCATGTTTAGAGCACCATTCCTCCCTACACGAAATGCTACATCAAGTGTAGAAGCAGAGGCTGTCAATACTATTTCCCCAATTTGATTTAATGCAGAGCTTTCATTTACCACGAATCCGCTGTCTGATGATGGTACCTGTCACAAGGAAGCCACTACTCCGGCCTAACCAATGCCTTGGTCTACTTGTTCCTCAACGCAGATCCATCTCAGTCCTCCAATCAGCTCACATGATGAACGAAGCCATCGAGGAGGAATGTCTCACAGGTGACAGACTGGAATATTTTCACCACACCCAGCCGGGTCAAGTGTTGGATGGCAGATTCAAGATAATCTTCAAGCTGGGATACGGCTCCAGCTCAACAGTATGGCTAGCTGAAAACTTAAAGTTGTAAGCTTCATGTCTCCCCTCCTCTTCTTATTCATCCATGTAACGCCGTCCTCTAGCAAGAAATGGTGCAAGTCATCTATACCTCGCTACGTTAGCATCAAGGTCGCGGCCCTTGATACAGATGCATCTAGAGAAGCAGCTCATTCAAAGAGTATTGCCGAAGCCGATCCGTCTCATGAGGGTATATCCTTTATCCGCCTACCTCTCGAGTCCTCCAGCTACACGCACCGCAAGGGAGTTATTTCTGCCTCGTTTTTGAGCCAATGCGAGAGACCCTATTTGACCTTCAACGCCGACTCCCCGGGAATAGGATACCATTACAGCTATTCAAGCTCTACGTCTTTTGTCTCCTTGAAGCTTTAGGTTACTTGCACTCTGCGTGCCGTCTTATCCATACTGGTATGCCTTCACAGGATAACATTTGCTTATTATTCTGACTCTAGCGTCTAAGATATCAAGGACGATAATATCATGATTACATTTGAGCACGATGCGGTATTAAAAAACTTTGCCGCGCGCCAAAAAGACAGCCTTCAACCTAGACGCACTCGTCCTGGGGACGGCCGTGCCATCTACCTCTCTCAAAGCGATTTTGGCCCTTTGCAAGGCCGCAGACTGCTGCCCAAGCTGGCTGACTTCAACCTCTGCTTCCCTGGAGTAGAAAACCAGGGACATCTCTCTGCGATACAAGCTCACCGCTATCGTGCGCCAGAAGTGCTACTTGGGTGTCCTTGGTCCTACAGTGTTGACATCTGGAACCTCGGACTACTTGTGAGGAATAAGCCCCCCAATCTCTTTTTGCTCATGCATACTCATACCACGCAGATGTGGAACCTCCTGGAAGATATCAGCCTGTTCGAGCGACCTGCCGGGGATGACGGGGAATATGACGCACACGTTCACCTGGCCCAGATGGTTTCTCTGCTTGGCGACCCGCCCAAGCTTGTGATCGAGAGAGAACGACTCTTGCGGCAAAACAGGCTCAAGAAGTCGATTCTCAACGCACGAGGCAAGGAATGTATGAACATGAATGAGTTTTGGGGCGGTCCGTTCCTCGACGACGACGGTTCGTTAAACCCCCTTATTTTCGTTGGCAAAAAGAGGCATAACAGACTAATATCTTACATTGCACCAGATTCTATCATGCGCAAGGATCTCATCCGTAGAGGGATAACGCTATCAGATACAGTGAAGCATCTACAAGACGATGATAAAGAGCAGTTTCTCGATTTCGCGTCGGGCATGCCCGAATGGTTGCCGGAGAAGCGAAGGACGGCTATGGAACTGATGCTGCATGAATTCCTCGAGGAAGGACCGCGAGCGATATTTATGAGACGATAAATGTTATCGGGCCAGATCTCAAGTACCAATATCGCCACGATGGTTTTATATCTAACGTATTTGAGTGGTGCCTGCGCGCATGCTGCAACATCTCTCGTAGCCGTAGACCTCGATGGCACTAGCACAATCCTCAATATTAAAAAACGCAACTGCTTCCGACTAAATAGAATGAGATTAATCCTCCGTTCCCTAGGCAGCGTCAGACTGGGTTCGCCCGAGCCTGGGCCTCAATTCTCCTGGATGTCGAGCCATGGAGACGAGAGGCGTGAGCTTTAAATTTCATAATATTGTCCAATACAACCCCCTCAGCCTGATACTCTGGACGAGGGCATGGTATGAACGAGCCATCTGCTCGCTCCAAATGCTGCTCGAGGTGGTTCTAAAGCAGCGCCCTACGAGCGTAACGTTTTCCGCAGAAGATACAAGGGCCCGTTTTGCCAGATGGTACTGGAGGTTGCTGTTGTGGGGTGTGGTCAGGAACGGTGGGAACGAATGGACGTTGGTCGCTGCTAACAATGTGGTTAGGGGGCGGCTTGTGTCTGGTGGTTTCAATGTTCGCTACAGCGTGCAGGCCATTGGAAGATTGCGGCCGCGGCCATGATGAGCGCTCGGGACGGCCGGTTTTCCAAGCAGAAGTGGCTGGGGGCTCAGGTGATTTGGGAAGTAAAGGGTTTAACCCGCTTGACGACCGTGGTGGCAGCGGCAGCTGGGAGCTTTCGTGCGAAAGTGGGGTTGGCATTGGGATTTGTGTGTCTGCTTGTTGCTCTGGACAGGCTCGCATACGTCTGGTATGCATAGGCAACCCACAGCCTCGACTGTAGCCATACTGCGACATCTTCTCTGCGAGGCCCAGCGCAATCCCCAACCGTACGGAGTGGCTGTCAAAGACTGCAGCCGTCGCAGGATCGTTCGACTTCTTGCCTAGCGCATTGACGGTCTCCTGGGACACGGGCCGATGCAGCCACTCCCGTTTCCATCGAACTTTGATGGATGGCTTGTTAAGCTTGGTGGGGAAAATAGGGTCAGCTCTCTCTTAGTAGCCGTTGTTATCAATAGCCCCTTCCGACAGTGCCTTGGCGAGTATGTGAGACACATGACGGAGCATAGGAATATCCTCTTCGATGAAGGTGTGCCATGTCGGGACGATCTGCTTGTCCTCGCCTTCATGCCAGCGAAGGAGTATTTGCGTGGCCAAGCGATCCCAACCGCCATTGCCTTCGGGGTCATGGAGAATCCAGAAATCAATATCTTCCCAGCAGAGAACCTTCAGCTTCGGGTTGTTCGTCCGCTCGTCCGCTCGTCCACAGACCCAGCACTCCTTAACCCGACGTGGTATGCATTCGTTCGACTCATGCTCTTCATCGGTATACGCGTCCGATTCCTCATCCAGCTTTTCAACAAGATCCTTCAGGTTCATAGGTTTAGCATAGACCAGCTCATGCTTTCGGCAACCAGAAAACATGCAACTATGGCGAATAGTGGCATTGTCGAGTTGGTCGAGCCCGATGTGGAAATGTGAAGTATCTCGGACCCAGAAAAAGTAGATGTGGTAGATAAGAAGTCGGCCCATAGGAGACTTGACTTTGTGTTCTCTCCGCAGCCCCCATTCTCGCATGATGAAGCGTCGGCTGTATTCGCGAAGATAATCTCTAATAGATCTGTCCCACGATTTCCAGTGTCCTTTTTGTAGAGACACCAAGCTTCCTTGTGTATACGCGAATCGAGCTTTTGGCATTAATCGTCTGCCTCGTCTTCCGAAGTTCAGAGTCACGCATAAGGTACCGGATGAATGACTAGCCGAGGCTCTTATTGTCGAGCTTGAGGGTCTTGATCAAGACCTTCCACTCCTGTGGTCGGCGAAGCTGGTGACAAAAGGCCTTCCATCGTAATTGGAGACGGTAGAGGTCTACTTTGTGGCTGTCTGAATGGTTGGGTGGCAAAGGACGCCGGCGATTGCCCCGTTCCCAGCTGTTCTGAAGTTCTTGTGGGCACCATGGTTCTGGCTTGGGAGTCTCCTCTTGTCGAAGTCGTTGTTGGTAATGTTCGATTCGATGCCTCGAGATCCATGGCACCAGAGTGGGTGGTGCAGAAACAGTATAGTATCAAATTCACACGGTGGCTTTAATCTCGGTGGAAATGTGCATCGACTGGATCGAGCGACATCATTTGAACAAGAACTGACAGGAATACGGCAAGGCTTAACTGTCCTTGAACCTCCACATGGCTTCCATTTCTCCTTTATCCAGGTTCCTAGTTATCGTCCACCGTGAGATGGATAACTTCGCTGTGCCCTATTAAAATATCCAGGACGTTGGCAACCCTGCATGTGATGTATGGTAGACTGTGCGAGATATACGAAGCCAGAGTGCCAGATGTTCCACGTTCCTAAAAATAGGGCACCTCTGTGTCCTAAAAGGACACTCCAAACACCAAATATGCGGGCAATTAAACACATGCATTGTGTAATTTCCGAATCACTACATTGCAGCAGTTCATTGCCCATGACGTAAGGGCCATGCACTGCGGCAAGCGCGATTCAAAGCAGACTGCCGTGCGCGCACAGCTCCTTCTCCCTTGGCAATCTGGCCCCGTGTCGCGATTAAATCACATGATGCGGGAGTTGGCATTTGCAATTGGCTGTCCTGTCCGCGCCGAAACAGAGGCTGCCTAACCCGACGACATCAGGTTTGCAGAGTAGACACCTTAGTCCTTTCCTGAGAAGTCGGGACCTGTCGACCCTTGGACCCTTGGGACCTTTGGCCAGGCACGGGAAGTGGCCCGTTGAGAGCGTTTGACTGCGCCAGCGATATACTTCCTCCCGACGGCCTCGACTTCCAAGTTCCAACAACGTCCAAAAAAGCTGGTGCGGCCCTGAAACCCAACACGACTGACCGGTCGCCGCCCTGAAAACTTGTGCCTCCAGTCTCGAGGTGGGCCGCGGAAATCCTGAATCCCACTCCACACAAGGCTAATAGGGGCTAACATATAGTAGACTTGAGCAAGAAGGGTAAAGACCACAGACAACGCCCCAAGCTAGCCAGCCCTGTTGTCTAGATGTATGGGAAAATCGAAGAAGAAAAAGAAGGAAGCCACTACGGCCACCGAGAGAGCAGGCTACGCCACAGTCGAGCTGGAACCGGGACCCGCCTCCGGGACGAGACTGGGCTTGCGACCTGCGGCCCGGAGTCCCTGGCCGCCTGCCATTTGGCCCATTTACCAGTTGGTACGGGTTGACAAACAGGCAAAGCAATGGAAAAACACTGGGGCTTTTCGCCATGACGTGAGGCTGGTCGACTGCTCCTGCACCGAAACTTCGAAAACTGTACCCTGCCGCCAATAAGAAGGAACCAAATGCAACCGGTTTCTTACTTACGCTAGGGCGTCTAACCCTGGGGGTACCACGATGCCGCCCCGTGACGGTTGATGACTGATTGACTCAACCCACTGCAGCCTACAACAGCACCGACGCCTGTTGGTCTCAATCCGTGTTGGCAGCTTGAAGGACGTTTTCGGGGACGGGCAAACACATGAGCCCCCGGGTTATTCTCTTGCGGTTCGCAAATTCATGGACAATGTCTGGCTGAGCCTGCTGCCGCGTCCACCGACGCCCTGTGTGCACCAAGTGTTCTTGCTGATAGACTCCGCCATCTAACCCACCCGTGCCTGATGATACTCGCGAAATCAAACTTGGCCCCATCCAAAGAGATGCCTACTTGGGGGCCTACCGAGTCAAAGTCTCTTTACAAGGCTGGTAGTGCATTTTGGCCAGTTGAGTCAGGCACCACGAACCAATGATGACAGGTTATGGCCTTCTCAACGATGGCATGGCCGTCCTGTACATCGGGGCCTGGCAGCCTTGACGAAGCCCTTTCTTGGTCAAATGCTCACCAGACAAACACACTGCCACCAAAGCGACGTGAATTGCGGAAACCGTACAACCGGGCCTGTTCTAGAGCTCGGTACCGCCTTGTTTCCTTGATGCCTTGGGCTATATAAACCGGCATTGACTCTGTCTCGACTTGACTTTTTGACATGTTCACTACAATCTCATTCAGCTTAGGCCTCAGTCCAAGAACTAGGAAACCAGGCACTCTTCTCGGCAACGAACAAGCCTCTGACTCACCCACGCATCTCCAAACACAAGCAAAAATGTGCTGCGACATGAGGAACAACGCCACCGAGCTCGTCAACTACTCCAAGGCCACGGTCTGGCAGTGTGTACGTATAATTATCTCAAACACTGAATCGAGATGACGACAAACTAACTCTGAGAATAGTGCGGCTGCAGCAATGGCTGGTGGTCTGTCGACTTGGACTACTTCTGCCCTCACTGCCTGGTACCCCGATGCACCTACTGCCAGTATGCTGCTCAAGGATAGCGGCATTTGGCCACGGCTGATGGTGGAAAACGACCAACAAAACCGGACGACTATGGACTGACGACGTGTCTCCGGAACAACTACATTTGTCAAGATGAGGGCTCAACTATTGTCATGTTGGGTCCTTGTGTATACTATGGAACGACGCGATGGGATATGGATTATGGACAATGGACTATGGACTACGGACTAGGACTATGGATGATGGGTTAGGGACATGCGCATTTACGGACAGGGAAAACACCACTGTAGAATAGACCAAGCCAATAGATAGATAGCCTGATTTCGATTTGATTTTTTATTATTTTCGTTGACGAAAAAAAAAGGCGCATCCTTGTCTTCCTCGCTCAGTGTTGATCAATTGACCTGAGAATGACATGGGCTGGAGCCTAAACCCGGACTCAGCAATTGAGTCAATCGGTTGGCCAATCCCCACACCCCGCAGAGCCAACCGCCAAGGCACACAGGAAGGCACACATGACCAAGTCAAAACAGGACAGGTGAAAATAAAAATAAATTTAAAAAAAGAGATATATATACATACAAGCTAAAAGATGACAAACGGGGCGTGGTGGAACGCAATTGCTACGTGATTGTAAATGTTCGTTTGGGGAGTGAGTCTGTAGACTGACTGTCAACCCGCACGTGCGTGATTTCAGCGACAGGCAACCACATTCGCTTGGCGACGCAGGGTTTCCCGCCTCGTCTTGGCACCAGCTCGAGGAGCGTTTCGAAAAGCGCAACGCACCGGGGCCTGCTGCGTGGCGGCACAAACATTTGCCCGTGAGGCATGTTTGTGTTTGCCTTCTCGTCTCCGGGCTGGCTCCGGTGTGTGCGGATGCACCGATCGGTAAGGGGGTTCGATCGAGGCTCGCAGCGTCGCAGCCATTGTCGCCCCGAAGGATCTCGTGTTGTACGAGCCCACGTTTTGTGGTTTCTTTATTTTTGTTTCCCTTGGTCTCGTCTCACAAGGCTACCCGCAACCCACGAGGCACGAGGCACCAGGTACCCGCGAGGCACGCGCGCATAGCATCCAGGCTTGCCCTCGGGGGGAGGGGGACCGGAGCTACTTGGCCTCTTGGCAGAAGATGAGGGTGTTTCCAAAAGGGTCGAGGACCGTCATCTCCTGGGACCCCTCGGCCGGGCCGTCCTCGAGCCCCGGCCGCATGTAGCGGTAGCGCTTTGCTGTCAGCGCGGCGTGGTACTCGGCAAGGTTGGACGTGGAGATGCGGAGCCTGACGCCCGGGCTGCCGTCGCCGTGGTGCTCGCTCAGATGGAGCGTGAGAGCGCCGTGGGAGATTTGCCGGTACAGGGGGGCGTTGGCGTCGTGCCGGTGCTCCCAGTCGGTTGTAAAGCCCAGGTATTCGAGGTAGAACTCGTCGGCTTTGGGGACGTCGAAGATGCGGAGGATGGGGGTGACGGCGTGGAATTCTGGGGCCATGGCGTGGCGGTTCGTGTTTGCGGGGGAGGGGTGTTGGGAAGCTGAGGTGATTGACGGATGTTGGTTGATGGTGGTGGTGGTGGTGATGTTTGGTGAGGAAGAAGGTGGTGAGAGTTCGGTGTTGGTGGAGGCGGCGCGAGGAGTGTCAACTTACAAGCTGATGGATGAGGTGAGAGGTTTGGCGCCGAGCTCCGTGGTTGGGCGGTCGTCGCGTAGGCAGCAGCTTGCGAGCGTGCGCAGTAAACGAGCGAAATCTGCCTCGTGGTTTGGCGAGTGCAAAAGTAAACGGCTTGGATGTTGAGCTGTTGCGGATTCTTCTGGTGCCGCTTGTATCTCTTTGAAAGTCGAGCACCTTGTGGGGGGCCAAGCCCAGGGGTATAAACCAATCGGATAAAAGCGGATAAACGTTACTTTTACTTCCATATAATAGAGGTAATACTCAGTGTACTAATAACCCTATTAGGTACAAAGCAGCTACATTATACTGGTCATAATATCATACTATTTACTTAGTACTAGGTTTGTTCTACAACAATCCGTGGGGCAGTGGGGGCCCCATAAGGTGCTCGACTTTCAAAGAGATTTGCGATGCCCCCCAGTTGAGGGTGCTGGCTACGCCAGAGGGGATGCCCGATAAACTCTCCCAAAACTCACCCATCCGTGATTCCTAAATATCCACCCAGGCCTCCCCTGCCGGGGATGCCCAGACAGTCCCTGGCGATGCCACCACGGATAAAGCACTGGTCCTTTGCTCTCTGCGACTCGCCCGTCTGCTTTTCATTCCAAGCAGTCTGGCGGCCAAAGTACAATCTGTAAAAGGTCCTATCCCAGTCAAACCTTTCGCTAACCTTGTGCCAGAAAGCGGGCGAGAGCTCGCCCCCCACGGGGAGTTTCTGCGGAATCCCGTACACCGTCTTGGCCGAGTATGCCTTGGCCCATTTCGGGCCCTTGTCGTACTCCCAGTAGCGATCAACCATATTCGACGAGTACGTGACAATGTCGAGGATTCCAAACGTTTCCGGGTCGACGTAAAACACGTTAAAGGCCGGCGCGCCGATGACGGGGGTGATGGAGGGCGCAATATACGATGTGACGAGGGCGTCCTCGGCCGTGAGCCGCTCGCCGACGCGCCACCAATGCGGCGACTGCGGGTCGGTAAACCCCCGGTAATGAAGCTGGAACTGGTTGAGGAACGTGTGCCCAAAGAACATGGCGGCAACGGTGGACCCGTACTTGTTTATGATCTGGTTGAGCGAGCGCGAGTAGTGCTGGAGGATGTCGGGGTCCCCCATGGACATGTGGCCGATGATGTAGACGTGCTCCTTGGCCAGGGTGGCCGCGTCGAGCTCGCTGACCAGCCATGCCAGCTGCCCGGCCGGATCGTGGTTGATGGGGTCCTGGTAGACCCAGAGGTTCTTGTAGTTGTAGAGGTTGGTGTTGAGCGAGATGATGCGCAGGTTCCGGTGCGGCACCTTTGTGGAATAGAAGCCGCCGTCTTTTACCCTGCGCGCGTCCTTGTCGCCGATCCAGCGAGACCAAAGGGATGAGAGCGTGTCGTAGAGCCACTGCGTGCTCACCTTGCTGGTGACTTGTTCCGCCTGGAACAGGTTGGCGGGTGAGCTCTCGTCATTGCCAACAGCTGGGTAGATGTAATCGAACAGCTCACTCATGTTGCTATAGGCCTTTTCGACTACGTGTACGTTAGCACAACTGGTGTTCCAGCAAGAAGGGGCGGCGCGCGCAAGACTGACTCTGTCCTATGTTGAGCTCTGCCGTCGAGTTCCAGACTTGGCGTGACAAGATGCCGCCGGTGAAGATGGCAAAGTCGGCATCGCCAGCGAACTTCTTCATGGCTCGGTAAAAGCTCTGCTGGAGGCGATGGGGAGTGTCGCAGCCGCCATGGTGACCATATGGCCCTCCGATATCTAACTCGGGATCTATCAAGATATCCAAATGCGCCTTGTGCCTTGGTTGAAATATGATGTCTCTTTCTTTCTCCGTGAAGGCCCTGCCAGTCAAACGGGTTGTCAGGGAATGCCGCTGGGAAAGCAACGACAACGAAGGAGGAATGCAACCATACCTGCAGCAGATCAACGGATAGGGGCACTTGTCTGTCTGCGACTGGGTGCCTGCAAAGTAATGGGGGTCGAGATGGAGGTCGGTGAAGTGGACGAATTTGAAGGGCATTTGACCGCTGGGCTTGGGCCGAGGAGGCGGCCTCTCGTTTCTCGTGTAGTTCATGGGAACATTATACCGAAGCTTGACGGCCGGGCAAGTCCCAAGCCAGGTATTGCAAAACAGCTGCGCACCTTGAGATTCGCCTACCGGGTTCATGTTTCTGAGAATATGGGCCATGGCTTGTCCATAGCGTTCAACCGACTCGATGCACAATTCTTCCACTTTCCACTGTGTACCCCCATGTTCAGCATGTGCAGCAGCGGAAATGGGGGGCGGGCGGCACTTACATCGACCTTTGCCCTTTGGATCATGCTGCACATCTCCTTTCCCCTGGCGATGAAGGCCTCGGTGTTTGTCGCAAAGCCTTGCATATACTTGAGAAATCGCTAAGGGGGGGGGGGGGGGGGGGGGGGGGCAGATGTCAGCTTTGGAGCGTTGTAAATCGTCGCGGTGTGGAGATGAAGAAGAAGAGGATGATGATGAAAAGGGGGAAGAAGAAGAATTAATACGTACCAGGCACTCGTGGCACTTCACGCCTACCGCCCAGGACCCCGACTTTGACATTTCTCTGACGGTCCAAGTAAAGGCGTCGAGGTTTTTCTGGAACTCTTCCTGGATCGCGTAGAGGTTGGGGGACTTTTTGGGTCCCGTGCCGGCCGAGCCAACGCCCAACAGGACGGACAAGACAAGTAGTAGCCGCATTGTGTCTCGTGCAGTGATGGACGAATATACGAGTATACTCGAATGTGCCCTCAAGACTTGCCGGACGCATGCAAATTATATACTCTTTTAAACATGTCATCTTTGAAGAAGCCAAGGCTTGTAGACAAAAGTGTAAAGGTTAGTCAAAAGTTTAAGTTGTACTCTGCAGGCATACTACTTAAGTACCTTCACCCAGCTCTTACGGCCACGCTTGCTAGCTGGCGCTAGGCCACAGTCGACATTTTGTTAATGTATCGGGAAGTCACGACCCTTAAACTATATGTGGCAGGGTGTAGTAGCCTGCTACAAAGTACCCCCCTATGTATTTACTGTAAAATATATTATAATATATTAAAATATACTTGGTAGGGAAATATATTCTGCCACAAATAGTCGAGTATTTTGATGTCAATTCGTTTAAACATCATCGACCCAGCCAAGCCAGGCCACCAAGCAGACTACTTAAGTAGAAACTTGCCACAAGCTTCGTGCCTATGCCGACACCTGGACAGCCGTCGGATGCTAAACTGTTCTAAACACAAACTCTACCACTTGGTGGTAAAATGGTCTACTGTACCAATACTCGGCTTTGAAAAAAGTGTCGCTGTACTACACCAAGTTTGTTCTGTTAGTCGCAGAGCTAGAAAAGACTATTTGGTAATCTAGGTACACACACCTCCCATGCACGTATGCGCATCTCATGGACACGTGTTGACGTTCCTGTAATATCTTGGAACCAGCAGCACGTCCTCGCGGATCGTTCCGCCCTAAACCGAACAGGCGGGGTCGCCACAGCCCAATCCGAACCTCGGCCCAAAACACCAAGAGCTTCGACCAACACCAAACCACACCATCCTGCATTGACTCCCAAGAAAAATAAATAAAAATAAAATCCGATCCCTCCTCTGCACCCACCGTCCACACACACGACCCCCCCGAAAAAACCTGTCCCGTTGCACCCGCGGGCGCCTCCCAAACCATGGTAGGCCTCGCAGAACACCAGTCCGTCCTCCCCAACCTCCGCGACATCGGCAACATCCCCATCCCGCCGCCGGGCAGCACATCCTCGCCGTCGCCGTCGCCGTCGCCGCCGAGCCCCCGAACCACGCGGACGTCCCCGTCTTCCGGCGCGTCGACTACACCCCCGAGGCCATCGCCCTGCGGTACCAGGACTACGCCGCCGCCGACACCACGGCCGGCTTCGTCTCGGCGTACCGCGGCATCCTGAGCGCCGGCGGCGAGCGCGCCTTCGCCCCGATCCTGCGCCACCTCGCGCGCGACGAGCCCACGCCGTGCCTGGTGCACTGCACCGCCGGCAAGGACCGCACCGGCCTGGTCTGCGCCATTGTGCTGTCGCTGTGCGGCGTCGACGACGACACCATTGCCTGGGAGTACGGTCTGACCGAGGAGGGGCTGGCGCCGCTCAAGGAGGGCATCATGCAGCGCCTGATGAGTGCCGAGGGGGTCACGGTCGACGAGGCCGGCGCCTGGAGGATGCTGAGTTCCCGGTGAGTGCTTCTTCTTTTTTCTCCTTGTCCTGGTACAAGGCTGACTTGGTGTACTAGGCCCGAGAGCATGCTTGCTACGCTCCAGGTCATGAGGGAGGAGTACGGCTCGGTGGAGGAATACGTCGTCAACGAGTGCCGCTTGTCGCCCGACGAGATCGAGCGGCTGCGGCGGAATTTCATCGTCGAGCCGCAGAACGGTGGTGTCCTGGACGCCGAGCGTGCGGTATTATGAACGTCATGACAACATTTGCCACGCCATGCATTAGATGATTGAGATGAGAGCCTGTGTTGCTGGAATTTTTGGTATTGGTCCTGGTCTGCTGCAACGCAGCACTGTACATGGTATTATACAAGCAAGCCCGCGGCTTGATTCATGCCACCCCATCGCTGTAATGTAAACCAAAGAAACGAAAATATGTATAATGGTACACGTGACGCCTGCCCATGGCCTCCTCAAGGAACCGACGTGGGAATCTTGACCACGCCGCGTTTGCGGTCGTCAAACGGCGCCCCGTACCTCCATCCTGTGCCCTTGCGTGATCGCCCATCCCTGCTGACGTCATCCACGGCTATCTCCTTGAAGCGGAACTCGTACCGGTCCGTCTTGACGCGCCTAGTCGTCTGCTCCTCTTTGGCCTTTTCCTGTGCCAACTTCTTGGCCACGCCATCCTCCTCCTTTTGCACGGCAGCCTCAAACTTCTTCTTGCTGTCCTCCCTGCTCATGCCCTTGAGAATATCGCGCTCCATCTTGATGAGCTGCGGCTGCGGAGACCGTGTGTCCGCCGAGAGCATCGTCTCGTGGAAAGCCTTGGCGGCATCTTCACGCGTAAATTGCCTCGACTCGGACACGGGCACGAATAATTGCTGCATGGTCAACTTGTGCACGTGGACCTCGTTGACCGGCTCGTGCGGTTCGTTCTTTTCGCCCTCGCGATACGACGTCTTGGGCAGCATGCTCATGACGGCTTTTGCGTACGGCGTAGCTAATTTGTTGCCCTTTTGCTTTCTGTTAGTCGCCACTCGCCAAGAAAATTTGTTTCGCAACACAAAGGGTAAAAAAAAACGCATCATATCAGGCAAAACTAAATGTCTAACCACAGGTGGTGTCTTCAAGACTAATCGAAAATTTTTATAGTTGTCTCATCATGTGAAGTGCATTTCTCTCCCCAAAAAAGAAATCATTGGAGAGCACTGTTGAGGAAGGGGGAGGATATTGTCATTTACTCACATCTTTCACCCATTGCCTCTCCACCTCCTTGAGCCTCACCACAGCCGCAACCCGTCTCACATCCACACCCATCTCGGCCGAAACAGCTTTGAGGGATTCTCCTCGCTGGGTAATTTTCTGCCATATCAGCTCCCTCGTCTGCTCGTCCAGAACCGGCTGGCTGCGGAACAATGGATTCTGTGGGAAAGGCTGGTCTTGGAACGGCCCCAAGTATCGGGGGCCCCTGCCACCCTCTGCCAGCTCTTGGCCGTCTCTTGATTTCAGCCATTGGTACATTTGCTGCCGAGCCCGGCTCATCTTTTCGCGATAATGTGTCGAGGAGAATGTTCGCGCAAATGGGCCTGCTGACCTGGCTTGTTGGGGCAACGCCAGGTCAGCTGCCAGTAAGGCAGAGGTGCCATTTATCCTCGGCGGCATCTTTGTGATGGAATGCTTTCTCAGCTGGGGAGAAGCCCAGTGAATAGCCGCATCCAAGTCAATTGGGCTGGCGGCTTGCGTGTCGTGCGGATGTGGATGTGAATCCAAAGTGCAGCCCAAGGATTAAAGCTCTGCAGGTGTAGATTTTTCGAAGAGATCGGTTCCACTATTTTTCCGGTGCCGGCCATTCTTGATCCGAGCACCTCGGCCAACCTCTTCGTGAGGAGCCCTTGCAAATACTATCAACATGGAGACAAAATCATATTCAGACACGAAGATGTACTGGGTATTATCATTAGACCTGCGGCGCTCAATAGGCGCTCATAAATGCCCGAATAACAAAGATTTGATGCTGGCACATGGAATTCCACACATATACCCTGGTTCCGCAGGTGACGCGCAAATGTGCCTGTTCGCATCATAAATGATCCATCATGAAGATACCGTATCCTAGTTTTCCACCTCGTTCATGACTGCCGTAACTGTGATTATAAACCGGCGTTAAAAAAAATTATGCCATCATTCATGTTGACGCGCAGCGAGCGCCTAAGAAGTCGTGGAGAGAGACGATCGGTTCTTCTTCGATTTGGCCTTGGTTGCCAGAGCGTTCTTTGCCGCCTCCTCCCTCTCTGCATCCTGCACAGACAACTCTTCCTTCCAATTGCGCCAGGCGTCAAAGTCGATGAGTGCTTGCATGCAACCCCATTCCATCACTTTACGCTCGAGCCACACAAAGTTGACCGGCTATTATTGACAGGTTAGTATTTGGAGGGGCACAAAGAAGCGACAAGTGCAGAATGCGGCCTACCTTGGTCAAAAAATCATTGCAACCTGCAGCCAATGCTTCATGTCGGTCACTTTGCAGGGAACTGGCAGTCAATGCCACAATAATCACAGGACTTTTGAAAAGAGAAGGGTTTTGCAGCCGATCCTGTTCCTTGATATCCTCTTCCGAGTTGCCCGTCGCATTGTCAGGCGTTGATGTAAAGACACCGATAGTATTGATCCTTTCGAGTCTTCGAATCTCCCTGGTTGCGTCGAGACCATTCATCACTGGCAGTTGAATGTCCATCAATACAAGATGGAACCCCCCCATCCTCCACTTTTTGACGGCGTCTTGTCCGTTCATGGCCGACTGCCATCGTACTTTTAATCTCTTTACAAATGCCTCCAATAGCTTCAGGTTAATGGGGTTATCTTCGACGATGAGAACATTGATGGGAGGGACATTCCCGTTCAGGACAGTGCCGGCGGCGGCAGGATGTTCTGAGCTTTTTTTGCTTCTTTTCGGACGAAGACTCGGTGCCCTTGGGGAAGAAGATCGCGGAGGAGGAGTAGCAATTCTGGCGGGAGTTACTTCGGGACCAGGTGATTTGGCCATTGGGGTTTTCACCATTGCGAGTCCGGACGGATGGTCTGACGAGCTTGAATGAGTTCGGGAATGGGGTAACCGCGGGACAAAGTTCTGCGTACCGTGGCTACCAGTATTGGAGGCTTGCGGCCCTGGAGCATGACCGGCCATCAACGTTGGCGAAGATGTATGAGTCCTATTTAGTCTAGGCCGGTCTGGGCGGTCTCTATAGAGGCGTGACCTGCTGGTGGCACCTGGAGATGGAATGGGAGGGATATGGCCGGTTCCAAGAACAGCAATCGAGTGTGGTACTGTACCGTTGGGCACTGTTGCTGGAACAACATGTGAAGTGTGCGGTGATGGTATGGCTACGACGGGTGGGAAATAACCCTCGCCGGCTTCTGAGGGTCGGCCGTCCTCTGTGATGTAGTATGTTGTAGCAGTGCCTGGGGGGATGGGCACGCGAGGAGAGGCTTTCGGGGTTCGTCGGGGAATATCGATGATGAGAGCTTCGTCAATAGTCTGACCGCCTGGGTAGTAGGTATCCAGGGTTCGAGCCATAACCTCCTCTGGGCCAAGGGCCCTTTCTTTTTCTTGGTCTCGCGGGTGTACACGGATGACGAGGTCCGGGGAATCAAATGTGCGACCCAATGAATTGGCGTATTTTCGCAAAATCATATCCCGAACATCATCGACCAGGTCATCTTCGTTTATGGTGATGGTCGTAGCAGAGGCGTGTGGCCGCCTGACCCAGATCTTTCTGGTAACCATGATGGTATCTATAGAGTGCCTATGTTCAGTATCTGCGGCGGCCTGCGGCTGGTTGGATCGGAGAAGAGTCTTGATCAGGCTTGTTTGCCGGCTGGCGAAAAGGCTCTGTCGACGTGAAGGTTGCGGATCACTCGTGAAGGATACCGGACTGGCAGCAGACGAGGCAGCAGATGCCGACGCAGCTGCAGGAAAGGACGCGAAGCTCAGGTGGTCGAGCTCACGGCCATGTTGCGGCGGTTGGAGAGGATCAACTTCGAGGTCGTCACCAGCATGTGCGGGAGGCACCCTCACTCCTGACCCCGAGGAGCCAATGTCGAAGAGCCGCAAGTTGTGGCCGTGGTTATGGATCCGTCCAGCACCAGCACGCTGCGGCGAGTTGCGGTCGCCGACGGCTAATGTCGAGGTACGAGAGGTTCGAAGGGGCGAAGATGATGTCGGCGATGGGGTTGACCGCGGCGGGGGCGGCAAATGAACCGCAGTAGCTGGGCTCAATTGTGCTGAAGGATCAGGATGAGGCCCAAATCGAGATGCAGCCCAGGCAGAGCCATGGAGGTGGTCGTGGCGGGGCGGGTCCTTGTCAAATGCGTCCATATCATGATGTGCCTGGCCCTGGTCCATGTCGACGGAGCCCATGGGGATGTTCCGGGGGGCCTGGGAGACCTGGGGGGCCAGTTTTGGGGCATGCGACAGCGGGTGACCCTCTAATTTCTGCCGTGAGAGGGCTTCCTCGGCGAGCGATCCAGGCTGCGCTAGCGGTTCCTTCTCTGAAGCCCCCATGGCGCCACCGCTGTTGCCGGCTCCGAAGCGCTGCAAGAACGGGCCTTCAGCGGGGGGTTCGCTGTCAAGACCACTGGCTCGATTTGTGCCTTGCTCGTCGCCCGCCCCGCCGTCCTGGTCCTTGTCGCGATGCTGTCGTTTGTCTCCTTCCGCGTCGCCGTTTTCGTCTTGGTTCCCGGCTGCAGCTCCATGGCCAATCGCTTCGGGGTGTTCATCGCTGGTCTGGCTCGCAGTGCGCTGGGCGTGCGAGGCACACGATGCCTCACGGCTGGTCTGGCTAGGAACAGACGAAACAGACGCCTCCCCAAGACCGCTTCGAGAAGACGCCAGGGACGACGTAGTCGAATGTCGCCGCCTCGATAGCCGCGCCTTGATGCGGGAAGCAATATCGTGCGCCATCAGCTCGCTCGTGTCTGCCAGCGATGGCTCATCGGTACGGAGCAGATGGCTGGACGGAGAGGTTGCCGAGGGGCAAAAGGGGGAGAAGACCCGGTGTTGCGCTCAACCTTTTGTCTCAATCATCAAGCTCATGGTGCTCCGTGTCGATGAAGGAAGGCAGAGAAGTCCCGCATTGCCAGGCGCGCGAGAGCAGACGTGGAAGAAATAATAAATGCGAAAGCAAAAGCTGGCCGCGTGGAAGAGAGCTGCCCAACTTGAACCCGATGGCTGAATCACAGAACTGATTGGCATAAAAACAATACGCCAACCCGGGGCTGGAGCGGGATTGACTCCAGTGTGTGGTCCGTCGGCACTCAATTCATGCATTCGCCCAATGCTACTGTAATTTACGAGATAGACTTTGACAAACTCTCATTAGCTGCTTTTGACAGCCACCATGACCGGGTCCCTGGCCGCATCTGCCGTTTCCGTCAAACATAGCCATCGGTGGCATCGCGGACCGTTACAGCCTTGTTCAGCTCCTCTTGAAGTCTGGCCAGGTCGGTCATGATGCAGCATGCGGCTGTCGTGGTGGGCACAACCATACGAGGGCTGTGGTCAGCTTCTCCCACGCCCAGGGGACCCCTGGTTCTTGTCGGACAATGGCCTCGGCCCTCGACTGATTCTTTCTGCGTTGGACAAACCGTGGGTGGCACAGTGACACCTTCACCATGTGCGTTCGGCGACACAGCGCGACACAGCCTGTGTTTGTGGCGTAGTTGGATGATGCAGATGATGCCGGCAGCCGTGGCCCGTGAGCCAAGATGCCGCGATGCCTCATGTTGTCGGCACCTTGTTCACGGCTACGATGCTTGATTGCCCCGAGTTGTTCGAGAAACTTTGAAACTTGTCTTGGTTTGTTTGTTCTCCGTAAATCATTTGCTGGACCATCGACATGCAATTGCAGACGACGATGTCGCACAAATATGCCATGGCCACAAATGTTGGCCCGTAATGGCACGACATCGCCATTCTTCCAGTCTGGCTGTTTGTCGACGATGAATTACCCAACGCCACCCGGCCAAAGGGTACCAGCGAACGCGCGTCAGACCAAGATTGGAGGCCTTCAAGTTGCGGCAAACAAGGCTTTCGTGCCCGTTTTCGTCCAGCAGACGTAGCACGGTTTCCATATACCAGCAATTCTTGTCACACCAAACGAAACGAGTGAGGCACTCGCTCGAACCAGCCGTTTTCATAACCAACAAGACTTGCAGGATTGTTCACTTCGCATAGTGTGCCATGGCGCGACATAGGTCACACGACATCATGTAACCACGAGGGCGAATCGAGTACTTAAACTGCCCAACTATCGCAGTCACTGCCATCTACTAGCATCATTCAGGCTGGTAGCTCGAAACAACCATGATAGAAAACTGCACGACGCTGTATCCCAACGATATAGTTGGCCGCAAGGTCAGTGAGTACTCGGACCAGCACTCAGTCCCTCTTCCCGAAGGCCTTGTCAAGTACCATGAATGGGTGTTGCGCAGTCAAGAACACTCCCACTTCACCATTTCCCTGCTCGAGGCGAGAATGTTGTCGTGGATGGCACGAATGGTGAATGCCAAGAGAGGTACGAACCCACCGGCATCTGTTTATATCCTTCTTCTTCTTCTTCTTCTTGTTTGGTCCATCCTTTTACATCGAGTTACTCACTATAACTTTCCCCTCCAGTCCTTGAGATTGGCACATTTGTAGGTTTCTCCGTCGCCACTTGGGCCAACGCCGTTGGCAAGGACGGCAGCGTCACCGGCCTCGAGAAGTCCCCCGAGTTTGCACAGATGGCCCGAGACCAGCTCAGCAGGTTCGGCTGGAACAACGCCGAGGTCGTCACGGGCGATGCCTTGCACACGTAGGTCGGAAACCCGGTTTCTCGCGCCCGCCCCTCGTCGCCCGATGCGGGATTTCACTGACGCAGTATACCGGCAGTCTGGCCAGGCTTGAACCCCCAGAGCCCTATGATATCATCTTCATCGATGCGCAAAAGTCCGGCTACCCCGCGTATCTGAAGATCATCCTCGACCAATCCCAGCCCGGGCAGGCCAACAGGCTACTGCGCCCTGGTGGTTTGATCATTGGCGACAACGCCCTTCGTTGCGGCCTGGTTGCGGACGAGTCGGACGATAACCCGGCTACAAAGACGGTCCCTCGCCACACCATCAACTGGGACTGGAATAATATTGCCTTTTTGGACGAGTTCAACAAGATGATGCATGGTCACCCGCGTATTGAGGCCATGCTGCTGCCGGTTTTTGACGGGCTCGGTCTGGGCAGGTTGCTGGACTGAGCTCTCGTAGCGGTGTTGTGATGCTGGCCTGGACGGGGACACGAACAGATTGTCGACGTGTTTAGAAATGAGCTCTAGAATATTCCCTGGCTATAAACGCATTATTACCATTATTTTTACTGGCTTTGTTGCTGTGCGAGCGAAGGTGTGGTTGAAAAAGAGAGAGTTCAGCTCACCTTCGAGTCCAAAAGGCGCCCCACCAACTAACCTATACAAAATAACCTGGGTCATCTCATTCACCACCATACACGCCTGGAACAAGTTTCTGAGAATATAGAACCGGCCGCCTGATTCATTCCTTGATACTAGATTTATGCTTTATTCACGGCCATCGTCTGGCCCCTGCGACAATGAGCCACCCGACTCGTGTTGACGACCTGTATGATAAACAGGTTCCCCGTCCGGCTAAATCGCCAGCAAAGACGGCTCAGATCCAGGCGCAGAACCGACGGCGCGAGTATCTGAAGCGGCACCCAGGCTATTTCGACAGCCTGGACCACGAGCTCGCAGGCACGTAGCAGAGCCCTAGCCACCGCTATTCACGTCTAGGAAAAAAAACAGATCCATGGCTAATCCCCCCAACCCGTAGACCCGGTTCTGTACGAGCGCCTCATCAAGCGGCACCAGACCTTGTCGGAGCGCCAGCAAGAAGGTCAAGCCAAGGGCTACGGACGCGTGCTCGAAGCAGACCTTGCCCGCGGGGAGACTCGTCTCTCCGCGCTCGCCACCGAGGCCGCGGGCGAGCAGAGGGAGGATTTGTCGCCGGCCAGGCACAGGTGGCACGCTGCGTCGGATATAGACAACCCCTGGGACGGGGAGGCGAGCACCAAGGAGCAGGGTTCCGAGTTGTGGAGAGAGTTTCTACGGGAGCGGTTTATACGCGGCGGGGATGAGGATTTTGACTACGCCAAGGTAGATGGCAATGAGGAGCTTGATGTGGTGTTGCGGCGGGACGAGGAGGATCGGTGGTTTGATGACGAGGAGCCGAGCTGGGTTGGGGATAGGGGCGCGGCGGGCGAGACTGGGGTGCAGGATTTTTGAGACTCTACAAAATGAACGAGTAACAGTGATGATGACCTTCTCGAGTGGACTTGTTGATGAGGCTGAACAGATGGGAACGGAATCGAGTCCCCTGGTTCCAGAGGCAGTGCAGCCGTCCGGGTAAATGCAGCAGGTGAGTAGCGAGCCGCTTCGATTGACAAGGATAAAAAAAGAAAAGCGGCTGGCTGCTGCCCGTTGAAGGAAGGGGAACGAACAGGGGAATCGTAGAAAAAAAGAGATGAAAAAAAAAGAAATTCTCCGGTACTGGGAATCGAACCCAGGGCTGCTCGGTAACAAATACTTTATAATGATATATGAGAGCGAGCGATGTTAGCCACTACACCATACCGGATGGTTTTGTTTTGTTGGGAAATTTAGCGCTATTATTATACTTAAATCCTACCAGGACCTATGCGCTGCTTAACAGGGCTTAATTTCGCCACCGTCGACAACATGCACCGTCCATCACACACATCGACGCAGACTGGTAGAGGACGCCCTGAAACAAGCGCGAGCGGATCTCGCTTTTGAAAATGTCGTTTAGGCGAAGGCTGACCATAAGTGCCTCGTGGCTCATATCAATGGCGGGCGCGACGACGGCGCGGGAGTGCTCATTCATCTGGATGACCAAGACAAAATCGCTCTTGAAAAGAATGGGCTTTATTAGAGGTATTGACATCAATTCTCTTCTTGGAGACGTCGGTGGAAATTCCAAGTCCCCGCGAACTTAGTATTATTCGTCAACCCCCGACTTGCTAAGCTGATATGTGAGTCGTTAATGCAGCCATGAGATTTTCCAGTCCTTTTCTCGTCTCATGATCCCAGTGTAGCTTGGGAATATCCACAAGGGTCGTTTTATCCCCGATTTCGTCACCGTAGAGCTTTTTGAAGTGTTTATCGAAGTAGGGCCGTACGTGGGGAAACCGGCCCCATTGGGCGAGGACCTTGAAGACGTTGTCCATCTTCTCCTTGTTCACAATGACTTTCCACCCCAGCAACCGCTCGCAATGGAGCAACAAGCCGGCAAGCCCAGAGGCACAAGCGGCAGCCAGCGAGCTACCATTCGTATGAATGAGCTTTGCCGTCACCGTTTTTGATGGGGATCCGTTTACCCGGCAAGAGGAACTGGACAGGCTTCTCGTTCACCCGGGCAAGCTCATCTCCCGGTGAGAGGCGCCGCCAATCCGCGTGCACTCGTTTGACCATTGGCAAGGGAACGAGCGGTCGTACTGGCTGCCACCCGAGTCGCTCGTCGAGCAGAACATGGGAATATTTTGTTTGTGGGCTTTTTTTACGGCCTTGCGAAGCGCTTCGATGTCCTCGCTGTTTGTGGTCCCGTTTTCTATCGTCCACCTCATCGATATTATGTCCACCTTGCAATCAACCGCCCATATCACTGTCTGTCGGTTATTTAGCAAGGAGGCTCGGTAGGGAGTGACCTGACCTCACTTACCTTGGCGGCAGACTCTGCCGTGATACATCGCCCGCTGCCATCTGGAGCTAAACGCTCCTCCAGCCTGGTGATGAAGAGACGTGGATCGGGGCAGATTTGGGTTATCAGTTTGGCCATCTGAGTTCCGTACTTGCCCGGTGGAATGAAATAAGAATTCATGAACTCGGTCGAGTTGGGGTAGTGCGAGAAGCTCTTGCCCATTGCGATTGCCCCCTGGAGGGATGGGTCGCTCATGCCATCATCGATGATGGCGATCTTGACAGGCGTGACCTTTGCTTCCCGACAACCACAGAGAAACCTGCGGAAGTTATCCAGGCATCCAATCCAGGGATGCGATCTACATTGAGGTTAAGCTTGTCCCCTGATGGTAGAACAGCGAGCCACTCACTTCTTCCTCATTCCCGGGTATGCTTCGGAAGTCAGAAGCATAAGTGAAATCTTTTGTGTCCAGATATTTCTTTACCTTAATTTCACTCTATTCCTTTGTTGTGATACTTCTCTGGTATAGCCATGTCGTCTTTAGACGCTGAATCAATGACTGGCCTTCCGATGCCAGCTGCCCGGCATCCTCAGCTCGGAAGAATGTCTGGTGCTCTGACTGTAGTCCGTCGATAAACGTCAATACGTATTCCTCAAGGGCTTTTGGTCCCCTACGGATGATATTTAGTTGTATCTTGAAGTTATTGATCGAGGCCAATAGCCTTTCGCCCTCGAGCTCGGTGTCGTCCTCGCCCTTGATGGCTGGTAAGCATTCCATTGAATAGACCAACCCATCAAGGCGGCCCCGTTGCCAGAAGAATAGAGGCATATCTCTCTTACAGAGCTCGCGCAATTAAATGGTACACCGCTGCACAAATCTACCTTTCTCCAATCCCAGACCTGGACGTCGAAACCTCTAACGGCCTCTTCGATGGCGGGATCACTATGGCACTGTCCACCGTAATCCATGACGGTGACTTTGATGATCTTCTTTACCTGGCTCTGCGCAACCATGCAACGACGGCTCTCAAGTCAGTCATGCTCTTCACCTCTTCCTGAAAAAACTTCCTAGATCGAGGCGTGTGTTGGCAAGTCGGGGGCTACGCAGAGCTATCCTCGTGATCCTCGCTTAGACGAATTGCTGAGTCTTTGGTAGCTCAACAGATAACATCGGTAGAGCCATGCATTTTAACATACTCTCGAAGCGGATGCGTGTGCATAGCCTCCTGAGAAATGATCGCGATGTATAAGTCTTTGGAAGACCGGCTAGATCAAAATCTAGGTGACTTTCTCTGAGTCTAGTCAGTATAAAGCTAATCGATTTTTCAGGCAGAGATCTTTCTCTACATGCCGTCATACAATTGGTAAAGACAATGAACAATATCATCACAGTTATCAAACTCGTGAAGACAAAAGGCTAGGATGTGCCGTGCTACAGTGTCTGCGACCACTACTTTGCGCAAAGCTTCTTTCCACCTCTTCTGTGTCACCATTCTTGATAAGTGAAAGCAGTGTTTTAAAGGTTTGGAATTCCTTTAACCTCTCAATTCGCTCTTAATACGGCGTTCTCCCTGCCTTATTCGTAACTTTCAGGGCCATTTTCCAGGCTTTGCGCACATCTTCGATGATAAGCAGTCGACAATCAAGGGCCGGGATTGACTTGTTGAGATTCGTCAATGCAATGTCTTCGGAGGCCCAGCCGGAGTTTCCGTCACCATTTCGTCGTCCTCCGTGTTCGGCTCATCCTCTTCATGAAGCTCAATTTCCGACCCCTCCACTAGCAGTAATGACGCTTCGTCTTCGTCTTTCGGATCATCATCGTGTAGACTAGTTCCCCTCTCAGAAAGAATAGCGCTTAGTGCGCTTTGATCTTCGCCACTTGCTTCGCACTGCTCTCCGTTTGAGCTACCATCCGCCATTTGCTGTTGTGGAAGCATTTCTTTCAGAATATCCTTCAGTATGTCTTCCGTAGCCTCTTCTCTCATGAACTGCACGGCCTCGTGCACAGCAGTAGTGTCCTCGGAGGTCTGTTCGTAAAAGATTTCAGGGTAGCCCGCGCATCTCCGTGTTAAGATCGGCAGTGACGGAGACAAGTGCTCGAGGACAAGCAAGAGGCCGTTGAAGATCTTCCTCCCGGCCCCTTGATTTACAAAAACCTTGAAGGTCGTCCACCTAGAGCACGACGTCGACAAACTCGTGTTGCTTAAAGACAAGCGCATAAGCAAGCGGATCGTATTGTAAGTTTCAATGCTTGGCATCAAGGAGGTGATTATGCTTTTTAAAAAATGCATTGAGGAAATACTTGATGCCAACATGGTCGTTAGACCAGCTAGACCAGCTGTCGTACATGGACTTATTCTCCAGGAGCGCGAACAAGACGTGTTTGCCATGTTACTCAACTGGTTCAAGACTGGGTTCTTTTAAAAGATGTTTGTATTCCGCGAACAGCGCCTCGAACTTGCCCTCTACGCTGGCCGAAAAATCAGCGGAGCTCAGCTCCTGAGCGTTTTCTAGGAACCGTGTGATCTGCTCGGCTCTTGGTGAAGTAGGCGGCGGGCGGGCCTTGGAAGCATTCGAGGGAGGTGGTTTTGGTCCTCTTGAGACGTGGTCTCGGGTCCCTTTCTACGCCTTTCCGAGATTGCTACTCTTTTGCTCTCTTTGAAGTCCTGCGCTTCACACGTTGAGCTTCGTTGGAGTTGCGAGCCATGCTCCCGGACTTCCCAGCACTAGTACTGAAGTTACAGAAAATCCAGAACACGGTTTCTTGCCCGTAGAAAGTATTGAAAGCTGCTCGAATGCTTATAGAGTATCTTGAGATGTCCAAAGCGGAAAGACACTGGCGCCGTGTGCAAAATAGGTTGGGAAGGGGGGATATTACAGCTCATTTAACCAGTCTTGGCCCACGGATTCCAAACGGGGGAGAAATACGACACATTCCCGTATGCCTTACGTGTCCTCCCCTCCTGAACGTCCTTCACAAGGCTCTGTAAATCGCGAATCGAGTACTGTGAATAAATGCGCAGGAGATATGACATTGCAGGGGTAGCTGCAGCTTTTTGGGGGGCTCAATAGTGTGCTGCATGTGCTGGCAGTCACAGAGCCAGATAGTAATGCATAACAGCAGGCTACATACGAAGTATATAGCCTCTTTGCTTCAGGTCAAAAGTGTACATGTGAAGTTTTATCTGCAGCTTGAGGGTCAGCATGAGAGGAAGCTTCCAGGCCCATGGCCCATGAAAGGCGATCAGCTGGCCTCATACTTGGAACACCTTACCTGGAATACCAAAAACATCCACTTGAGATTATACCGACATCTTCTGCATCCCATCCACAATAATGGATATCGAGGTTGAGCTTCTCTCAGCAGGAACCCAAGGCTGGGCAAGAGCTTCTCGCTCGTAGCGGTGCAGACCAGCCGCAGCGATGCCCTACTCATGAAGGCCAGCATCGTCGGCATTACCCATGGCAAACTCGCTCCGGATGGTGAACTCGACTTCATGTCGGGTCTTGGGTCGCCCCGGCCTCTTTTCGGACGGCAGAAGGTGGACGCGGTGCGACTGATAGAGATCGACGCGGGGATTGACCCCAAGAAGATGGACTTGACCAACATGGGCAGGTTGGATCTAATAACCCACGCCAATGTCATTCTTGTCACCCCGATTGAGGCGTTGGGTGTCGGGCTGGGCGGTCAACTGCCGTACCCAGCTGTTGTTGGCGGAACAAGGACATGGAGACATGGGGATTTTTTTCGTTTCTATTTTGGGCGGTTGGGGTCCTCGCGGTGGGCTAAATGAGGCTCTTCTGTCATAATGCCTGAACTTGATAGGCTGTGCTCGAATAAAGGCCATTCAGTCGGCGCTTGAAACAACGGTCCCCTCCCGTGAGGGTGTCGTGGTCTGCATATTGGTCAAGAATCTCCCATGTTCACATGGGCAGGGGAGAAAGTGAGGCGTCAGAGATGACGGCGGCATGGCACGTCAAAAGAAGGGAGTCTGTGGTCACCCACCAGGCCCCTTCAAACTGTTCTAAATAGGCCCAGGCCTGGTTGATTGTTGTTTTTGCTGCGGCAGCGCGGCGTAAGCCGAGTTTGTGCTGAAGGTGGTTGAGGGAAAAATGCTTGTGGATAATCCAGTCTAGCAAGTTCCCTCCTCAATTACATAGTACGTAAAAAGTAATGACGTTATTATTATCAACTGAAGTTATCAATGTAGCACCAATTGCGTTGGTGTGTTTGGCGCGTCATGATGCGCATAAACGGTGTATTTTTTTTAGTCTCTTCCTATTTTTACATAATGTAGCCTGATATTATATCACTACATATTATGCTTATATAATACTTGCACTATGCTTATAGTACGATTATTTAACTTCAGAGGGTTATATAATCTGTTACCTACCTTGAATCTTTAATATATATGTTAATCAAGCAATAAAGCTACGCCTGTTTAGGCCAAGTGCACGGGAGACGCGGCTCGTGCCGTGGTGGATGCATTCATCCGCAGGCATCCTAACGCGCAACTCAACCGCGGGGCATAGGTACTTGAACGGAGTACGTTATGTATGGAGCCTACCAAACTCTACCACAAAGGGCGTCACTGTAAAAATTGAATGGGTGTGGTGTGTAGGCATTGGCACAGATTGTTGTACTGGTGTCGCGCAGTAGGGGATATTGTGTTTTGTCTATTTTCTTGTGTCCACCAGGCAAATCTAACAGGTTACTTCCGTCTTAACTGCCTAGTTTTATCCAACTAGCATATCGTTTTAAGCGTCACCATCTCTCCTTTTTATGCGGTTAAGCATGTCGCAGGCGACACAGCACTTGATGGCGTGAGTGGTTCGCTAGACTTACGATGCCTCACGTAGCTCACGACTCGAAATTGATGATCCTTTGCTTTCCTTTCTTCTTCCATTTCCCGTGAGCGGGGAAGTCCTTTGTCTAGATAGCCATGGCCACAGTATGAATTTGCGCCGATTTAGTTGCATATTCCCGCCAATCCCACAGGGTTATGCAAATCCATGTCGAGCATGGCACTCACGAATCGAATGCCTGGTGCTTGCTGCGGGCGATTCCTCACTCGGATACTGTGGCGTATGTTGGTGTGGCCCATCATCAACAATAGTATCTTTGGTTCAGCAGTGCGCGTGTCATCTTGGACCAGATGATCAACATTGGAAATGACTGCGATGTGAGGTTTTGTGGTCGAGATCGCCGGACCTCTCCAGTTTCGAGACCAGGAGCTTCCAAATCACCGAATAATCTCCTTGGTCGCTTGTGGGCGCAGGAGCTCGGTCGGCATGGATCCAGTTCCGGTGCGCCGCATCCTCAAATGCCGCAACATACGACTTGCGCTAACAGCACGTAGCCTTATTTTGATTCACGGGGTCGCGACGGCGAGAATCGAGGAATCGGCACCGAGCCGTGGATACAGCTTTTTGCGGGCTAGATTCCCGGACGCCATATTACACGAGTACCAGTTTCCATATTGGTCGCATGAGCAGGACTATGGGCCATCTGATTTCAGCCAACAAGCTCGCCGCATCTTGGACGAAGTCGCCGGTACCAGGAATAAAGAAGATGTGAGTCGAGACTTGATCCGGAAACGTTAATCTCACGGTGCAAAACTAACTATTACTGGAGGAATACAAACGAGGACTGCCGCTCTTCTTCATGGGGTATGATCTCGGAGGCTCCCTTGTTAAAGAAGTAAGATAAGCACTAGAACTTCAACTACTCGAGATATAACCTGGTGACAAGTCCAGGAGTAGATCGTTCGCCTTGCTACAGGAGAGCCAAAATACCACCCCATTATGATGGATATTAGGACGATTGTAAGCAATACAGCCCACAAGTTCACCTCTTAGGTCCTTGGGACTAACTGCGCATAGATGTTCTTTGGCACTCCGCACAAAGCCTTGGATGTGGTCCCTTGGGAGCAACACATAATTCGCCTATTGTCTATCACGGATGCTCTCTCAGAAAGCGCAGTGCAGCTATTGCAGCAGCTTCCCCAAGCACTCGAAGACATTAGCACAGATTTCTCTACTCTTTCTCATTACTTCCGGATCGTCAATTTTCTCCAGCGCAACGGTATCGGATCGACTAGACCAGTGCGTGTGAATAATTCTAGCCTTTTCTCTTAGCGCTACCTTTTCGGAACTGATTTTGTCGTGTTGTAGACAATAACCGCGGCTTGCGCGCGCCTGGATGTCGCCAAGGAGAATAACCTAGAGCTCGACTGTGATCACATCCAATTATGGGATTTTGAAGACCGCGACTCCACGACTGAACTCATCTGTGCTCATCTGGTGGATGTGACGGGCATAGGCTTCGACCGTAGGTTCAATGGGGCCTTTTACGTATAAGCGAAAGCTGACCCTCGTCGCCACGCAGCCGTGAGACTTCAGATTGACCACTTTATTTCAGCCTTGGTATCCATTGATCCTAATACACACCGGGTCAGGCCGATCAAGGCTCTCCCAAATTCGCTCGACTGGGTTGTCAAGCACAAATCATACATTGACTGGGTGGAAGACTCTAGAGCCAGCATCTTACATATCACAGGATCGTCTGGTTCTGGAACTACTGTCATTGCGTCTCACATACTACAAATGCTTCTCCAAAAGCCCGAGTCGGAAAGAGCGGTTGTGTTGAGCTTCTCATTTAACAAACAAGACATCCGAGCTCGGACCTTAGACAGCCTGCTGCTGTCACTGTGTCGGCAACTTCTGTTGGCGCGTCCCTCGTTGTTCCATCACGTCATGTGGACTTGCTCGTTCCTTATACTAGGAGGGCTCATCACAACTGAAACGCTATGGAGTGTCCTTCGCTCACTAGCAATGCATTTCTCCCTCTGCATGGTTGGCACACCTCTTGCTTGTGTTATTGATTCCTTACATGAATGCCATGTCTCGTTGAATTCCACCCTCAAGCAGCTGAGTGAGTTTATGTCCTTTACTCAAGGCCCAGTCAAGATGATCCTTACGAGTGATCTTTCCTTTACGCTCAAGTCCCCACCAAAATGCTCATACAGGATCAATTTAAACAATCAGCGTGATAATAAGTCAGCCGTGGAGAACTTCGTCCGGGCTAGCTTGTCGCAGCTCGCAGGAGAAAATCGACTATGGCGAGCAAAGAATCTTCAGGATCAAGTCATCAAAAAGCTCTGCGTCAGGAAACCAAATTGCCTGCTTGCAGTCAGGAGCATGGATCTGTTAAGAACCGCGGCGACGCAGTCAACTCTTTCATCCGTCCAGGCAGAGATCGAACGGGTGCCTCGCACCTTAAACGAGTCGTACAATCGCTCAATTGCAACAGCGTCGATGGACGACTGGGTGGGCTGCGCCTTGCGATGGATTGTGCATGCAGTATGGCCATTGTCGGAGCGAGAACTGGCCGTAGCCGTCGCACTGGATAGATCCAAGGACCAGCCTTTCGAACTCCTCAAGAGTCATATCTCAGTCAGCATCACGGCAGATCTTTTTCACACCATAGGGCCTCTGATAAGAGTCATTGATGGCCAAGTTCTGCCTTTCCATCGGAGCTTGAGAGATTATCTGTCTGAATTCTACACTCCGGTGGAGCTACAGGATCATGATAACAGAGCTAAAGATCCCCATCTCGAGATCCTGACAAGATGTATAGACTATATCGAGAGGTTGATACCACACAGAAGCATTGTTTTAGCCGACAACCAACCAACATTAGAGTTGGCAGACGCAAAACTGGCTCTCATCGACTATGCCTGCCTGTATTGGCCGGAGCATTACAAGCTTGTACAGCCAAAGTCGAAGATCCAAGCAACCCTCAAGGTTTCCCAATTTTTGATAGAGACAAGGCATGTGTCTTTCTGGAGTAGAGAATATCAGCAACGAGCCGGAACGTTGACTGCCAAGGGCCACACCCTTGATACCCGTCTCAAAGTGGTATGCTATTTTGGTTTGGATGATCTCCTTTGTGACTCTCTTGTCCACGCCAAATCCACCGCGGGAAATTCTAGAGAGCTTCAAGACGCTCTGAACCTAGCTGCGAGCCAAAGTCGCTCTACAATCGTCGACATTCTCGTCCGCGAAGGAATAACATCTATTGATGCGTTAGGCTTCGCATCAGCCAGTGGATTCGATAACGTGATGGGCCTGCTCTGAACAAGTATGTCAATTGATCAGATAGACTCGACTGGTTACCCCCCCCTGCATCAAGCGGCCTGTCGAGGACACAGAAAATCTGTTCAGTTCCTGATAAGAAAAGGAGCCGACTTGGAGAAGCCAACACGCCAAGGTTCTACTGCTCTTCATCTCGCGTGTCGAATCGGACAGATATCGATTGTACGAATGCTAATAAAGCAGCGGGTGAATCTTGCAGCAGAGGACTCGGATGGCTACGACGGCCTGAAGCTGGCAGCCCAGGCGGGCTACAGTGAAATCGTTCGTGAATTACTGGACAAAATGGTCGATCCACTGAAGCCATTGAGAAGTGGTGACACGGCTATCCATCTAGCCGCTGAATTCGGTCACCCGCTCACTGTTGGAATTCTTCTCAAGAAGTCGCCAAATGGTGTGTATTATATGAACAACAGGAAATACTCCCCTCTTCATCTCGCGGCAGCCAGGGGCTACGTGAATATTCTTCAGCAGTTGCTGCGAGTCAAAGAGCCTCACGACATTCCCGAAGGAGGCCATGCCACAGATGATGAGAATCACACCACCGAGGGTTCGTTTGCCATCACTGCCCACCATAACCGCACGCCCTTGCAACTGGCAGCCGAGAATGGTCATCTAGCCGCAGTCCAGGAGCTCCTGGAGCCAAAAATAGATGACAGCGTCCGCAATTGCAGCATCGCGTTTTTCTTGGCCGCCGCCAATGGCCATGCCTCTATTGTGGAGCGACTTTTAAAGCACGGCATCAGGAACACCGTTGTTGACGAGGAAGGAAACACACCGCTTCATGTTGCTGCTCGAGAAGGGCACGTCGGTGTGATTTTGATGCTCCCAGACACGCCCCAATTTGCCGTCAACCCAAAGAACGCCAAAGGATGGACACCGCTTCATTTGGCAGCAAATTTTGGAAACTTAAGGACCGTCAAGGAGCTCCTGAAACTCGGCGCTGGCATTAAATTGGTTACCGACAACAATGACACACCCCTCCTACTAGCCGCGACTGGCGGCCACCGCTTGACAGCTCGAGAGCTCATTGAAAAGGCGCCGGACGCTAAATCTAGGAATAGAGAAGGCCGGGAAGCCATTGATGTGGCAGCCAAGAGGGGCCATGTGGCGATTGTGCAAGAACTACTCTTGGCCGGCGTTCAGCTGTAGTCTCCTTTCCATGACGAGACACTGGTAGCCGACGCTGAGATTTTACAGCTTTTGCTCGACAGAAACCAGTGGACTTGTATGGAACTCGACAACCGCGGTAGTATGTACACGCCGTTACACGTTGCGGTATTGGGAAACTCCCTAGCCTCTGTCAAAATTCTACTAGGTGCTTCAGTAGACGTTAATGCCAAAGACTCGTTGAAGAGGACACCACTACACTTGGCGGCAGAGAACGGCTATGGCGATATCGCCGAAGCCCTGATACTTGCGGGTACAGATCTGGATGCAGAGGACCACGAGGGGTGCACCGCGCTATACACAGTCTGCTACTTCGGAAAGCTGGATGTTGTCCAGGCCCTGCTGAAGTCTGAGGACGCCAAGTATCGAGCAGACGTGAGGAAGCGAGCCGCGTTACGTGGCTGGGCGCCTCTGCACGCGGCACATGACAACGCAGATATAACCAATCTTCTCCTCGAGGCGAATGCTGAGGTGGATTGCCAAGCTCGCAACGATGGTTTGACGGCACTCGCAATGGCGGTTTTTGAAGACTATGATGTAGCCAAGATGATTCTGCAGCACAAGGCGAACCCTAACGTGGCCGACGTGGATGGTGAGACGAGCGTACACTGCGCGGCCAACGGCTACGGAGGGCCTGAAATGCTCGAGCTCCTCGCAACGTACGAGGCTGATCTGGACGCCCAAAGTCTCGATAAAACTACTCCTCTTCACCTTGCCGCCAAGGAGCAGGAAGAAGGGGTAGTGAGATTCCTCTTGGAGAAAGGAGCCAAGGTGGACAATGTTAGCGACAGATACGGCACGGCTCTGAGAGCTGCCGCCGAGGGAGGGGATGTGTCGATAGCCAAGCTTATCCTGGCAAAATGCGCCGACGTAAATGCCACGGGCGGGAGATTCCACACGGCTCTGCAGGCGGCAGTGTCCGAAGGCAATAGTGAGATGGTGGATCTGCTCCTGAAGGAGGGAGCGGCCGTGAACATGCGTCACGAATCCGTTGGCACCGCCCTGGAGAGCGCCATCAAACAAGGTCACGTCGGCATAGCCTTCAGGCTGCTCGATGCAAATGCTGAAGTCAATGCAGCAGACAAGAAGAAGGAGTCGCCTTTGCAGATGGCTGTCCGGCGCAGCCTAGGTTCCCTGATTCAACGACTCATCCAGGAAGGGGCCGACCTCGACTGCCAGGAGAGTGAAGTAGATTCGCCTCTGTGCCTCGCTGTGATGGAAGGAGACGGTGATATATTGGAGGCGATGCTCAAACCCGGAGCCAATATACCCATAAGGTTCAAAAAACGGACATTCACTCCTTTCGTATGCTATCTGGTATAAGCTGCATTCTCGATTCCCGGTGCTTCTGGATGCCGGAGCACGGGATGAGCTGGCCCTCGAGGACGCGGTCCGCGCCAGCGACGCGACTATGGTAGATGCGCTCTTGGGCCTCCTCGAAGGGCCCGTAGCAGATGTATCCGGCAGAGAAAGCTTGGTGCATCTAGCCATTGAGAGAGCCCCCGTGGATATCCTCAGAGCCCTTGACAAGCTCAGAGCGGATTTCCACGTGAACGACAGGTATGGCCGTGGAGTCTTGAGCCACGCCATAGACTTGCACAGAAACAGTATCGTCGACTACCTTATCCAACGTCGTGATTCTTATTATTTCGAACAAGCTGATAACCACGGTCGGACACCTCTCACATGGGCGGTGATCAGACATAGCGATTGCCTCCAAGACTTGATCAGTATGACAAGTACTCTTGACGTCACTGACAACGAGGGCAAAACACCGTTGATATACGCTTGTATGCATGATTATGGTGAAGCCGTGCGCGTTTTGCTTGAACGAGGAGCAGATCCGAGCATAGTTGACTGTCGCGGCCGCGGAGCACTTTACTGGGCTGCTCGTCGAGCTCGCCTCGGACTATTTGAAACGATATGCGATAGTCTATTCCCATTGCAATGCCGCTCCAGTCACTTCGCAGGTGCCTTGAGCGCCGCCGTTGCATCACGCAGGAGCAGTTTCATCGACAGGCTTCCCTACAAGTATCCCGGAATTTGGGACCTGCCAGACGCGGAGGGCTGGTCGCCGAGATACACCGCAAAGCAGTATGGTACTGATATTGCGCACTTGCACACCGACGTGGAATTTGAAGAGAAAGGTTTCAGCTACTTGCCGAAGCGCCCGGCGAGGTGGTCAGATACCGATCGGTCGCCGAATCTTAGTGTCAGCAGCGACGGGAAAGTGATTACCGTTTCTGGTCAGTGGCATCTCCAGGAGCAGGCAAGCGTACACAATTCCCGTTGCCTGCATCTCTCTGTTTTGCATAATGAAGTAGCTAATTTCGTCTTGCAGGGCAGCCAGGCGGCGCCGGGTCGGCCTATGCAGCGATTCGTGCCGACTTTCCGATGGTGCCTATCCCAGAGCTTAATAACGTCTATTATTTCGAAGTAAAAATCGACAAGAGTCAAGACCCTAGGTATATATATTGTCTACCCATACGCCATTCCCGGCACCAGAGCTTAACCGAAGTGCCTGTCTAGGAGTTGGGGGATAGGCTTCTGCGAGGAGCATGTCGAGCTTGATGCCACTGTTGGCTGGTACAATGGCTCATGGGGTTACCGAGGACGTGACGGCGAGGCATACGGTGAAGGGTCCAAAGGGTCCAACAGCAATTACGACGCCAAGTACGACCAAGATGCCGTCATAGGGTGTGGCATCAATTTCGACCAACACGTTGCTTTCTACACCAAGGAGGGAGTAGTCCTAGGTAGGTTCTCACCTCGAACAGCAAATTCTTGGGCCAAAGAGAAACTAATGCAGAGCCCTTGTAGGTAAAGCGTTCACTGATGTCAAGGGAAAACTGTACCTTGCTGTTAGCGTCGATGAGTGCATGGTGGGCTCGCAGGTGTCGACCAAATTTTGGGACGGCGAAACGACAAATTTCATGTACAGGGGCAGCTTTACGGCTCCGGAGACGCTGGCCTGGCCAGAAGCAGCACTTGATCTGATAGCGGACGGCTTGGAGTTGGGGAAGGAGGTGACGGAAGCTCCAGACGGCGGCGTCGTGATGTAGATACCATGATCTTGTGGAATTAACGAGGACTTAAAACGTGGTGTTTTGGTGTGCCCACACCCAACCACCCATATCAATGCCTTTTGGTTATTTAGCAAGGAAGCTTGGTAGTGAATGGCCTCACTTCACTTACCTTGCGGCAGACTCTGCCGTGATACGTCGCCTAGCAGCAGCGATGTCATGACATCTAGCGCATATGACAACCTAGATTCGCCGCCGTATTTTGCCTTGGAACGGGGATGCCGGGAAAGTACGAGAAATTTCATGAGGATACGCTGAGGGAGTTTAAGCGGAGAGAGGGGTATCTGAAGGGTTGACCAGATAAGGAACCAATTTTGGGGGGGCAGAGGCTAAGAAATTAATATGTCAATATTGTCGACATGTAATAAGTTGCCAGCTGGAGGCAGCTGGAAAGTAAGGGGCACGGGAGAGTGAATCATCGGTTACATATATCGTTGCCAGCTGGCAGCACGGTGTAATTTTAGGCACTCTAGCCACCTTATTTCCTTTGCCTTTCTTCTGTTATTCTCTCTACCTTCACAACCCAATTACCACCTAAGCTCGTGGTATTCTTTCATCGTGCCTGCATCTAATTTGGCTCCTGGCCTGACGATTCCTCCATTTCTCGAAACTGCAACCACTGCCGAACAGAGAACCTTGCTTTCCTACCCCCCTCGTTTACCAAGGCCTTAGAGACATGGAGCCAGCTCAAGGGAAACGGCGAAAGATTAGCCCCCGTTTTGGCTTCCCAAAATTCAACACACCCTGTTCTCAAAGCTCCAGGCCAGGTCCTCCAGAGCAACCCATGCGTACCGATCATCTTGAGACCAGGCGAGCCCTCGCTGTTGGTAACCTGTTGAATGAAAATCCTGGGGGGGGCCAGATTCATGAGAGTGATGGGCCGGATCGGGGAAATCCTTCGCGTGATGAGACCACCGGCTTTAGCCCGACAAGACTGACCAACTCGGGCCCTTCTTCTGCTGAGAAGAGCGACGGACCGGCTAATGCTGGGAATGGGAGGCCTGGTTCACCTCAAGGGACTGCCGGTGACGCGACTAAATCTAGTTATAAGAGACCCCATGTTGAGGCAGAGAGTGGAACAGGCAGCAACTGTCAAGATGAGTACCGATCGACAGGCTTACTCTCGGAGGGACCCAAAATTGCCGGGAGCGACCTGGCACGACTAAAGGAATCAGAAGCAGCAGAGAAAGATGGTGTGTCAGGACAGGACAAGGTCACAGAACCTCCAGTTGATCAAGAGGCGAATTCCGCAGGGACAGGACGAACCGCCTAACGCCAAAAGGGTACATTAACCTAAGGGGGAGAGAGCGGACTCATCACAATGATGTGGGCAGTTCTTTACCCAGAGCCCTGTCGTTAGCAATCATGACGGTGGTAGTGAACCGCCTTAATGCTATGATGGTTCAGTATAAAGCTGTGGGAATCGTTCCTAAACACCTTCCGCTGTTCCGTTTCGACCAAGTAGGGGGTATTGGGCTGGAAGGGCATCCCACAGATGCTGAGATCGCAGCGGCTTCGGATGAGGAGAGGCGTCGTTATAAAGAGGCAATGAAGGGGTACTATTTTACTGAGCCGGAAGCTAAGAAGTAGGGACGGGTGGCGTCGCGTCTTTATGTTGTTTGTTGGTGCGCTGGTCTTTGATGGGGAGTGCGGGATAATTCACATTGCTAGTCCTAACAAGTCTGGTGCTTTAGAAACATTGTCCCAACTGCGCTCCGTGTAGCCTCGATGGCGGAAATGGCAACAGCCGCCAGCTTGTCAAATGTCCCAGATCCTCTTCATCTTGGGGTTATACTCATCCCAATTTCGCCCAAGGAGCCCGTGTAGCTCTCCTATAGATGTCCTGTCTAGACCGGACTACATGGCCCATACTCGCGTTTTACATGTCTCCTGATGACCTCCATGGTGGTGCCGTAAAAGGGATTTAGCGCTAACCTGCTATAATACGCCCAATACTATTGATACATGACGTCCGGTTAACCTAAGCCAGCATCTGCCCTATAATTAACAAATAGGCTAGAATGGGGAAAAAGTATGGATCCGTCGGCACACGTATTCCAAGTGTCAATACATATTCTTCTCACTATCACAAGACGGACGTTCGAGTAAAAGACAATGGGGACCGGTACAACATGGTCGATTACCATGTCGTCTCATTACTTACACCACACCCTTGCTGGCAGGGTAATTGACGCCGACTCAGAAGTTCCATGGGCGGCACGGCCTCTCTTACTATGCCACTAGTGATTCCCCCTCCGGAATCGTTTATATACGGCGGGAAGATATTGGAGCCTGTGCTGGGATCGACAACGCCCCATTCCATTGTCGAGTGCGAACGGAGGACATATTTGTTCTACCGTGACTGTGAGCTGAGCAAGGGCGTCGGCCACCTGCCGTCGGTAAAGGCCAAGGAGATATTTTATGCCAATGCCGGCAAGACACTAACCACGGCCGGTTTCTTCACGTCACCGCCAGGTCAAAAAATACACTCAGGTCTTCCAGATGGTGCAAGAGACCGAATTCTCCAAAGAGCGCGAGCCCCTGATCGTCAGATTGCACGCCTGGCGTCTGGTCCAACGCCCTCGTCTTGCAAAGCCCCTGAATATCCGCGTCTTGCAGCTTCCGAAACAACACAGAGAGCAAGTTGGCTACCCGCTGTGCCTCTCTGGACCGCGCGCTATGGCGAATCCATATCTCGTGCGACTTCCTCAGCGCCACTTCCACTTGCTGCGAGAGCATCCTCTCCCTGGAGTCTTGCTGGATGTCCGGCCGGCCCACCGCCGCGCGGTACATGTGCGTGATGAGAACGGTAGTCGCCATGAGGAACTCGTGCTTGACGACCGAGTACAGCAGCAGGGTGAGCGGGAAGAGAAGACCGCCCGGCCGGGTCTCGCGGTCAATAGTCTCTTGCACAGTGAGGATCTCCAGCGCGGCCTGTATGCAAATCTGATACCCCTCGGTGTCGCCCTTGAGCCGCCCGCCGCTCCTTCCGACAGGATCATCTGGACTCATGACAGATCCGGTCGGCATGACATGGCGCCAGTTGAGAACAATGAGCCCCTTCTGCAACAACATCGTGATGCTGAGCCGGTTCAACATGTCGCTAGGTCTACTGGACAAGATGGTACAAACGGCGTCGAATTTCGCATTCACCGGAACGGAGTCGTACGCCTCTCTCAGCCGGGCAATCATTCTCCTCTCAGTCTCTAGGGCGGACGCGTCGCACCGGTCCGCCGCCACGCTCATGCTCGTATCGGCAATGGCCCCAAGCACCACCAGCATCCTGTGCTTCGCGAGCAGGTGCAAGACGGGCGTGGCCTCAGACTCCGGCCGCGACGGCGGAAGACGGGCAGCACCCTCGTCGAGTTCCGAGTCGTGCACGTTTCTCGGCGGCATCGTGTCCCACTGGCCGTCTTTGATGACGCGCGGCAGCCCCAGCAGCAGCGAGGTCATGACGTCGAGCGCGTGCATGACGACCCAGATGCGCCGCCGCATCTCGCCCTGGAACGGCGTGATGCCGGGGAAGTGCGACGGGTCGCGGTGGTAGCCCATGCGGAGGCCGAGGCGGACGATGACGCCCGTCAGCAGCCAGGTGCCGACGTCGGCGTCCGGGTACCTCGTCTGCTCGACGATGGTGTAGTGCAGGAGGGCCTCGAGGGCAAAGGGCCCGCCGTTGCTGTAGTTTCCTGCTATGAGGCTCTGTTCCACCTGGTCGAGGTACTGGGGCCGCGAGGGGGGCATGCTCGGGACGGGCGTTTGCGGCGTGAGGCTGCTTTCGAGGACCAGGCTTTGAAAGGTTTCGGCCTGCGTGGCGAGACACATGATGCCGTAGAGGAGGGCTATCCACGTCAGGGGCGTGTTGAACGGATCGGCCCAGAATCTCTCGTACTACAGCCGGATTTGTTAGTGAGGACGGCAGGGATGCAGGTTGCCGGGGACCGGATGTTGCATACTTGTCGGGAGAAGCTGCCTGGGTGCAAAAGGACTGTCTCGATGTCAGTATAGCCATTCTGTCTGCGTGGAAAATACGGTGCGTTACCAACCGTGCGGTATGGGCGGGTTGCTGAAATAGCTGGATACGAGCCGGTCCACGACACTCTTCTCCGGCATGGCTGCCAAAATATCGGCCACGGAAGCTGGTTTGTGCCATCCGTATAAAAGCCTGGGACGTTCCCTTGTGGTTCCAGGGATGAGAATGCTATCCTCTAGCCCGTACTCTGTCTGTTGCTCCGGAGAAGGCCTGTCGCTGTCATCTGGTTCTTCCTCGCTGAGCGTCTTCAACTCGGAGATGCTCTCCAGCACGGCTTTCCAGTGTGAACCGCCGACATACGCTGTTTTTGAATCATCCACGTGCAGTTTTCCGGCTGTTGCATGGTCTGGTGCCATGGGCGGCGTTGCAGTGTCGCTTGTCGTTGGCAGTGTATCAGAGCATTTCGCACAGAGGCGCGGCTCGGCTGCTGACTTGTTCATCAATTGAACCACCAACCCTTCTAGATGATTGAGTCTTCCCTGGAACGTGGATGGAGCCTTTGGGTCTTTTGAGGATGCGCGAACAGTGGTATTGGGGTACTGGCATGAAGCGGACAGACCGCGAGATGCACACGCATCGCACGGTTGTTGCCGGTCGCATCGTTGCCTGTCAGTCAGTACGGTGCATTGAAGATCGGATTCGCGGTGAATCTTCTTACTTTCTACTTCTGCATAGATTGCAGGATAGCTGTGGCTTATCCCGTCGTCTACTTGCGAGCGGCGGGTGTGATGCGACCATGTCGCTGAGCTTTCCGGCTTCAGCCCGAGATGATGAAATATATTCTCTTGTGTTTATTTTGGGGCCTTGCGCGATATAATTCGAGTGAATTAGACGTATGGTTGATGGAGTTGTAGCTTTCCTGAGATGTGGTTGATGAGTGATGACATGTCTGACGATCGGAATCGGTGGCGGAGCATCGGAGCATCGGGCCACGGAGACTTCAGCAGCCCCGACGCCGATACGACTCGGTTCAACTAGAATCTCAACTTTGAAATGATTATCTCTTTGTAGCATAAGTCGCAATAGGTCCAAGGAATTTGCGATTTTTTTTTTATCAAGTGGACTGTGATTCTATTTGTACATTTGGCTTCAGCCAGTGCTTTTGCGGTTCGCCTCACTGCTCACCGATGACTGGGAGCCAAGGGTGGCATCTCGTACGTCTCGCGCCAATATGGATGTGCTTGTGACAACGTAATCGCCTATCAATTAAAGCATACTGGGACTATTACGTCAAGCTGACAATGGTTCAAAAACAGCAACGAGCAACATGCACATTGAACACCGAGTTGGTACTTAATGGACTCGCTTCTTGCATCTTGGGCACGCCTCCGTCGTTACAATACTGACAAGTTACCATGGGGAAACAAAGCCAATGACTATACGTGTCTGTATTTCTGTATTTGAACGAGACAAAAACGTTGTTAAAGAGAGAAAAGAAACCAGCTAGGGTTAGGGTTTTGCCGGCTGATGTAAGTGGCAAGGAGAGAACAACTGGCCATTGCTTCCCAATCAGGCTAAATACAAGCCGCCTCTCATTATCGTACCAGAATTGACGTGATTCGGCAAACGATAGAGCTTGCGGTGAGAGCCTTGCGCATGAACTTCAAGGCACGTGCTGCAAGTACTACAGGAACTAAGCCTCCCCACTCACGGCGTTCTACACTCCTGCACAGTAATGCATCGGTCCCAGAGAGGCGACAAATCTAGTGGAGCATAACTACAAGCGGTTGTGGACACTGGATATGCAGGAAGCTGCTTCGTCTGAAATGGGCTGGGCCGAACGCCGCCGGATGAGCGGGTGGCTACGCTGACATGCAGCCGGATTCTTTGGGCAGACGTTGCCGCCGTCACTTACAAGGCGGCGGCGGGCAACTCGACAGTTTCACGGTTCACAAGGGACCGGCAGGGTCCGTCAATTGCAGAGAAGGAAAAAAAGGCTACACGGTAAGGACTGTTTCAAATTCGCTATCTAGACATATGCGCATTGGCCAAAGACTCATGTCGGAACCGGTTCAAAGTGTCTGGTACTTTTCGCTAAGCTACAGTGCATGCTGAGGGGGATGTGTATTTCCGCACCCCCGAGATGATTTGAGCGGGAATCCTGTCTCGCAAGAGAGCAGAGACTCTCTAAGAGGAAAAGAAGGCAATAGCGTCGGCAAAGTCGGCGTCAATCTTTTTCTGGATGGCCTTCGCCTGCTCCTGTAAACCAGCAGGAGTTCCGGCTATAAGAGCGGCGCCGAGCTTGTCAGTGTCGGTCTTGAGGTCCGTTAGGCTGCTCTTGACAATGGGAGTCAGGCCATCGGCGTCGAAATTGGCCTTCTTAGCCTTCAAGGCGGCGAGGGAAGCCGCGATATTAGGCTGAAGCGTGCCGGTGATGTAGTTGATGATATCATTGGCGTCGGCGTCGTTGACAACGCCGGTGTTCTTGGCAGTCTCGGTGGTCTCCTTGACGTCCTTTGAGAGCTGCTGCTGGGCAGTCACGATGGGCACCGCGTTGGTAAAACCACCACCGTTGTAGTTATTGACGGCGGCGGTGACGGCACTAGTGTCAGAGTTGATGGTCTGGAGACCCTGCTTGACCTCAGCGGCGTCACGCTTGATGACGGAGCCGGTGGCGGCGACAGCAAGGAAGAGGAGGTTCTTGATGGAAAGCATTTTTTCGGGTCTGGGGTCTTGAACAAGGTTGTTTGTTGGGGGTAGACGGAAAGAAGCCGTGATTTGCAGTGTATTGGAAAATGAGAGGGAGATGATGGATGGGCTCAAGTCTAGAAACGGCGGGCCGTTGGCCCTGTTTTATACTTTTCCAAGCCGGCGCCGCGCCCTGATGCAACAGCAGCACATCACAGGCGGCATCGAGCACCGCTCTCACGCCATCAGTATAGTTTCCTTGTGAAGCCTCGGCGAGGAACGTGAACATCGTCGCAGCCTCAAGGAGCTTCTCAGTGCGAGAGCAAGGGACGCGCCAGGCCCGCCCAGAGTGTGGTTACACCACATATAGCACCCCATAGTTCCATATACGCCCTCCATCTTGGCAACTTCCTTTCGCGGCATGGCCATGGTCGTCCTGGCCACGCGCGGACATGTGTGGCCGAGCCAAAAAGCGCACCAGGAACCTTACCCTGAGGGCCTGGCCATATACTGCGCATCCTATTATGGCCTACATGTAGTATTGGTGCGATGGGCGAGGCCCCACGTCCGGTAGTATAGTAGGACGTGCTATGCCTCGACGGGCCAACGAGAATCCTGCCAAAGGAAAGCAGACCGTTGACCAGACATGCCAGGAACCCGTGACAGATTCCGGGGGAGGGGCAGCACTGGCCACGGCGAGCCGAGATTCCAGCCGGCAGTCTGGCAACCGAGCAGCGTGGGCTGGAAACCTGGGATACTATTCCGGAGGACCAGAATCTGCGTGTACAATACGCGGCGGCAGTTGTCGAGCCGGGGCGACGAGGCCGTGATCGAATCACGGTGCGCAGACACAAAGACGCACAACATGGCCGTCGAACCAGGTGATTGTGTTGGAGGAAGAGGCCCTTGGCGTTCCACACAGGGGCCCTTCCCCATCTACCCCGCTGTTTATGCGTGAATGCGAAGATTGAAGATTGATGAGCAAATTGCCTCTTGGCTCGCGCCAGTCCGACACCGGGCCTGAGCTCCGGACGATGTAACCGCTCGGCCGAGGGCTCTTCCCCAAAATCTGGGGGAGCCAGGCCCCGTCAGTCACGGGTGGAGAGAAGCCGCACGCCACGTCAAGCCCCCTTTTCATTGCCAGACTTTTCAGCTCCTCACGGCTCTGTGTAGTCAACATTGAAGTCAATAGCACATGGGTCCTACGGCCGGTGGCGCCTTTGGCGGGAGGACGAGCGTCGAGGCCGGAACGCCTGGCGCACACTGGGCCCAATGGACGTGAAGCGTCCCAACAGGAGGGGGTTCTGGATGAACAAAAGAAGCCATGGCGTGATCTGCCCGCGCATGTGTCACTGCACATGTAGCAGAGTGGTCCATCAGACTCGACATGTCAAAGGTGGCATGATGGCCTGGGCACAAAAGCCGTGTGAATCAGCTACAAGCGCCATTTACCCATGACGCGGCACTGCGAGGGGACACATTGGGAAAAAAGAAGAAAATTCAATCTGCAATTCATGGAAAGGGCGCAAAGTGGCCAGATACACATGTCTAGCAGAAGAGTCGAGACCACAGGGGCCGTTTTTTTGCAAACCACGACAACGGGTCAAATTAGTCATTTTCCTCCACATGGCAGTCCAAATAAATCAATCGCTTAGAGAGCAGCACCCACTGCACCCACAATGGCAGCCATGGCTACATGAACGGCGAGGGGGATTTCACCCCGGGGAGCGCCGGCGACTATGACAGGAGAGCTGGGGGACGGGTGAGCGCCGCTTCCACCGCTGCCTCCGCTTCCTCCATTTCCTCCGCTGCCTCCATGGCCGCCTTCGCCACCTGATGGGATAGGGACAAGGGTACCGGTGGGATTGGGGCCAGATCCGGATCCGGGGCTGGTTTGTCCAGGAGCACAGCCTGGGCAACCGGAGCCGCCAGTGGGTTGGGGGCCAGAACCACCGGTAGGTTGGGAGCCGGAACCACTGGAGGGCTGAGATCCAGGACCACCAGTTGGGTGAGAACCGGAACCCCCAGTGGTGGTGCAAGGGACAGTCTCCGTCACAGGTACTTGCACAGTGGTAGTCTCACCGCAAGACTCGGAGGCGGTAGCCGTAGCGGTACCGGAACCAGTGCGAGTCTTGGGGCCCGTCTCGGTGGTACCTGTCGCGGTGCCAGGCGTCTTGGTGCCGGTAGCAGACCCGGGCTCGGTGGCGGTTCCGGAAGCGCTACCAGTCTGCGCGCCAGACGTGGAAGCCGGAGACGAAACGGACGTGCCGCCGCCAGTCGTGGTGACAGAGCCGGCAGAAGACACGGTTGAAGAGACGGAAATAGTAGAAGACTGCGTGGCGCCGGTCGAGGTGGCAGCACACTCGACGTCCTTGAACGCCGCGGCACCATCAGCCAGGCTCTTCAAGATGGGAGCAGAGATTTGGCCGGCAATGCCCTTTAACGCCTCAGGAACCTTGTTAACGAGGGCGTCAGAAAAGGCCTGGGAGTCGATCTTCTGCTCCACGAGCTGCGGGTAGACCTCGCAGCCGCGGCCAGAGTCAGCAAAGACGTGCTTCTTGGTGACCAAATCACCGACGGTCTTGTTGACAACGCCAATCAGGTTTTGCAGCGGCGGGACGAGACTAAACGCCTCGTCCTGGCTCAACGACGGAGAGGCACGGGCATCCGCAGTACCCTTCTTGATGGCCGCGACCACGCCCTTGGAGGCGGCGATCAAGGCGTCCGCCTGGGCCGCGCCCTGGAACTCGTTGACCCGTGCCTGGAGAGCCGTGACGCTCGTGACAATGGCGGCAACGTCGGCCGAGAGGACGTCGCCCTGGCGCCGGATGAGGGCCAAGGCCGTCGAGGCGAAGAGGAGGAACTTCATGGGTGGAGAGGGCCTGGGGCAAGAACAAGATCAAACGAATGGCGTTTCTGAACGAGAGTGGTTTTTCCGCTAGCCGACTGTTAGCAAAACTCAAATCGCCGCGGTGGGCAGAGGCGTCTTTCTTGCGGGAATGCGACCATGGTCGTGTATATACATACTTTGGCCAAGCCCTCGTGCTGCCCCTACGGGACGACATGGACACAAGTTCACAACCCGTTCCCATCACAAGCCATTTGCCGCTGGCGTGGACGGGCCCGAGGTTGTCATCCCATCATAACCTGGGGTAGCGGCGCTATCGACTGCAAGAACAAGGGGCCCAGGCATCCTGATGGTGTCCCGCGAGCTGTCAAGGAGCGGTTAGGCGAGGCCAGTGCCCGACCTCGACATGGTCGCAAGACCTGATTGGATCGTTGGTCGTGCTCTGCCGTGGTTTGGCTCCCCCGCGCTGCGAGTCTGCGGGTGGAGCTAACCCGATGAAGGACCTGTCCGTGTTTCTGCCATACACTCACTTCCAAGTTGTCTCGCTAGCTGGCCAACCCGGATCGTCTTTTCCTTAAGAGACAGGAAATGCGACTGGACGGCTGTACACTGGCCTGTCGTATTGGAGCCCAGTTGTGTGACGGGCCGAGATTGTTGTAGTTGTTGTCGAGTTCTAGGCCTTGTGTGGTCATGTACGTCTGACTTGTCTCTCGTGATGGGGAGAACTGGTTGCTATTTCCGCTAACCCACCAAGAGAGGGCCAACAAGAGCATTGGTTGATCCTTTTAAGAAAGCCGGCCCTTTTATACCATGGCCGGGTGGCTTGACTGCTGCGTCTTGACTTTGCCACTCCTGGCCGATTCGGCCGAAGCGCCTTGCGGTAATGTCCCAGTGCCTGTTTAGAGCCGAAATGGCACCGCGCTCTTCTTCTCAAGTGGAACCACGCCGACGTGTAGCAAGTTCCAATATCCTTTGCCGATGCTGCATAGAGTCAGAGCGCCGGGGAGAACCAAGCATCAAAAGCAGCCTCCGCCATGCGACAGAGTCGCCCTCATGTAACCTCGACGACTTCAGACCGAGATCCCTGCCTCTATATAAGAAAGCATTCAATGTTAGCAAAGAGTAAAGCTGCGCTCAGACGTTGCCTCCAACGCCTCGCCATGCATCATGCCGTCACAATACGCTTCCCCAACGTACTGCCACAACTCGCCATTCCCTGATTCTGGACGTGCCACCCTCCTCAGCAGATGAGGCGTGGTGCCGCCGTGAAACACCGTCACTGCGTCTCCTGCCCTCATCTCCGGCGGCCCTATGCCCACGTACCCTGTCGCCGTGCGATACAGCCTGCGCCCGACATTCTTGAGAATATTGTCCGAAAAGGCAGCCATGTCTTCTCTCGTGCCCTTGTCAGCGTCGAAGCCATGCTGCCTCATAGCCTCATCGCCAACATGTAATGTGACCTTGGCGTACCGTCGACGAAGTCGAAGATAGTAGGGTACCACGGATATGCGAGCCGACGCGACGCACATTCCGACCATGTCCTCGACAAAGTCGCCCACAGCACTGCACAACACTCTGCACGCCAATGACGGATCTCGCGCGCACATGCGCAGTGTGTCCATCTCCGGCGGCGGGATAAAGTACCACGGCGTGATGCCAACGGTTCGATAGATGCGCGAGATGTGGTAGCTCGCGACGGTCTCATCTGACTCGAGCAGACGCCGCCCTATTTTGTAGTAATAGCCGTGGACGACACCAAGCCTCCTGAGGCCGTCGTCCACGCCCAGCCGATGCCCAAATTGCTCATGACTCAAGCCCGAGTCGCAAACTCGCCGGGACCGCAGGGCCAGCGAGGCCTCGTCGTCGTCGCGCATCGCGCCCGCGTCCCGTGTAAATTGCGCAGCCTCGTCAAAGAACTTCTTTGCCCAGCGGTAGTCGACGTCTCTCTGCATCATGCCATCCACCCGGTCGCGATACGTACGCTCCCCAACAGCCACCACCTCGCCCACCATGCATCCCCGGATCGTCAGCCGCCCAGCCTCGAGGTCGACGCAGAATCGCCCCTGGTCCTCGGGTCCTCCAGCACAGAACAGGGCCTCTTTCAACGACGCATAGCCCACCGGCAGTCTGAGCTCCATCGTCCAGTCCGGAACCCACGACGGCAGCCCCCCCGTCTTCCTGCCCGCCTGGACGTACAGCAGCGCATCCACGCTGTGCCCCAGCAAGAGGGCCGCCACCTCCGTGTAAATCCGCACAACCCCGGCCTCCGGATCGACGGCGTCGTACCGGACACGCACCCGCCGGCGCAGGGGGTCGTCGTCGGCCGCGAGGCCCAGCAGCCCAAAGATCCTGTCCTCCGGGAGCGTGGCGCCAATCTTGGCCCGGCCCCCGTTGACATTGTACTTGAGCACGACGTCGTAGAAGCTCTGCCGCACGCCCGTCGCGTGGATAGCCTTGCGCTCCTGCACGACCCTGCGCAGCCGCGGCGTCTTTTGGAAGATGCCGTCGCGCCGGCGCAGCTCCGACCCGGTCCTGGCCCCCGGCTGCCGCACCCAGTGCGTGTTGCAGACGCTGAAGAACAGGGCGCCCGCGCAGAAGCACTCGAGGCACAGGGCCTGGCGGCCGCACACGACCGTCACCCCCGGCGCCAGGCAGGCCTCCTGGATGGTCCACAGGCGGCCGAACCAAGGGCGGTCCAGGACGTCGGCGAGCCCGGCCACGGGGTACCGGTCGCCGCCGCGGCGCCGGACCAGCGCGAGCAGCGCGTCGCGGTCCTCGCGCGCCTGCCCGGCCACCGGGACCGAGGGGTCCATGACGGCGTCGAAGACGCGCATGAAGCTCGGCGCCCGGGGGCCCATGAGCCCGCTTAGCAGGCCCGAGTGGCATATCTCGCGGGTGTAAGTGAACCACTCGTCTGACGCGCGGGTCGCGGTGCCCAGCCAGACGAGGGCGCGGCGGCAGCGCGAGTAAATGGCCCGCATGAGACGCACCTGGTGCGCCTTTTCGTTGTACCCGCCGCCGTTGGCGTCCTGGTTGATGCATATCTGGTCCACGAAGAGCGGGAGGCGCGTGGCTCTGTCCTGGACGAGGTGCAGGAGGGCGAGCTCCAGCGGGCGATGGATCCAGAGGCGGTACGATGCGCCACGGTGCTCTACGATGATGGCGCGGGTCGGCTTCTCGTGGGCCGCGACGCCCCAGGCGTATGTGAGGGCGTCGTATGCACGCGACGGCTTGGAGGCGGCGTCAATCTCGGCTTCGATTAGCTCGATTCGCAGCGTGCCGTAGCAGCCTGGTATTACTGGTGGTTTTGGCGGGAGGAGCCGGATGAGACGAAATGTTTGCCGCGACAGGTCGAGCGGCGCGTAGGGATATATTTCTGGGCTGGGCATTCTGAACGTGGTGATGGCTGGGCTGGATGCCATCGACTGTCTGGTACAAAAAAGGCTGGAGTTGATACTGAGGCGTGCCTTGGGCTGCGATGGCTATTTCTTCGTCTCGCAACGCCAAGCGGCTGAAGGAGACGCCTCAGCCGCAAGTAATATTGCTTCGTTGCCCAATCGATGGTGGTTGTTTGGTGGGAAACGTGGTCCACCTGCATGAGGGTATTGGCAGCCGCATGTCTATTCAATACGTTTGTGTTTATTTCAAGTCTAATACACCTGCGCTGTTGGCGTTTGCTGGTAAGTGCTGTGGTTTGGATAAAGGTGCTAACAGCGTCAAAAGTGGTAATAGTCGTGCCGGCGCAAGATGTACGCTGCAGCCAAAGTGTTATGCCGGCATAGTCGTTCTCGTGAATGAATTCCTCAAACTAAAGTGGGAATATGAAAATGACTGCTATTCATTTCAGTCTTTGACACTAACGTTGGCCAACATGGCTTTCGTCAGTACTATCGCTCTTTGCCATATAGTTAGGGTTAGGGTTAGGGTTTTCTAAACGCAGAGCAACTTGCTGTCTGGTTCCGCATCGTAGCTCATTAGATGGCCTCCACGGCCAGCAGTGAGACGGCACATGTGCAGGTCGCACATAAAACGCCTGGTATATTCCCCTACCCATCCCAGCGCAGTCAAGACACGGCTCGGCGCGTGACACATATTCTCGGCACGGTGCACAACATCAGGTACACAAAAGAGGCAAGCGTTTCCGAATCGAGACATGCTCGTGCCGTTCCCCAAGTAAAATAACCAAACGCGACGACACTTGCATTCAAACAACGCCCAAATACTTGCCAAGGATGAAAATGATGCTCAGATCAAATCGGAATCACGCCACTTTACAAACTCGCCGATGCCACGAATCCGCTACAAGGCGCGACCTTGATCAAGCTCCGATCGCTGATGAATTGGATGCAAATCGAATCCTACCCTGGGGCCAAGATGACAATTCACGTCCATGATCCATCACAGCCAGCACATAATGCCAACACCACATTTACAGATCTCGACATGAGGCAAATGCATACATTCTGCCAGAGCCCGCAACGCCACGTGCTACAAGGCAAAACAGCTCCTGCACTTGGGCACCGAAACCAGCCGGGACGCCGGTCGGCTCCTTGTCCATCTCCAGTCCAATGTCCACGCGGGAGGCGGCTGAACTACCAGTTTAGTCCTCGGCGATGCAACCCCAGACCGGAACCCTCGCAGATCAAAAGCCGTCCTGGATTGAGACGATGCTACCTCCTCCCGGGCCATCTCGGGCCTATTGTTGACGGGCATGTCATGGACCGATTCGGGACGCCAAGGGACCTGCTTGATGGAGAGGTGATTGCCGGTCATGGGAAACGGTGTGCTGCATGATGGGAGGATTCACTATACACTAGGAAGAAGGCGGCATCATTCCGTGATCAGTGTATATAGCAAGTGCCGTACCCCTTCCGGAAGACTGGTTGGTGGCATTGTGCAAAATCACTTCACAGCCAACTCCCACCGTGACCAAAGTGCCCGCCGCTATGAAGCCATCGTTGCCAACAACGCTCACTTTGCTGGCGCAGCTCGCCCACGCCGCCGACACGAACGCCTGGAAATCGCGAAGCATCTACTTCGCCCTGACGGACCGCATTGCCCGAAGCAGCAGCGACAATGGCGGCGACCCGTGCGGCAACCTGGGCGACTACTGCGGCGGCACGTTCCAGGGACTCGAGGGGAAGCTCGACTACATCAGGGGCATGGGATTCGACGCCATCTGGATCACGCCCGTGGTGGCCAGTACGCAGGGCCAACGCCCAAGACGAAACCCGTGCCATCAAATGGACTACTAACATGTCGACAGATGCCGCCGGCGGCTACCACGGATACTGGGCTCAGGACCTGTACGCCATCAACGCCCACTACGGCAGCGCAAACGACTTGAAGAAGCTCGTCGACGCCGCCCACGAAAAGGTACGAAAACCCCTTCCTCACCCACAAGCAGCCACGTACTCACCCTGCAGCAAATGTACGTCATGATAGACGTGGTAGCAAACCACATGGGCCCGTCCGCCCTCGCCTCCCGCCAGCCCTCCCCCCTCGACCAGGCGTCGTCCTACCACCCCCCCTGCGCGATCGACTACTCCAACCAGACGTCCATCGAGAACTGCCAAATCGCCAACCTCCCCGACCTCGACACGCAGTCGCCCGCCATCCGCCGCCTCTACCGCAACTGGATCCAGTGGCTCGTCAACGAGTACGCCCCCGACGGCGTCCGCATCGACACAGTCAAGCACGTCGAGCACGACTACTGGGCGGGCTTCGCCTCCGCCGCGGCCGTCTACACCCTCGGCGAGGTGTTCCACGGCGATCCGGCCTACGTCGCCCGCTACGCCGGCTCCATGTCCGGCCTGCTCAACTACCCCGTGTACTACCCGCTCACCGACTTCTTCCAGCAGCGCGGCCACCCCCAGGCCCTGGTCGACATGCACGACCGCGTGGGCGCCGCGTTCCCGGACCCCTCGGCCCTGGGCACCTTTCTCGACAACCACGACAACCCGCGCTTCCTCCACCAGGGGGGAGACGCGGCGCTGCTCAAGAACGCGCTCGCCTACGTGCTGCTCGCGCGCGGCGTGCCCGTCGTGTACTACGGCACGGAGCAGGGCTTCGCGGGCGCCGCGGACCCGGAGAACAGGGAGGACCTGTGGAGGAGCGGCTTCGGCACGGGCGGCGACTTGTACGGGTTTATTGGCAAGCTGACGGGCGTGAAGAAGGCGGCCGGCGGGCTGGCGGGCGACGACCACGTCCACCTGTTTGTGGACGAGACGGCGTACGCGTGGAGCAGGGAGGGCGGCAGGGTGATGGTGCTGACGAGTAATATCGGACGGGGGCACACGCGCGAGTACTGCTTCTTCACGCGGAGGCCGGGCGGGCGGTGGGAGGGCGTGCTCGACGGGGAGACGTATGTGGCCGACGGGGAGGGGAGGCTGTGCGCGACTGTGAGGGACGGGGCGCCGGTTGTGTTTAGGGGGCTGATGTAAAGCGTTGAAGAGACGAGGATTCACTACTATTGAGGCTCGAGGGGGGGGAAGGTGAACTGGCTGTTTGGAGTGTAGATGGAAGGGATGTGCAGACACGAGGCTGATGTGTGCGACGGCTGCGTGGTCAAGACACGCGATACTCGGTACTCCGTAGAGCCTTTGAAAATAGTAGTCGATTCGGTGAATCCGAGCCAGGATTCACTACTCACACAGGTGCAAAGCCGAGACCCTCGTATGCTTGGACAGTGCGCCTTTGCATGCTGCGCTCTTGTAACACGACTTGTGGACAGGCCAATCATGGTTCGGTTTAAGCTTTTGGTTGCTATCTTTGACTACTACTACTACTAGGAACTGCGTTGTTTGCGGGCTTTGTCATGGGGGGGGAGGGGGAATCTGTTGTTCACCCCTTTCTACCCTGTCATTGTCGTCATGTCTAACAAATAGTCCGATAGGTTCAGTTTCAAGTTCGACGGACGCGCAGATGGAGCGTATGCAGGCAAGTTGGGAAAGCTGCTGGAACACAGGCATGTCTCCCAGTCGTCTCTGTGAGTAACTACCGCTGGGAGGGATCGGGCATCTACTCCGAGGACATGGAGCACGGATTCACTTACCTACCTATGCTACCTACCTTGATTCGTGTACGGAGTATCCTTGGCGGATTGCGTTTGTAAAGCTCGGTTGGTCCATCACGCCAAAGGGACCATGCGCAATCGTCGAAACCAATGAGCGGCAGCGTAAGGTGACGCAAAAGTCAATTTGGTGTCGCGCAACTGCTTGTGTTGGTTGCTTGAAATTCTGCACTCGTGGCCAATTTGCAGTGGAGGGGTGATTTCTTGGCCCCAAAGTGTTGGTTTTGTCCGAACTTTGCCGATATTCTCGACACCAGGCCCGGCGAATCGTGATCCATTCAAACATCCAGGGAAGGGTTTATTGAACAAGATGAAACTTGGCGACGGAACCTTCCGCACTCCAAGTCATGGGCAGTGGGACCCAACGGATGGAAGCATCTAGCAAAACTAGAATGCGCTGGTGACGCATGCCAACTGGTTTTTTTTTTTGATCCACCACCCCGAAAAGTCTGGTAGGCATCGGGAAAAGGAAAGGGGAAAAAAAAAATCAGGCCATTGGCGTACAAGCTGGTTCAACGGGGACAAGCGTTTCGCGTCTCCAGATAGCTTTACGCTTAAACTGGGGCCTGCAAATTCATGTGGTGTTCGGACAAGTGCGACAACAGATGAGGCGCCACTGCTGTTAGGAGTTTCGGGCCGTGGCGACATCAACGTGGTTGTACCCCATCCTGTGAAGCTGACGACGCTCCAGGCTTCGGGTTGCCCTAGTCCCGTCGATAATCAGTCGGGGATGCGACTCCATCAACCCTTGGTGACGGTGGTGCTTTTGCGAGAACCGATCGGATTGGGATGCAGGGATGACACCGCACTCGCCGCTTTGTCCTCGCCGCCGCATCTCATTTGGCCGAACCTAGTAGTATTTCGATTCTTTTCTCGGTCGCTGTCTTTGTCGGTGCCGTCTCGAATTCCCAGTGCCTGTTTTAATTCAAGCCGCGTGGCGTCGTCCCCCGCTACTTCCTCTGCTATATGTCCCACGTATCCTGCTGCACCTCCTTCATTGCCTTTCTGCTTTGATTCTCTCTTGCCCAAATCGCAATCTACCCCAAAGCGCCTGACTGCATCCAACAGTCGCTTTCATCCCGTCGACTAAGAATTTGCACTTGCGAACCCTTTTTCTTTTCAACCGCAATCATGGGCACCGAGTGCTGCTCTGGCCACGGCAGCCATGATGCCGTTCCCGCAGCGGTATCTGAACACAACCAGAACAGTCTTCACCACGAAGAACACGGCCACCACCACGGCGGCCACAATCATGAACAAGTCCAGGACCACGGACAAATTCACGACCACGACCATGGCCCAGACCCTTTCATGGGTGAGGAGCATTGCACCCAGGAGGGGGAGTGCTGTGACGACGAATTTTGCTGTGACAATCCCAGCCTTTCTGAAACTCTGGCCTGCTGCTCCAGTAATGAGGAGAACTGCGATGGTGAGTATACGCTGTGCGATCCGTGTTCGATGTTGGGGGGCCACCAGTTCCAGTCTGACAGCTGGAAAAAGAGAAATGTATCCTTGCAGCCGCTGCACTCGAGTGCGAAAAGACATGCGAGACGGACAACCTCGACCAAAATAGTATGTCAACTTCATTGTCCTGCCCCTGAAAGGACTCTCACTGCCCCAATTCTCCATCTTGTATAATGCGCTCTGCTCACCTCACAACCACTGAACAGCCGCCGCCAGACATGAACACCAGCACGACGCAAATGGGCACCATCCTTCGGGAGCATGCAGCTCCCACCTGGAAAAAGCATTTAAGCAATACAGCGCCTATCTCGACTCTGCTCGTTGCATCTGTCGAAGCGTTCTCGAGCGAGGTTGGTCGACGACGTGCTGTGCTAACCAGCCCAAGAAAGCCATACCTAGCGCTGTCCCAAACGCTCTTGACGACAAAGCCGAAATATACGCCAGCGGGCGAAAGGTCCATCGACACGACGGTCCTCACCATCACCACGAAATTAGGCGCCGCGGAAAGATGGCTAAGCACCAAGGGGAAGACGACTCCTGCTGCAAGCCGGTAAAGCATGATTGCTGCGACGACCACGACCACGCGCCGGGCCATGACACCATTCAGTCTCTTGATAGCAGCAAGTCCGACAGGCATCGTTCAATCGAGCGCGATGTTGAAAAGGTCGAGGGGCTAGAGCATGTCATGCTTGTCGTTGACGGCATGACTTGCTCAGGATGTGGTAACAAGATGACCAACACTCTAAACAAGATTGCTGGTGTATCGTCTGTCAAAGTCAACTTTGTAATGAGTCATGCAGAATTCGAGGTCGACACGTCAGTTAACACCGCAGCCGAGGTTATTCGCGCTGCGGAGAGAGCAACCAACTTTCGTTGCAATCGCATGGCTAGCGACGACCAGGTTCTTGATGTGCTGGCATCTGGAAAATCGGCCAAGACACTTTTGGATTGCAACATCGAAGGTGTCGCCGGTAGCACTATCCTGAGCAAGACGACTGTTCGCTTAAGCTATGTCCCAACGATGATTGGGGCGAGAGATTTGTTCGACAAGCTCCAAGGCCAAGTCGAGGGGCTTGCTCCTCCTGGCGATGATCCGTCGGTCTCGAGCGGCCGCAAGAGACTCTATGACCAACTTATCAAGACTATTCTCGCGGCTGTTCTTACCATTCCTGTCCTGGTTTTGGCTTGGGGCAGTACCCCTGTTAGCGAAAAAACGCGGGCCATTATTTCCCTCGTATTAGCCACACTTGTCCAGCTTATCGCCATTCCCGACTTCTATCGCCCGGCCATCGGCGCTCTCATTCACAGTTGCACCATTGAGATGGATATGCTTGTGGTCATCAGCATCACTGCGGCATACGTGTATTCCGTTGTGGCCTTTGGCTTTCGCATGGCTGGCAAGCCGCTTGAGACATCGGAATTTTTTGAGACCAGTACGCTTCTGATCACCCTCGTCATCTTGGGTCGACTCGTGGCTGCTTTTGCGCGTATCCGAGCCGTCGAGGCTGTGTCTTTGCGATCTCTCCAAACTACTACGGCTGTCATCGTTGAGAACAATAAGGATAGAACCATTGATGCCCGCTTGTTGCAATATGGCGACAAATTCAAGATTGGGCCTGACTCGGGCGTGCCCACTGACGGTCTCGTTCTTAGCGGCCAAAGCGATGTTGATGAGTCAATGCTCACGGGAGAGAGTGTTCCGGTATCCAAAGGGCCAGGCGACGCGGTAATTGCTGGTACAGTCAACAAAAATGGTACCCTGATTGCTCAACTGACTCGACTTCCGGGCAAGAATACTGTGACGGACATTGCACAGCTTGTTGAAGAGGCACAGAATTCAAAGCCCAAATTGCAGGACTATGCAGACCGCGTTGCAAGCTGGTTCGTGCCGGTTGTCACCGCAGTTGCCATCATTGTCGTGATTGTATGGCTGGTTGTCGGCTTCAAAGTTCGCAAATACAAAGCTGGCCAGTCTATCTCGAATGCCATCACTTATGCTGTCGCCACTTTGGCCGTCTCCTGCCCCTGCGCCCTCGGCCTGGCCGTGCCCATGGTTCTTGTCATTGCGGGTGGCATTGCCGCCCGCAGCGGTGTCATTATCAAGTCTGCGGAATGCACGGAGCGAGGCCGCAAAGTGACGGATGTTGTTTTTGACAAAACTGGCACCATTACTGAAGAAAAACTGGATGTGCAGAAACAAGTCCTTCTCATTAATGAAGCCATGGCAATATCAATTGCGAAGGCCTTGGTCGCCGGTAACAAGCACCCGGTTTCCCTCGCTGTTGCCAACTATTTGAAAGACCAGAGTATTCCTGCCGAGGCCCTCAAAGACGTTCAAGTCATCCCTGGAGCTGGAGTTGAGGCCAAACTCGATGGTACCATACTTCGAGCCGGAAATCCCAAGTGGACCAAAACTGCTTCTCACGACCAAGTTTCGCGTCTTCAAAATGACGGCATGACACTTTTGGTCGTCACCCAGGATGGAGCACCTATCGCCTTGTTTGGTCTTCGGACTCATCTTCGCAAAGAGGCTGCCGGAGTTGTCTCCCAATTAGCAAGACGCAATATTACCACCCATCTGGTTTCGGGTGACCAGAAGCACGCTGTTGAAATGGTTGGCTCTGAAGTCGGAATTCCCAACATTGTGTCACAATGCACACCTGCTGAAAAGCGAGACTACGTCGCTAAACTAATGCAGGAGGGGAAATGCGTCATGTTTGTTGGGGACGGAACCAATGACGCCGTTGCTGTATCGCAAGCAGATGTTGGTGTCCAGCTCGGCAGTGTTCTGTCCGCCAGCGATGTCACCGGAAAAGCTGCCGACGTCGTTCTTCTCAATGGACTCGAGGGAATTCCTTTCTTCTTGGAAATTAGTCGCGTAAGCTTTCGACGCATGGTCTTCAACTTTGCATGGTCCGCCGTGTACAACGTTCTGGCCATTCTCCTTGCGTCTGGTGCATTTGTCAATATTCGCATTCCACCAGCCTACGCCGGTCTGGGTGAGATTGTCAGCGTTGTCCCCGTCATTGTGGCAGCCATGACCATGTTGCTGAAGAAGCCAAAGGTATCGGCCCCGACAGTGTAAAGACGGTAATTCGAGTTCAGTTGCCAAGGACAAAAGGCACTGGCCGTTCAACACTCGCCAGGGGCCGGTAGACAACCGGTGTTTGCGGATCCAAGCACACGATTTTGTATTGCGAGATATTAGAGTACCTTCAACAGATGCGCGGCTATGAAAATGGTATCCAGTATTGCGTTTGATGCGATTTTCTTTTTTCATCAGTGGTCAGTGGTGTCTCAGCAAGGGTGGATTTTCACCTGCTCAGATTCCGCACACAAACAACTGCGAGGCAGGGACAGGAGTAGTGGCATACCAGCACTGTTGGTGTCCGTGATTGCGGTGGCTATGAATAGCAACAATTGGTTTGGATGAAAGAAGCAACATAGTTAGGAATAGTCTTATACAACAGTCGTTTTTGAAACTTTTGAGCATGTGTCACCGTAGCCTGGATGCAGTTTTGAGAGGTGTGGGATGAGATGGGATGGGCCGATTGTTGCATTAATACGGTCAGAAAGTGCCCATCAAGGTTCTCGCGCCACGCAACCCTCCCCACCGTTGCATCAGGACCTCGTACTCCGGTACCTTCGACTCGTCTCAGATCCGTGCCCTTGGCTGCCAGAAGCACGGGGTTCCCAGAGTGAAAGAAACAGCTTCTATCCGGGTGCTGCTACGTTGGTCGAATAAACAACGCCTCGAAGCCGTGGTTTTATGGCCTGGTTCATGCCGCGTTCTCGCCTTTGAGCCCCTTTCCGAACTTGCCTCACGATTCGCCATTCTCGCACGGGAGTATTTCGTGTCAAGCTTTGTCACGCAAGGTGCCTTGTTGTGACGGGCCCCTTGCCCCCCCGGCCCAGGCTTTCCGGCGTGCTAGATCTTAACAGCTTGTTAGGTAGGTAATACGACGGTTTGTGTTGTTCATCACGTTGGACCCAAGACACCATGAAGAGATCTAGCATTAGCCGGTCACTTGCGCAATAACCTCATGTTTTCGGGTTAGACTTTTACAGAGTTAAAAAAAGGGCGGCCTGTTCTGTGGCATGGGCATTGTGGTGTTTGAGATTCTCATTGGCTATGCGATTATATTCTTCAGGTAGCCTTTGCTATTGACTCGTATACATCCCCTGATGCGGACGAAGGGCTCGCGCCCGCCAGTTCCCTGAAATCCACGACGGTGTACATCTTCTCCAGCACCTCGAGTTTCTCTCTCAGGTAGTCCCTTTGGTGTTTCTGCGTTCTCTCAAAGCTGAATATGAACTTGACGAGGTAGAAGAAGTCCTCGAGCCTCGCCCGGGACTCGTCTTCCGTCTGGCCGATTCCGCGCGGAAGCGCCAGCACATCTGCCACGGTGCTGGTAATCTCGAACAGTTTTTGGAGGATGCCGCTCCCGTGAAAGACGACGCTGGATACGCTTTTCAAGCGGGACACGAGGCTGCGGAGCTGTGCGGAGAGGCGCTGCGCCGGGAAATGAAGCGACAGGCCCTCGTGTGTGTTTTGTGTTGGCGCGGAGCGGAGCAGGCCGTGGGAGAGGGCTAGCTGCCAAACCAGGGTTCGGAGCCAGAGCCGGGTGATGAACAGGTCGACGTGTTGTAGTTCGATGAGCGTGCCGCACCCGGCGACAATCATTTCCTTCTCGTCCCCGACGGCATCTGCCTCGTCTTGGTCGAGCTGTGCCTGTTTGCTCTCTATCCACTGTGATGTTATCTCGGGGAGGAGGGGGTTGGGGACTTGCTGAGCGGCCCAGTATGAGAGGAAGGCGTCGTCCATGTTTTGGAAGAGGAGGATCAGGCGGTTCCATCCGACTGCGACGTGGGCGGCAAGAGTTTCGTCGTGAAGGGGCAGTCCAGTGCGCAGAGGCACCATGGTGCATGGGAACCCGGACATGATGAATAGGAAGCGTTCGTGGATGTAGACCTCCCAGTACATTCTCTGACGCCGGGCCAGTTCTGTATGGGTCAGACGACGGTCGCCCTGGCCATACTGATGCATGTTGAGCATTTGGACCATGCTGATGGCTTCTTGGAGTATTGTATAGCTTCGGTCAAATCGTTTAAAGGCCATGAGACAGATTTCGAGCCAAATACACGTCATGATGCGCTTGACGGTGATTGGCATCTCGCCTTGTAAACCACCGTTATATCCATCACCTTCTCTCGCCATTTCAGCTTTCCTATGCGCCCAAAGACAGTATTGCATCAAGGTTGTCATTTGTGAAGCTATGTCGATTCCATTCATTGTCCACGACGTCTTGGTGAGGTTGATGGTCACTGATGCATAGGCATGTACTAGAGCAGCATCTTCAAAGTTGCTATGCATATTATGAATGGCAGTCCGTATCTCGGCTGGTGTCAGGACAGGGTTGACTGGATATACAAGTTCCTCAAACTCGGGGAGTAGTCCGAGGAAGAAGTCTGCCGAGAAGCCACATCCTCCAATCGTAAATGCCGGTTCTGAGGGCGGACTGCTTCCCAGGTTATCGACAATTCCAGCAATTGAGGTCACTGGGATGACGCCTGATCTAGGCGACGACCCAGCCGATGAAGGGCCACCGCTAACAGAGCCACCAGCCAGGGCCGTGGATGGCGGCGACACGGTTTGTGAGCTACCTGGTCCGCTTGTTGGTGTCTTGTTGCGTAGCTGAGCGACGAGACGGCCTCGAATGCCTGGTTTGCGCTTGGGTGGCGCTGGTGCAAATACACAGGGCAGATTGAGATGAGCGCACTGCGCGCATGGCTGGTCACCGTTGCATTTCACCTTCCGCACTCGGCAGGCATCGCAAGCGCGTGAAACCTTTCCTGCGGCGGTGGCGATGGCGGCTGCGTTCTTCTTGCTGCTCATCTAGACTCCGTGGTGCCGTCTACATGGACGGTGCCGTATGATGACACAGTTGAAGATGAAGCTGTGATGAATTTCCTTGGAGTTGTAGAGCGCCGTGATGTATAGGATGCCGCAAGGTAGGTCATTCTCCGGAACATCCCATTGTTCAATTGGCTTTTGGCCAGTCCATGAAGCTGTTGTCGATTATCGCTCATGCCCAGCCTGGGGCTTATGCGGCCTAGCGCGTGATGGTTCCCTGGAGCACAACTGATTTTATTCTGCAAGCACAGCCCCGCCGACTGTTTAGATGGGCAAGCTGCGTACGATGTCGGCTTTTGGCGTTGAAGTAGAAGTAATCACCGGAGAAGAAAGGCTGCAAAATTGTATCGGCACTGAGGTTTAATTGTAAGTGTATGAAGGGAAAGGCACATGGACTAATTAGTGCAAGAAAAGCGGGGGTTGCTGCGGGATCTGACGTCTGGGCAGTTGACAGGACAGCTCCTTCCCTCGACCTATCAAGTTGCCCGACATCGCTCACCGTGAAGGACGCCGCACGCCACCACGACTTCTCACGGCTCGACGAACACAATGAGACGGCGACACGACGATTTGCCTCACACCAGTTGACCTCCTATTGCGCTGAAATGTTTTGAGGCCGCTGACGGGTGACGGCACTGGCCCGCAAAATTGTTTCATCCTTAACCCTTTAGGGAACTCGGCGGACTTCATGCCGCTGAGGAGCCGACAGAGACGCTGGCACTGAGAGATGGACATTGGCGATCAACCATCCATGGCAAACGCCATGTGGTGGCAAATCCATTCAACATTCGACGCTTGCACAAGGGGCTGCCGTCTTTTGCCGCCACGGCATGGGAAGCCATGTTCCAGAAGCTGATCTGCCGACCTCGCTGCTCACTTGCCGCGTTGCCGGGTCGAAACCAGGACACAGATTCAAACATCGACTCTTAACAACAAGGCACAAGACATCACCGATCCCTTGGCTCAGGAGCACACACTTTGAGTATCCACAATTTGAGAGACTTTTGCAATAAATTAGAAGGAGCTTATTTCAACAGACTTGTCGCTCAGCAATACTTGGGAGCACCGCCCCTAACCACCCAACCGCAATCAGTTTTTCCAGTCGAGTTGCTCGCTTCGTCGAAGACGCGATTCAATCCAGAGCTATACTTGGCCGAGTACGACGTGCTGTCGCTGCAACCCCCGCCCTGCCAGCCACCAATGTTTCCCACTATTGTTCCAAGCATCTTCTTGTTACGATACTTGGTCATGAAGACGGAACCGCTTGTCCCTGCCCTGAAGGGACCGCAGTTGAAGCCGAGTTGTCCCTCTCCAGCCCGATAAGTAGAGGTTGTGCAGCGCATAGGCTTTTCCTCGTTGAGATTGTAGCCAAAGACCTTGACCACGTTCTTGTACGAAGGGCTGAAATTGATTTTGTTGCCACCGGTCATCTTCTGGACATTGACAGATCTGCCGTTAATAGTAGCGTTACCAAGGGTCAGGATGGCGTAGTCGTGGTTGATGCTAAAGGTCTTGTTCCACTCGTTATGGATATAGGCCCCCGTGACGGGGTAGGTTCCATATGGCGTAGAGCCATCGTGATATCCGGGGGCAAAGCGCAGGTGCTTCCCGTCGCCGCGCATACAGTGCGCAGCCGTGATGATCATATTTCCCGGCTTGCTGTCGACGACGGCAGCCGTGCACATGTGCTTTTTGGGCGAGTGGGTGTAGAGCACGCCCACCGACGGGATGCCCTCGAACCTGGTGGCCGTCGCAGCCGAGACTTCGGACGTAATGGCCCAAAGGACGGTGGTGACCGCGGCCAGAAGCATTGTGTGTGGATTCTATGGGCTTCAGAGGTGTAGTTGAAGAGGGCGGAATGTGGTAAACAGTTCCAAGTAGGTCTCGGGGGGGTGCTGATACTCCGTCTGTTCTTATATAGCTTCCCCATTCTCGCAAACCCGAGGGCATGGCGTCGATCAACACGTGAAGTAATGACTTTTTAACATTTTGTGTGCTTCCGAACTAGGCTTTGTACCTGTGTCTTTGTAGCCCTAGATAGGAAATAAAAGCATCCCAGGACGGAACTAAGAGGCTAGACCGAGTCTTGGGCGGGGTGGCCTGGGTCGAGATTGCAGCACTCGCAAAGCGCCTGGTGCATGTGGCTGTTTACAGAATGTGATGATGGCTTCAGAGATGCCGATGAGAGACGAAATCCAGCTGTGTATGAAGACACCCGCGTGCTTGGTGGGCAATTCCCAGTGCTCACGGCGCAAAATTGGGCAGGCGATTTATTCGACAGCCGGATCCCTGGTGCTTGCTGATGCAGGTTTGTTGTCGTAAATGTTTACGAGTATACTACGAGATCTAACATGTCAAGCTTCGACTAAGAACTAGCACCGAGCTTTTGAGTTTCTCCTCCCCTCGACTACCCAATGGCTGGCCAACCACGCGGGACTTTAGGCACAGTAGCTCAGGACTGGAGGTTAATCAAATACCCATGAAAGGGTGACCTGAGCTTCCCAATATATCATTTTTTTCAGGGGAAAATTTACTACTTGTGTGGACCATGGATGGCCACGACGTCATCGTCTTGATGGATGACAACACGTTGATTCGCAGTGACGGCTCTATTTCCACAAAGAGAATATGAGGTATAGAAAGACGTCAAGTACCGGGTTCATGGTAGACGCGGTAGTGGTCTTTCTCTTGCTAGCCTCATTAGTATGTTAGTCGCCGTGGGCGTCGTTAACCTGGAAACGACTCAATATTCGAGTCACTGGAAGCCACGTATGAGGTCAATTATTGGCCGCGAAATCGCACTAATCAGTCGAACCCAAGCATTCGGAGTTGATGGCTGCCATTTTATGTAGACTGTGTACTGCAATGTATTCTCTACTCGAGGTGTGACAATATAGTGATGAAATCTATTAGAAAACTGGTTGTCCAAAAACTCAGTGACTCCTTGTCTCGTAATGGCATCCGTATTCAGCTTGGCCAGTCCTGGTTATCAAGATGTATGCTCGGTGGGGGACCTATTACCACGATTATCTGCGGTTGCCGACAAATGATGAGAACTGCCATTTCTCTCCCATAGACTCCGAACAAAATACACCCGGGCGGGTGAATCTTGTACTGCACAACTGTATGCTCTAGGAGTATAGCCGCAAGAAACAACGAGACGCACCAGACACATATCCCAACCCCTTTATCCTACAGAGTCGCGGAAGTAAACCACAGGAGCCACCAGCACATACCATGTGAGCCCAAATTCGAATCGCAAACACCACGTCCAACAACCCCCTGGATCATGCCCATCAACACCTTGCCATCTCGGGCGTCGGGTCGTGGCGTGCATGACCACGTACCCAAAATTCCGACTGCAAAAAGACACCGCAATTTATAGATTTCCAAGGATTCATCGGATCAATCAGCGTGAGATCGAAGCGCCTCAGGACCTGGCAAACCGTGTAAGCATGCAACCCGCCAATCAGACAGTCTGCAAAACAAGGAACGGGCAGAAAGCCTCACCTCCACCAAGACCTTGTTCAGCTCCATCCGGGCAATGTTCTTGCCCAAGCACGCCCATTTCCCCGAGCCAAAGACAAGGCCCCAAGTGGCCTCCATCTCAGGCGTCGCCGCGAGCCACCTCTCCGGGCGGAACTCGTCGGCATCCTCGCCAAACACGTCCCTCTGGCGCAGTATGCCCACCATGCACAGTCCTATCCTGGTCCCCGACGGGAACGAGACGCCGTTCCAGCAGTCCCCGTCGGCCGGAACCTCCTTGGACATGAAGCCAGCCACGGGCGGCAGCATGCGCAGCCCCTCCTTGATGGTGGCCTGCACAAAGGGCATTTTGCGGATCTCGGCGTCGCCAGCCACGGGCCAGCTCAGCTCGGCCGCGCGAATCTCGGCCTGCAGCCGCGCCAGGACGCGCGGGTTGGTCATGACGTGCAGCAACGTGGCCCGGATGCCGGTCGCGGTGGTGTCGGACCCGGCGATGCTGCCGCCGCCGTGTTAGTCCACAGTCAACACACTTGACTCAAGAGCCGAGTCGGCACGGGCGAGTGCAACGTACATTTGCGCGGCAATCTCATTCTCCGCCTGCTCCTGCGTCAGTCCCCGGGCGACAAAGGAGCCGACCATGTCCCTCTGCGTCTTTTTGCTCGGCCCGTAGCGCTCCGCCGCCACCCTCTTTGCGATTCTGCACCAGCGACGGGAAAAAGTCAGCAAACAAGGTCATCATCCTCATCGACGGCAAGGGGAGCGGGGGCGCCATCACGAACCCTACCAGGCGGCCGATGCCGAGCACGTCGTGCTCCGAGGGCATGAGGGGCCGGAAGACGGGCAGCCCGAGGACCGGGATCATCCACGACATGACGGTGGACACAATCAGGTAGGGCAGGTAGGTCTCGATGTCGGTGACGAGGCTGTGCACGTCCGAGTCGGTCGTCAGGTCGCCAAAGGGCTCGCCAAAGGCCAGCTCCGAGATGACGTCGAGGGCGAAGAAGTGTATCTTGCGGGCGAGGTCGAACGGGCGCCCGTTGCGCACGTACGAGTCGAGCAGGCGGACCAGGTTCTGCACGGAGCTGTCCACCTTGGCCTCGAGGTGGTCGACCTCCTTGCCGGAGTACTGGGGCGAAAACACGGTCAGCCATTGATCCTGAGCAGGGTGCCGGGCGCGTGGGATTTCCGCCGTACCCCGCCGGCCATTTTCGACCGTATCACGGCGTGGAGGGCGTCGTCCCTCATGGAGATGATGTTGTTCTTGCTGGGCTCGAACCGCAGCCCGTTGTACCACGACGACCGTGTGTACTGCGAGCGCGCGCCGAGCATGTGCATGGCAAGCCTCGCGTCGCTGGTCACCACGTCGTTGGGCCCGACTCTGGCGATGGGGCCTGGAGGGCATTGTCAGTATTCCTTGGCCGTGGTCCGGGAGAGGGCTGCCGTACCGTACTTCTGGCACACCTCGTACAAGTCGAGGTGCGTCCTGCCGCTGAGGGTAGACCGCAGCAGCCACCAGATGGAGAATCCGGCGCTCGGCGGGCCCGGTATGTGTTTTAATCGACAGTACCGGTAGTATGTGCTTGCTGCCAGCCAGGCTAGTATGGCCGGCAGGGCCAGCCATCCGTACAGCACGGCATCCGACAGCATCTTTACGCCCCGGTGTATATGGGAGAGTGGTTGAAACCGATATAGGAACGGGAGGAAGCTTGGAACAATGCACTGTTTGCCGAGAAGCACGAAACTCGCGGGCTACTCGAGCGAATGAACTGGGGAATAGCAAGAATCGACGCCGGAATACAGGCCTTGACCATTCTAGATATATGTATACATGGACTCGTCGAATCCAGTCACCTTGCTGGAGAGTTGGCAAGGCTGCAGTCTGTGCTCCCAAGCCACACGCTTGGGGGACAAAAATAAAACCAGACTCTTCGAATATGCCCGTGTAAATAAATGACGACAGCCCAGCTTCCTGCAAGCACACTCCTGACGCCGTCTATCCTTTCAGCCTTGGCCAAAATCCGCCCCATGGCGGGCGACGACGGGCTACGTGTCGAGGATCGGCGGGCATAAAGATAGTTCAGCGCCAGGGAGGGCCGGTGGCAGTCGTAGGCCCAAGCATTCTTGATACTTTCAGCTTCTTCCGGGACAGGTCAGATAATTCCGGCCGTGATGCCAGACACCGCAACGGCTGCCAGTTTGCCGGCGACATGTTCGTCCGAGCCAGGCAGTCTTGGTGCATCTCTACTACGTACATACACATGTGTAGTATGTCGTCGTCAGTCAGCGAGATGGGCAAGGCGTGCCATGACCTCGTGGCGCATAGGCTGAAAAGGGCAATGCGTGTGACGCGCGCAGGGCTGCCGTATTGCCAGATTGGGGGCCGCCGGCTTGCATCGAGCAGCACCCCAAGGCGAGACGTGCTGCAGCTAGTGTCGAACAGGACCCTATATAGTAACATTGAGTGTCAGCGAACCCGCCGCGCTGCTTGCTCCTGCATGCCGTCAATCTCTGCATGGGGCCGGTCAAGCGGCCTGGCTGTCTGGTAGGGTTGCCTCGAGATCTTGGCCGCGTGGGCGTGTATTACTTGACTTGCCATGTGGGTGGTGCGGATCGGATGACAGCTCGTCTGTAGCACCACTGACAAAATACAAAGCTTAAAAAAGAATGTCAAAAACGCAGCCCGCGCCGTCCAAACGCCGAGCGGTTTATAAGTTGTACCGTCGACGTGAGGGCGTGGCAAGACCCCTTGCCGAAGGTGCTCGGCAGAGCTGACGGCCACGCTGGGAAGAAGGAGCAGAGCCGACGAGGAAATACAGCGCCGGCATAGAAGATCAAAAGTATAAATACGCTAGGGTGCTTTGAGAAGCTGATTCGAGTCAATGGCATGGACTATACTCGCAGCGTCGATGGGGACGCAAAGGCAGACTCGACATGTCGGATCAATGCCTCGATGGCTTCACCGGCGCCCGCCTTGCAAGCGCCAGGCGGCCTTGCGAAAGCCGAGCCGCCCCCGACTCCCCGATCAGGCAGGCCACAAGGCCTTGATCTCGTCACTCGTGCGTGCTGAAGTGTGTTTGCCACGTGTGCGTGACGGACAGGGGCTGTCGATGGCGCCAGATGAGGGAGGGCGGGCGGGATATCGAATTGCCCATTGACAACATTGCACATGTGAACTTGCAAGAGACGAGTCGCCATGCCAGCAGTCCCCCTTGGCCGCCTGCTCCGAAAGCCGACTGGAAGAAGAGCCATCTGCGCGGCCATGAGACAGCGCGCATCGTGCCCTTCCCAGCGTCGGGCTCCCCATGCAGCAACTTGGCATGTTTGCACCGCATTTTCAGGCACGACGTGCTGATTATTGCTCAAAAGGGGATGCGGTGGAGCACCGATTCGGATATGCGACATGTCATCATGGCAGGCGGACGTGTTGCACGGCATCTGTTGGCAACTCAAAATAGCGGCCCAGGTTTACCAGCCACATGGGCATGAACAAGCATCTTCGGATCCATAGCCGCGGGCTGGGAAAATTTTTCAAGTGACATTGGCAGTACGTACGTGCACTCGAAGAACATGCACGAACCAGACAGTGAGTCTTTTTTTTATACCAGACCCCAGGCTTGCGGGCGCCGGAGCCAGGCGGTTCATGGCCTCCCTTGGGATTCAGCTTTCAGCTTGCGTGTCTTGCGGCGGGCCGCTCGCAAACACGAAGGGTTTGCATCATGTCGGGACGGACCCGCATGGCGCAAGGCTGATTGACGAATATGTCGATGCATGTACGGAGTAGCCTTGTTGGTGATGGAGTTGGCCTTTGTTGCGTGGGTAGGGGGTCCTGACGCCTTACTTACCCATGAATAAAATATCGTGGCGTGGCATGGCCATTTTTGGGACGATAGCTTTGATGGGGTTGTGGGTTTGGCGGATTGCCGAAGCGACATGTGTATTGGCATGATGCAATGAGTCTGGTTGATATAAACCGCACGCGTAAGAATTCCGCAGCAGAACAACTTGGCCTACAGAGCTAGGCCTGCTGGCTTTGGACAAATAACCATGGCTACGTACGACTTCAACAGAGTAACACCACGGCGACGCCGTCATCAAGTATAGGCCTCCCTGCAATACATGACAATGGCAGGAAACCCCGCAATTGTTGGATGCTCGACGGCTGTTGGGGACACCCAGGCCACGCATGGAAGCCGTGGCGTACAAGCCATGTCAGCCAGCCTGTTGTCCATGCCGAACCTCATGGTCACGTATTGTCCCGTTCTGCTCCGTGCATCGCAACCAACCGACCCATCATGACGAGGCGAGTGCTCGAACAGCGCCCGGCGCAGGAGGCTCCTCCGTGCCGGGAACCAGCCGCTCCGGCGCCGTTCCCACGGAGCTTCTACTCATTCAGCCTGGGCACCACGATACGCCCTCGCCCAGGACGACGGGCCGTGTCCCGCCATGCCCCGGCCGATGATGCCACCAAGAAGCTCATCTACACCATTGTAAAGGCCGACCTGCTCATCCCCGGCGCCGACGAGCCCGTCCCCGACGCGGCCCTCGTCGCGGAAGCCAAGCTCATCGTCTGGGTCGGCAAGCAGGACGCCATCCCCGCCGAGTACACGCAAAAGTGCCGCGGGACCTACTCGGTGCCGTACCTGATGCCCGGGCTCTGGGACTGCCACGCGCACCTCCTGGCGGGCGGCGACGACGAGGCCTCGTGGCCGGCGTACATGGGCTTCGTGGCCGGGCAGCCGGCGGCCGAGGGCGCGCGGCTCGCCCGGCTGTGCTGGGAGGTGCTGCAGCGCGGGTACACGTCCGTCCGCGACC